TACACAGTAAAGCTCTATAAAAGATTAAGAGACCATTAAAAAAATATATCCAAGGTCACATTGCTAGCTAGTGGCAAAATAAAGTGCACCATGATCATCTGTTCTGACTAGATGTGAACCACACATCTGCTGCTACCTAGCTCAGTTTCCTCATCTGTAATACGCGTACCACAATAGAATGTATTTCATAGTTTTGTCCTAAGGCTGCATGGATAGAGTGTTTGGCACAATATCTGGCATTCAGTAGGTGCTAAGTAAATGGCAGGTGTCTTCCTGCCTTCCTTTTCTTGTCTCTGACCATAAGCAAACTCACCTTTAGCCAGTTTAAGACCTTCTTAGGCTCCAGGAATGATTTTTGTGAGTCTCTTCCACCACATCACAAATAATAGTGAAAGGATCTCACATTATATATGACTTTTTATTAAATTTTTAATATTTAATGTTGCTCTTGAAATGATTTCTTGATTTTGATGGCATTGTTTTTTCCCCTCTAAACTTAGGAGCCAATGCATTTTTTTCAGGTCTCAGACATTTCTATGTATCTTACAAAGCTACTAGGCCGTGGGCCCTGTGTTTGTCATCCTCAATGGAAAAGGGGACCTGGTGACCCCTTTGATAAAGGAGGAGGGCCAGCAGACTGTTTTTCCTACCCAGGGACAGGGAGCAGAGCTGGGCTGTCAAAATTAAAACTAGAGGGTGTGCTGTGCCCATTGTCCCTGCACTCGATGAGGGTCATCTAGAAGACATCTGTCTTCACATTGTTCTGCTTTAAATTTCCTGTCCCTAGACCTGCAGAGGACAGCAGCTGAGGGGACTGTGGGGCAAGCAAGAGAAGGATGCAGCCTGGCCAGTGTGGCTCAGTGATTGATCGTCGACCCATGCACCAAGAGGTCGCTGGTTTGATTCCCGGGCAGGGCACATGCCCAGGTTGTGGGCCTGATCCTCAGGGGGGGACATGCAGGAGGCGGCCAATCAATGTTCTCTCTCATCAATGTTTCTATCTCTTTCTCCCTTTCCTTCCTCTCTAAATAAAGAAAAAATGAGAGAGAGAGAGAGAGAGAGAGAGAGAGAGAGAGAGAGAGAGAGAGAGAAGGACGCAGTCACTCCCCCAGGTCCCATCTCCCTCCTGTGGTAAAAGGGGGACTTGCAGGACCTCCCAGGGACCAAATCCAGAGTACCCGCTGCTTTGCATTGCCGAGTGCTTATGCATTACCTCATATTGCCTCATTTCAATCCTCACAATGACCTGAAGAGGTAGGTGGTGCTCTTGTCCCCATTTTACAGACAAGAAAAACTGAGGCACAGAGTAGGTTGCTCATGTTCATATAGCTAGTGGGTGGTGGAGCTGGAATTCCAACCCAGGTCTGTGTTCTCAACTACTCATTATACTTGATACCCAATTTAGTCATATTTTCAATAATTAGTGAATAATAATGACAGCTAAGATTGGTATATCTTTTCTAAAAATCAAGGAATACATGAATACTTTCTTACTGTATAAGATTCTATCAGTATGAATATATAAAGCCTCTTAATTTTAACAAGATCCCCAGGTGAGGGTGTCTGCACAGTAAAATTTGAGAAGCTCTGGTCTAAAAGGTGAAGCATGAGCCCTGGCCAGTTTGGCTCAGCGGTTAAAGCGTCGGCTTGCGGTCTGGAGAGACCCGGGTTCAGTTCCCGCTAAGGGCACGTACTTCGGTTGCAGTTTGTCCCCGGCCCTGGTTGGTCGTGCGGGTGGCAGCCACTCGATGTGTCCCTTCACGTCGATGTTTCTCTCTCTCTCTCCCTTCCTCTCTCTCCCTCCCACTCTATCTGTACAAAAAAATGGAAAAATATCCTCGGATGAGGATAAAAAAAAAAATAAATAAATAAAAATAAAAGGTGAAGCATGAAAGTGCCAGAATCCCACACACTCCAAGGCTCGCTCCCGGCCGTAGGGGGGATCATCAGGGACAGTGGCTTATTGAGATTCTTCTCTACGAGCCCTTTCTCCTTCACTATCTTATTTGATGCTCACAGAGAAGCAGGCCAGGTGTGAAATACCCTTAGGCTCAAAAAGGCCAACCAGCTTGCCCAGAGTCCTCAGCCAACACATGGAAGAGCCTGGGTTAGAAACCAGATAACCTGCCTTCCTATTTATGGTTATTGTGCCCACGCCCTTCTCCACAATGTGGCAATTAAAGCTTAATTCCTCACAGTCTGGTGACTTATTCATAGATGCCTGTGGCTCCCTTTCTTTTATGGGTAACATATGTGTATTATAAAAGCCACCTTCTGGAGGCAATGAGTCAACATTGTGTCTCAGCTTTGGAGTCAGAGAGAGGTCTGGGTGTGAGCCTCACTTTCCTCATCTGGTAAATGGGCATAAGAATCCCATCTCAAAAAAAAAAAAGTAAAAAAAAAAGAATCCCATCTCACAGAATGGCTGCAAGGGTGAAATGAAACAAGCTGGCAAAGGGCACCTAGCTAAGCTTCTTTGAGTGCTAATCATCCTCCCGACAGCCTTGCTTAGGCATTGAATATATGTATTTGGGCATCTTCCACATCCTAGGGACTGTCCTGGGTGCTGAGCACACAGATCAACAAGATAGGCTTCATGTTCTCATGGAACTGACACTGTAGACAGGGAAGATGGATAAATAAGCCAACAAGAGCATTTCACATAGGAGAGTGCCCTGAAGAAAATAAAATTGAGGGAGGCAATAGCTAGTAACCAGATGGTTGGGGGAAGTGAAACTTGAGAAAAGGTAGTCATGGAAAGCTTCTCTGAGGAGGTGACCTTTGGGCTGAGGCCTGAATGAGGAGAAAGCAGCCGTGTGATGGCCTGGGGAAGACTGAGGAAGGCAGCAGGGGAGCCAGGAAAGAGGCCCTGTGAGGAGAGTGGTGGTGGGGAGTTGGGTGGAGCACCAGAGGAGGCTGTGAGCTCAGGCAGGTGGAGCCCCCTGCCTGGACCTCTAGCTCTCTCTGTCATTCTTTCCACTCTCCTGGCCTCTTCGGGTCTTCAGACACAAGCACACATGCGCATGCACACACGCACACACGCACACAGAGGTCACAGGGAGTGCCAGGGAGGCTGGAGGGACTTCCAGGTCTCCACACTGACTGGGCAGAGCTGCAAGAAGAGGCAAATTGACAGCTGCACTTGAGCCTCCATCAGTGGACGAGGAGAAGTGATTTCTGAAGGGCAAAGTGATTATTAAATAGTTTGAGGGCTGACATCAATGGGCAGAACTCGATGTTTGTGGTTCATCGGGAAAGAGCCTGCTTGAGGCAGGGGAGTGGACTCTGCTGTGGTCTTCAGAGAGGAGACCGACCTGGCCAGCCTGCTCTCAGGCAGGAGCAGGAGGGACCCACTCAGTCTCAGAGCAGGGACCTGGCACAGCCACCACCTTGTTCATTTACTAATTGAAATGGGGCAGTTAGTCTCTTTCCTCTGGTTTAGAAATTTGCCCCATAGAAGTAATATAGACGTGTCAGTGATCACAATTTGTGTGAAAATTTTAAATTCTCCCCATTATAAACAAAGGCTCTCAGTTTGGGTAAAAAATAAAAGTAGACTGACTACAAAAAGACCTATCTAAAATAAAAAGGTGCTGGTGTTCCCCACCTTAGCAATCACATCTTCCTGGGAGAACGTGGGGAGCCATAGGACTCCCCCCACCCCACTATTTTCCATGTGATCTCAGGCATGTGGACCTCTGATTCTTAGTTTTCTTATCTGTAAAATGGGAATAATGAACAATAATACCTCCAGGGCTATGGTGAGGATGACTGTATAATGACCATGGGAGGGATAAGGATTTACTTGGTCAGTCATGTACACCTTAGTGTGAACAAGTTTCTGCTTCTTTCCTGAGACAAGGTTTGGATTCAGAGAGGTAGGCAAAAGCTCAGAAGCATCTGGGAGGAAAAGTCAAGAAGTGAGGATCAGGGGCCAGACTTGACCTTCCAACTTGTTCTAGAGCACACTGAGTGCCCTGTGGTCTGGGTGTGCCCTGGCTCTCCAACCCTGAGAGCAACAGAAGCCGGACGCCAGGCCCAGGCCGTTTCCTGAGGTTGCGCAGGTGTTGACTGTTGGCTCTGAGTGACACAGGAAATGGAGGCAGAAGTGACAGCAATGGTGGAGGGTGAGGAAATCCCAGGCCTCACCCTTATTTTATCTAGAAACACAGGGTTTAGGGCAGAGGTCAAACCTGTTCATCCTTCTTCAATAAAGATCATTGAAACTACTTTTATCAGGCTTCATACTGGGTGCAGATGATAAATCCACTTCATGTGGCCTGTTTCTTTGGATTCCCTTCTCTCTCTTACACCAAGAGATTGTTGGCATTTCAGCCTCCCTTGGTTTGGAGCTGAGACCAGGTTTCAGCAAACAGGACCACCCCCGGCTGCCTGAGCTGCCACCCTGCATCCAGAATCACTGGGTACACCCACAGGAGACATTCTGCCTAATTTGAAATTATGTTCCTTCTTTTCTGGTCTAGCATTTAAACTCTTTTTCAACACCTATTCCCCAGGTTTTTGCTGGTATTAGTTAGCAATCTTACAATGCATTTGGTGTGTAAGCCTTCTCCCAGATCAGAATTTTGTATGTATTTCCCTGGAGCATGGGTTCAGAGAGGTGAATCAACTTGCCCAAGGTCTCACAGCTAGTATGTGACTCCTGAGTGCTTAACCCTGATCCTCCCCCACCTTTGCTTTGCTTGGAACGCCCAAAGCCTTCTTGAGAGCCATGCCTCAGCCCAATCCCTCACGCTAATGCTGAGGATGCTGAGGTGGGGAGATGGAAAGGGTCTTGTCAAAGATCACAGGTGAGGGACAGAGCTAAGCCTGTGCTCTGCTGCCCCCAGTGCCTCCCTGGGCAAATCCTGGGGCCCATTTTCTCTGGAGCCTTTCACCTGTGAAACCTCCCCTCCTCCAGCCCAGGGTTCCTCCTGACCGTCTCCCCATCTGGGCTCAGGGAGGGCCCAGCATTGAGGAGGATCTCCTTTTCCCTGCAGGAAAGTTCTGGCACATCTCTGACCTGCACCTTGACCCTGACTACAAGGTATCTACAGACCCACTACAGGTATGCCCATCAGCCGGCTCCCAGCCGGTGCCCAACTCGGGCCCCTGGGGTGACTACCTCTGTGATTCTCCCTGGGTCCTCATCAACTCCTCTATCTACGCCATGAAGGAGATCGAGCCGGAGCCAGACTTCATCCTCTGGACAGGGTGAGAGCTGTCACAACAGCTAACCTCCACCGGGTTTCTGCTGTGTGCCACCTGCTGCCTGGCACCTTCCTGAACTATCCGCCTTAGTCCTCACTTGAAGCTCAAAGGAACCCTGGGCGTGGCTAATTCCAAAGTCTGTGCCCGTGATCTCTGTCTCCCAGCCTCAGCAGAACGTGGCTCTCCCTGAGGCTGGGGACAAGGTCATGGCTCCTTTGGGCATGTAGAGAACTCCCAAATTTTAAGTTGAGGGATGAATATTGCAGCCACTCCCACTGGGGTTCAGGCATTGCAAGCCCAGAGATCCAAAGGCAGGGATGGGAGAAAGTAGGAGGGCTGAAAGTGGTCTGGAATTGGAACCTGGTCAGCTGCTGGCCAACCTTGGGGTGTCCTGGCCCTAGGGTATTCTCACCAGTGAGAGCACTGCCCTGTGTGAGGAGAGCTTGAGGGGTGATTTCTGCTCGGCCACAGAGACTCCATTTCTGCTTCCCATCCAAGGAAGTAAGTCCTCCCACTTTCCTCTGCGCTCATTGTCCTCACCACTTGAGGTCCCCCCTTCACTCACTGGCTCCTTCTCTCCTTCCCTTGTCCAGCCTGGGGTAGAAATGGGAACTGAGATGATGTAGACCCCAACCCACCTTCAGGGAGCTCCTGGTCTTGTAGGCAATGCAGACAAGCCCCCTGTTACATCCCAGAGACAAGAGAGAGAGGGTCACTGCGGTGGGGAAGTGTGAATGTGGGAGCCTCACAGGACACTGACCATCTGGCAGGATTGGGGAGGACTTCCTGCAAGAAGTGGTGAACCAGGAAGCTCGTGAGGAAGGCTGAAGGAGCTCTGACTTCTTGCTCCCTCTTCCAGCCTCACTGGACACCTCAAAAAGCAGGATCAATGCCCTGGCCAGTTTGGCTCAGCGGTTAGAGCATCAGCCTACCGACCAATGAGTTGCGAGTTCGGTTTCGGTCAAGGGCATGCACTGTGGTTGCGGTTTGTCCCCGGCCTCAGTCAGGGTCGTGTAGGAGGCAGCCAGTTGATGTGCCCCTCTCACATTGATGTTTCTCTCTCTCCCTTTCTTACCTTCTCTCTCCCTCCCACTTTATCTGAAGATAAATGGGGGGGAAATATCCTCAGGTGATGATTTAAAAAAAAGAGAGGAAAAAAAAAAAAAGAAATGTGATAGTGTCTCATGCTTCCCTGGGCTCAGATATCAACCTAAGAAGGGTGAGACCTTTAGGCCATGACCCTGGACTCCTGCTCCTGAGAGGGTTCTTTCGGGGGGAGCCTCTGAATTCTCCAAGGAGGGGCCCTTGGAGAAAGGTGTAACATTCTGAAAGATGTGGTCCCGTTAGGAAAGGTGACTGCTTTGGGAAACTCATGATCCTTTCACAGAAGCCTGATTTTTCTGGGAAATCCCTGGGGTCTTGCAGAGATGTATGGCATTGGATGAGATGACCTTTAGGACTTTTTATAATTCTTCAATCAAAGAAATTTGACTTCCTAGGGAGAGTTGTAATCTCTTGGGGGAATAACCTGTAGAAATTGGATGTGTTTTCCACCAGACAGAAGTAGATTCTCCAAACTAGTGAAAAAAAATAGAATTTTGTTCCAATATCTGAATTTCTGGCCTGTCCCGGGGACAGGGCTACAAGGCTCTTCTTGCTGCCCCCTTGAGATGATCAGAAACACAGTAGAATGTAATGGGTGTGAACTCAGACTCTGAAGCCTCCGGGTCCAAATCCTGCCTCATCACTTTCTTTCTTTCTTTTTTAAAAAAATGTTTTATTGATATTTTAGAGAGCGAGGAAAGAAGGAGAGAGAGATAGAAACAACACATGCCCCCTACTGGGGATCGAGCCTGCAACCTGGGCATGTGCCCTGATAGGGAATTGAACCAGTGATCTCTTGGTCCATAGGTCGACACTCAACCACTGAGCCACACTGGCTGAACCTGACTCCATCACTTTCTAGTAGTATACACCTAGGCAAAATTCCTCACCTTCCTCTACCTTGGTTTCGTTATCTGCCAAATGGGATCAACAACAAAACCTATGTTGTGGGGTTATTATGAAGAACAAATTAGTGGATATGGGTACAGTGCACAGAAAGTAGCTGGCACACAGTAGGCCAGGGAGAGCTGCTAGCAGCAGTACCAGCACTATTAAGCCAACTTACTTCCCTGGGAAGGACCTGGGCAGAGCTGCCTTGCTCCCTGGAGTCCAGCAGCCCTAAGGCTTCAGCCTGTTGGGGTGCCTACTCCAAATGTCACCTTCCTCCATTCTCCTCCCCTGCTCTCCCACCTTGCTGTGCATTTCTAAGATGGATACAGCAATTTAGGTCAGACAACGGGGAGCGGGGGCATGGCTAAGTAGTCCTGAGTCAGGTCCAGGATCTGCCACAGAGTAGATCTGAACCCTGTACTCTGCAGTCAGTTCCAGACTTCTCAGAAACCTTGGAGAAAGGCGCAGAACTCAGGGATAGCTTCTCCACCCCGAGCTCCCTGGGGGCTTGCAGATGGGACTGGAACCCTAGAGCCTCCCTCTAACTACAACCCAGCAGCTACTATTCTGTATCATATATATTTATAAGATATATTTATATATATAATTATTTATTTATATATATAAAATTTCCCCTCTATTGAAGTCCACAAATACTCTATAGGTAGGTACTTTTATTATTCCTATTTTACATACGAGCTAATGTGGGCTCAGAGAGGTTAAACGACTAGCCGAGGGACCCACTGCAGGTCAGTGGCAGAGCCAGGGTTTGAACTCTGTCCTGTGTGACTCCCAACTTCAGCCTGACCATACCTCTCAGTTCCACAGCCTCTGTTCTCACAGCAGAGCCCACCCCTTACCTCATTCCCCATCCTGAGCTGGCCCTACCAAACTGGCCCCGCGGGCGGTGTTTTGCAGTGATGACACACCTCACGTGCCCAATGAGAGGCTGGGAGAGGCGGCCGTGCTGAAAATTGTGGAGCGCCTGACCAAGCTCATCAGAGAGGTCTTTCCAGGTAAGACCCTGCCATCGGTCCCTCACAGCATTGCCTGAACCCCAGGTGGTGCCTGGCACCGTGGGACAATAGCAGTAAGATGTAGAGGAATGGCCTTCATCCATTGACAGTGATGGCTGTGGTAAAGGTCCCACGCCAGACACTTCACAGCCATCATTTCTTACCTTCCAACAACCCTGCAAGGAAATGAGAGCTCAGTGGCTTGTGGATACACACAGACCTATTAATGGAAATTCCTGCTATTTCACTGCCTTCTGCCCTGCCTAACACCAGACTCCCAGCCTCTGCTCAAGGCATCTAGTTGTACACAGGCACAATCCCTGGGTAAGTCTCGAGTGGGCTGGTACACAGCCCTGTGTCCTGCTGTGGCACCCCGAGTTGCTATCCATGGCCCTCAAACCATCTCAGCTGCCAGGACCTCCCGGGGATGTTGATTTCCAGCCAAGGTGCTATTTCTTGGTGCTTCCAAGACCTTCCTTCAGAGCGTGGGAGAGCCAGGGGGAATGTGAGTGATTATGGTGGCAGCCCCATGGGCTATGACAGGGAGAATGGGGTCTGGGAGCCCAACCTAATGGCCCCTGAAAATGGTTATTAGGCAAGCTCTGCCAAACCCAGGGTGCTGGGGGCTCAATCAGGCTCTCAGGCTGCCAGCTGGGACCTGTGGAAGCAGCCCGCCAGCCACAGCCACAGCTGTTCTGGGACAGCTGCTTGCTCCAGGGTCTTAGGCATGGGTCCCCAGGACCCAGATATGAAATAATGACAATAAAAATAAATACTAACAGCAGCAGCAGTGACTGTCTGTATCTGTGTATTCTGTGTCAGGCACTCCTCTCAAAATAGGTCTTAGCTCATTGTCATTACTGTCTCAGTTTTACTGGTGAGAAATGTGAGCCTTGCCCTGGCTAGTTTGCCTCATAATTCGGTTGGCCTGTAGACTGAAGGGTCATGGGTTTGATTCCTGGTCAAGGGCATGTACCTGGGTTGCAGGTTTTATCCCCAGCCCAGGTTGAGGTGGTACAGGAAGCAACCAATCTGATGTGTGTCTCTCTCTCTCCCTTCTCCCTCCTTTTTACTCTATCTTAAAATCAATGAAAAAATATCCTCGGGTGAGGATTAACAGCAACTAAAACAAACAACAACAACAAAAGTAATGTGAACCTTGGTCCAGCAAACTGGTCAAGGTCATGTGGCAAGGGTAGTGGTAGGGGAGGAGGAATCCTGGTTGGATTACTGGTCTTTTTCTTTTTCTTGTTAATATGTTTTTATTGATTTTTTAGAGAGAGAGAAAGGGGGGGGGGAGAGAGAGAGATAGAAACATCGAAGAGAGAGAGAACACTGATTGGCTGCCTACTGCATGCCCCCCCACCCCACCCCACGGGAGATTTAGTCCACAACCTGGACATGTGCCTGACCAGGAATCGAACCTGTGACTTCTTGGTGCATGGGTTGATGCTCAACCACTGGGCCACACCTGCCGGACATCCTGTTTTTTCTTAAATGGATCTTTTTTTTTTAAATCCTTACCCAGGGATATTTTTTCCATTGATTTTTAGATAGAGTGGGAAGGAGGGAGAGAGGGAGGGGGAGAGAGAGATAGAGAGAGAAACATCATTATGTGAGAGACAGATCGATTGGTTGGTTGCCTCCTGCACGACCCTGGATAGGGACTGGGAATCAAACCCTAGACTCTCTGGTCCAAGGGCCAGGCTGATGCTCTAACCACTGAGCAAAACCACCAGGGCCTTTTAAAATGGATCTTTCACGGCTGTCGGCATTTACTTTAGAGAGATGAGGTTTTTCCAGATAGTTACACTGATGGCTTCCTGCTTTGTGAACAATTCCTGGTGGGAATTCTACAACTTCCTCCTTTGGCAGAGCTCTCGGCATTTCCAGACCCAGCAGTCTATACAGGACAAACGGTTTGTTAGAGACATTTTCCCAGCTGAGAACTGGAGGCTCCAGCCTCCCTCATTGGTTCAAGGTCACTCCCTGGGGTGAGCCAATCTCACATAAGGGCAAGGCCCTGCTCTGAACTCAGAGTTTTTGTTTATCCTCAAATATTTATTGAGCAACTACTACCTGCCAGACACAGTGGTAAAATAAAATGGGAATGAGGCTACTCACAAGGAGGAAAGAAGTCTGACATCCTCCTACCCAGTCTCGCTCCTGGGCTCATTCATAGGCCGCTTCTTCTGGGAGGCCTCCCCTGACTCCTCCTCCACCCATTATACAACTTCCATAGCAAGCGGCTCTTCCCTCCTGGTAATAGCCCACACACCTCTCATCACTCAATACCTGTCAATCCTATTGCACTGCAAGGCCTCCAGGACTGGGACTGGGTGCCTGGTACCAGGTCTACAACATACTCTTGATTCATGATTGAGTAAAACTCCTAAAGCCTCCCAGAGTGAACCAGACCTCTTCCCTAACAGTAAGATGGATCTGGAATTGACAAGAACAAGGAACACTAAACTACCACATGGCTGATAATGGATCTGAAGATTATTTCGATCTTCTAGCTTTCTTCTTCTCATCAGCTGATGCTTCCTCTCTGACCAGGAAATTTTCTGCTGGGAATGGGGTTAGGGTCCAGGATCAGAGAACTCACTGTTCTTCCTTCCCAGGTCTGAACAAAGTACAGCCAGATTCTATTAAATGAAGTTTCCAGTTTATGTGTCTATTTTGCTTATCTGTGGATTTTTCCTCATTGTTCTTCCCCATTAGCTCTGATGGCCAATGGCCAACTGAAAATGACTAACTCCACCAAGTGCTTTCATATATATATATATGAAATATATAAAATATATATGAAATATATATTTATATTTCTCCTTTCTTTCCCAGATACTAAAGTATATGCTGCTTTGGGAAATCATGATTTTCATCCCAAAAACCAGTTCCCAGCAGGGAGCAACAATATCTACAATCAGGTAGCAGAACTGTGGAGACCCTGGCTCAGTAATGAATCCATTGCTCTCTTCAAAGAAGGTACCAATACCTTTGCTACTATATGCACTGATTGTATGCCAGGGTCTGATCTAATTAATCTTCACAACATCCCCATGAAATTGGTACTGATTTATCCCCATTATATAAATAAGGAGACTGAGGCTTAAAGATACCAAGCCACTTGGCCAAGGTCACCCAGCTTAGAAGCAGACTTGGCACAGAATCCAGGCCTGACCCCAGTGCCCATGCTCTTAACCTCACAGCACTAATGAGGGTGAGCAGTGAATATTTACTGAGCATTTACCGTGTACCAGGCACTACTCTCAGCGTATTACTAGACTCCTCACAAAAACCTAGGAAAGGGCAGTGACCTTCAATTCAGTTCAGTGAGGGTTTCTCAGCCTTGTCACTATTGACATTTTGGGCCAGATAAGGGTTTGTAATCGAGTTGTGCTGTGCACTGTGGGATGTTTAGAGCATCCCTGGCCTCTATCCACTAGAGGCCAGTAACACCCCCCATTATAATAATCAAAAAATGCCTCTAGACATTGACAAACGTTCTCTGGGGGACAAAAATCACCTGGTTGAGGACAACTGATCCAAAGACACCGCTAGCCCAAGGTGACCCTGACTACTCTCGTCCCTTCCTCTGCCTCTGCTGCTGGGCTCCCCACTGGTCAGACCAACCTGTGGCACAGAAGCCCATTGACTGGGTTCACACAGATCAGCTGCTGGGGCAGAGCTGAGTGGAAAAGGATTGATGTGCATCTGAAGGGGCAAACACACCTCATTGTTATCACCATTTTACAGATGAGGAAACAGACATAGAAAAGTTAAATATCTTTTCCCGGTTGCATAGCTAATAAGTGACAGAGCCAGGACTTGAACCTAGGCAGCCTGGCTCCAGAGCCTTTGGTCTTAACCCATGATGCCCCTCCTGTGGGAAAGATGGGAAAGGAGGATCAAGGGAGGGAAAAGGAGGGAGAGTGAAGTGAAGGGGGGCAGAGGTGTGTTTAGTCAGAGACAGAGGACCCCTTCATATTTTCCCTGGTGCTGATGTCCTAGGTGCGTTCTACTCTGAGAAGTTGCCGGGGCCAAGGACGACTGGGCAAATTGTGGTCCTCAACACCAATCTGTATTATAGCAACAACGAGCAGACGGCCAGCATGGCTGACCCTGGCCGGCAGTTCCAGTGGCTGGAAGACGTGCTGAGCAATGCATCCAGAGCTGGGGAAATGGTAAGGGCTCCTACCTCCTCCCCTTCCCACTCTGAAGTCACTTCCTGAACAAGTCTCCCACCTCCACAGATTCATTCGCTCTCCCAGATGCCCACCTCACTGTGGGTCTTCATCAGCCTGGCATCAGGAGGGGGCTTCTTCCATCCTCAGAACAGCTTGTGAGGCTGGGACCCCAAAGTCTATTGCAGATGTGAGGCTCCCAAGGGGAGGTGATGGTCCCAATTCACACAATAAGTGATGGAGTCGAGACCAGAACCCCAGTCTCTAGACTCCAAGTCCATTGCTCTTTCCACTACTGCCACACTCCATGGCTGCAGCCCACACTATGGGCTAGACCTCAGGGGGATGCCCTGCACTCATTTGCTTGAGTCCCTGCACTGAACAACAGCATATCCCAGCAGGATCTCATGGCTGGTGCTTCTGAGCACTCACTATGGATTATCTCATTTAACTCCCAAAGCTCCACCAGTTAGGTGCTGCTCCCGATGAAAAAAACCAAAGCTCAGAGAGGTGACACACTGCTGGTGTCCAAGCTGTAATTTGACATCAAAGTTCCTGCTCCTAATAATTGCCCTCTCCCTCACCCCCATCCTACCTCTTGCAGTGGTGGCCAAGGGCCTAGGTATTGTTAGCTGAATGACTCAAGGAATATAAGACGTGATCACATATGAACACATAGCATGTGCTACACAGTTATGCAAGGGAGGTTCATTTACAGTGCCTGGGCTCTCCAAGAGAAGACCAGTCTGTGAGGATCAGGAAGGTTTCACGAGGAGGTGCCCTTGAATGGGGTTTTGAAGTCTAAGTGGGATTTACAGATGTGAAAATGAGAAGGGTACTCCAGGTGGCAGGCACAGCATGGGCAAAGGCACAGAGCTGGGGAAGCGTGTGTACACCTGTTACTGGGCACAGAAAATACTGGAATCTGCCTGGAAGAGGGAAGGCAGAGGGCTTTGAGAGGAGGTGCATTTGAGCCTGTCTGCTTGCCTTTGGGGACATGGGCAGGTTTTGAGAGGTGGAAAAGAAGGGTTGGGGAGGTCATCTCTGGGCCCTTCCTGGAACCCCTTTTTCATAGGTGTACATTATTGGCCACGTGCCCCCTGGGTTCTTTGAGAAGACGCGGAACAAAGCTTGGTTCCGGGAGGGCTTCAATGAGAAATACCTGAAGGTGGTCCAGAAGCACCATCGAGTCATCGCAGGACAGTTCTTCGGGCACCACCACACGGACAGCTTTAGGATGTTCTATGATGATGCAGGTACTCAACCTGGAGGGCACCTGCCAGCCTACCTCCCTCCTCCTCTCGCCAGCTTCTCAGTCCCACTGTTTCTCTCCTGAAAGGTGCCCCCATCAGTGTCATGTTCCTTACACCTGGGGTTACCCCATGGAAAACCACATTACCTGGAGTGATCAACGGGGCCAACAATCCAGGTATCCGGGTGTTCGAATACGACCGAGCCACACTGCGCCTGCAGGTCAGGAGCCCTGGGTTTGCTGGGGCTGGAGGAGGAAGGAGGGGAGGGACCCGAATGCATCACCACATTCCCTAACTCTTTCCCAGCTAGTTCACACTCTAATAACTACTGAACCTCAGGAAGGTCAAGTTATTTCCGCCCTTCTAGAGCTCAAGATCAGACCCCTGGTGCTATCTCCAAATCCTGCCGCCAAATCAGGTCACTTCTTCCCCAAATCTCCCTTTGCCCTGGATCACTGTCACGGCCTCCTACCTGATTTCTCTGCCTCCAGCACTGTTCTGCTGTAGTTCATCTGCTACATACTACAGAAAGTATTCATCTTTCTAGAGCACTTGTCTCTCTCCTGCTCACAAACCTTCAGTGGCTCCCTAGTGTCAAGATGGATCTCCTAGGCCTGGTATTCAAGTGTGTCCTTAGGCCCACTGCCCAGGTCTGTCTTCTCTACACTGATTATGCTACAGCCAAAGCAGGTCCCTAACTCATCAAGCACTCCCTCACCTCCGGGAATGTGCTTGTGATTGTTGAAATGACAAAGAAATATTATTCCTTAATTTATTCACCAAAATGTATTCATTATCGGCCATGTTCCAGGCCCTGCGCTAAGCTTAGGAGTTACATAAGTGAACAAAAACCAAGTCACTGCTCTCCAGAAGCTAACATTCTTATAGGACACAACCAATAAACAAATAGGTAAAGTTAAGTATGGCAATGAGTTAAGTGCTAAGGAGAAAAGAAAACAGTGAAGAGGCAGGTGGTGATGGTTATAGAGTGTGCATGTGTGCTGTTAGAGAGCGGTGGCAGGGAAGTGTCACTGATAGGATGACATTTACTTGTTTATTTTAATTTTATTTTTTTATCCTCACCCGAGGACATTTTTCCAATTTGTTCAGCTAGAGTGGGAGGGAGAGAGAGGAAGACAGAAAGAGAGAGAGAAACATCAATGTGAAAGGGACACATCGAGTGGCCGCCTCCTGCATGACCCCGGCCAGGGACAAATCGCAACTGAGGTACATGCCCTTGACCAGAATCAAACCCGCAACTCATTGGTCCACGGGCTGATGCTCTAACCACTGAGCAAAACTGGCCAGGGCGACATTTATTTTCACTATTATTTTTTTCTTTACTGATTTTATTTTTATTTATTTATTATTGATTTGAGAGAGAGAGAGAGAGAGAGAGAGAGAGAGAGAGGAAGGTAGAGGGAGACAGAGATAGAAACATTGATGAGAGAGAACATCGATTGGCCGCCTCCTGCATGCCCCCCACTGGGGATTTGGCCAACAACCTGGGCATGTGCCCTGACTGGGAATTGAACCTGCAACCTCTTGGTGCATGCTTCGATGCTCAACCACTGAGCAACACCGACAGGGCTAGGATGACATTTCAATTCTGAGTAAACCGAGGGAGTGAGCCATATGAGCATCTGGGGAAGGTGGATGAAGAGCAAGTGAAAGGCCCTGGGGTAGAAACGTGCCTAGTGCATTAGAAGAGCAAGCAGGCCAGTGTGGCCCCAGCGGGAGGCACAAAGAGAAAGAGTGGGGGGACGAGGTTAGATCATGCAGGTCATGAGTAGGACTCTGGATCTGGGAAGTTTGGGGCAGAAGAATTAAATATACTAACTTACAAAATTTACAAAATCACATGTCTGTTGTGCAGAGGACAGGCTGTAGGGGTTAAGGGCAGAAACAGGAGGATGAATTAGGAGGTGACTACAATAACCACAAGAGGTGATGGGGATGTGGGCCAGGGTGGTAGCAGTTGGGTGGTGAGAAGTGCCAGATCCTGGATATATTTTGAAGGTAGAACAGACAGGATTTGTTGGTGGACTGGATGAGAGGGGTGAGAGAAAGAGGAATTAAGGAGGACTCCAAGGCTTTAGTCTGAAAACCTGGAAGGATGACATTGCTATTGACTGAAATGGGATCACTGCAGAAGATTTTGGAGGAAAGATCAGAAATCTGGTTTTGGACCTGTTAACTTCAGGATGTCTAAATGGCATCCAAGTGAAAATGCTGAGGGAGGAGGCAGCTGGAGTTGCAGGAAGAGGGGGGTCTTGAGATTTAATCCGGGAGTTGAGAAAAGCCATATAAAACCACAGACTGGCCCAGCTGGTATGGCTCAGTAGTTGAGTGTTAGTCGCTGGTTCGATTCCCAGTCAGGGTACATGCCCAGGTTGTGGGACTGATCCCCAGTGGGGGGCATGCAGGAGGCAACCAATTGATGTTCTCTCTCATCGATGTTTCTATTTCTCTCTCTCCCTTTCCCTTCCACTCTCTTAAAAATCAATAAAGAAAAAAATTTTTTTAAACCACAGACTGAGATAACCTAGGTCCTTGATTCTGGAGTAAATGGAGATGGAGAAGAGGTCTGAGGACTTTTAAGAGTATGACTCTTGCCCTGGCCGGTTTGGCTCAGAGGTTAGAGTGTCGGCCTGCGGTCCTGAGAGACCCAGGTTCAATTTCCGCTAAGGGCACGTACCTCGGTTGCAGTTTGTCCCTGGCCCTGGTTGGTCGTGCGGGTGGCAGCCACTCAATGTGTCCCTTTCACGTCGATGTTCCTCTCTCTCTCTCTCTCTTCCTCTCTCTCCCTCCCACTCTATCTGAACAAAAAATGGAAAACTGTCCTCAGGAGAGGATTAAAAAAAAAGAGAGAGAGAGTATGACTCTTATTCTTATGGGCACTCAGAGGGCCTTAGCAAGAGGAATCACAGGCTGGGACTCCCTCCTCCCTGCTGCACCTGGCCCCACCAACATGCCTTACATCCTTCTCAGGGAGGGTCAGACACACCTGATTTTGAATCCTAGCTCCACCACTCACAAGGCTTTTGAGCTCCTTGGGCCTCCCTTGTTTCATATGTAAAATGGAAGTACCATCCATACATGGCAGCTCTTCTTACTCTACCTCTAGTGACCTGAAGCAGATCCACAAATTTAAATGGAAAGTGTTGGACAGATAAAACCTTCCCGATTCTTGTCCTGAAGATGCACCTGAGTCCTTGGTATATTCCAAGCCTCCAATCAACCACAGTTCTATAATCTCTCAGCCTGGCACTCTATTCTTCAAGTTACTTTTTATCCATTCATAATGTAAATATTTACTGAGCATCTTCTGTGTACCTAGGAGTTTGCTGGGACAGAAAGTGCGCAGGCCATGGGATAAACCACCTGGTTCCACTCCCACCTTAGCACTGAACACCTGTAGGACCCTGGGCAAAGGAACTAACCTCTTTAGGACTCAGTTTCTTCATCTGTGAAATGGGGTAATAAGAGCAGTTACCTCATTAGATTCAAAGGATGGCTGCCACACACACACACACGATGGCTGTTCCCCCCCCCCCCCACACACACACCTGGTAAGTAGTAAATGCTCATTAACTTATAGTGGTCATTAGTACGGATATATAGAATTTGGGAGCAAAGACAAGGTGCAGGATTGGGGGTGGAAGCAGGCAGTTGCTCATGGCGGCCCGCCTTGTGCCCCTCTCCAGGACATGGTGACTTACTTCGTTAACCTGAGCCAGGCGAACGCGCAGGGGATGGCGCGCTGGGAGCTCGAGTACCAGCTGACCAAGGCCTACGGGGTGCCCGACGCAGGCGCCCGCGCCATGCACGCTGCGCTGGGCCGCATCGCCAGCGACCAGGGCACGCTCCAGCGCTACTATGTCTACAATTCCGTCAGCTACGACACGCGGGCCTGCGACGAGGCCTGCCGCGCCGAGCACGTTTGCGCGCTTCGCGAAGTAGCTTTCGACGCGTACGCCACCTGCCTGCGCGGCCCTGGCACTGCTCTCGCACCCGGGCTCGCGCTGCCGCTGGCGCCGCTGCTCGGCCTGAGCGCGTTGCTCGCGCGGTGACCTTGGGCGCCACCTGCCGGATCGCTGGTTTGCCTTCCTCGGGATAAACCGGCCAACGGCACCCACTGAGGGCTGGACTTTTTTCCATTTTACCGGCGCCCGCAGAGTGAACCGGGATGGGTCAGCCAGATCAGGAAATGAAGCCCAAAGACCCTACACAAGTACATTTCTTCCAAGTTTCACGTTTTATCTTTAAAAATGTTAATTGTGCATCTTATTCTGCGCATTATTCTTTCAATATGTAAATATTGTTTAAAGCAACTCCCCTGCAGTTAGCAAAGTCCTTCCACGGATAACTGGAGTAAAATGAGCCGCTAGGAGGACGCACCTCTTTGATTCTGTGCCCTAGGTCTCCCCTGGCTCGTGGCCCAAACTCGAGGCACACTTAGTTCGTGAAATCCAGCAATCTGGGATCAAAATAGGCCTTTGTTTTGTTTCACAACAATGCAATGTGAGAGGTCGCAGTTCTAGCCTGGGCGCTAATCTTTAGGCCGTTTTCGCCGTCAGGGCCTCCAGGAGCCTCAAATGCAAACAAGGCAATTAGAAGCTTTTTAAACTAAGGGCAGCGCATCTCGCACAGTCCGCTTTCGGACCTACGGTCCTCCCGGCTCTGCCGGGCTGGGTGGGTAACTCCCAGGGGTCCCGAGGCGGGGGCGGGGTCCGCGGTCCTCGCTCCTCCCCGGACGGGGCGGGACGGGGAAGTACCGCCCAGGAGGCCGGGGCCCTGGGACGCTCCGAGGGTTGTAACCGCCTCCTTCCTGCAGCTAGGACCCGGGCCGGGAAGGCGGGTCCCAGCCCCGAAGGGAAGGAGCGGGAGAGGTTGACGGGTCATGCCCTGGTCACTCCGCGCCATTCTCCTTCGGGACCTGATCCTGGACGTAGTGGGCGTCTCTGCCTTCCTGATCCACCTGGGCGCCGACCTGTGGCTCGTGAGCCAGTATGTGCTCAGCGGTCGCTACCTGTGGGCCGCACTGGTGTTGATGCTGCTGGGTCTCGCCTCGGTCGCACTGCAAGTCTTCAGCTGGGTCTGGCTGCGCGCCGACCCCGCCGGCCTTCACTCGTCCCAGCCCTCAGGCCGCTGCCTGGCGCTGCTCCATCTCCTGCAGCTGGGCTACCTGTACAGGTGAGCGCCCCGTCGTCGGGAAGAGGGAGGGGGAACGGAGCCCAGAGGTACCTCCTGCAGCCGGGCTACTAGTACAGGCCAGCGCCCTGACACGGGAAGCGGGTGGGGAAATACCTCGTGGGTACCTTTACCTACAGCTCCTTAAAGAAATATAACTCCGGCTTACAGCCCTCAGAACTCCTCTAGCTCTACCCTTCCTGGCACAGATGAAGAAACTGAGGCCCAGAGAAGAAAGGCATGATTTGGAGTCAGATGTCTCAGGGATCCAATCTTGGTTTTATCACCTGTGGCCTCATTCCTGTCTTTCTCCCAGCCTCAGTTTCCTTCTCTGTTAAAAAGTAGTAATCTAGAGATAGGTCTGGCAGGCAGGCCTGTTGTGAGGGGTGAAGGAAAGAGCACAGTGCTCGGCTCCTGAAGGACTCCATTGAAATGGCAAAGAGGTGCAGGCAGACCAGTGTTCCTTTTAGCTGTGGGCGGGGCCTTCTGCGAGTCACTTGATCCCTACAGGTCTCAGTTTACTCATTGTTCCAGTGGGAATGGTCATTGTGCCTACCTCTGTTTGGTAAAGATTAAATGAGACCTGTGACTTGCATGCAAATGTCAGCTAGCTTCATGAGAGTTTTGGAAGCGTTGACCCCACCCCCCCAGCAGTCTTGTTCCCTTACTCCTGAGTGCCTCCCACCCTTTCTTTCCCATTTCTATTTTCCCTGAACATTTTCTCCCCAACTCTTCCCCCTCCCAACCTGACCAAGCAAGAGGGCAGAGATGGGGTCTGATTCATCCATGTAGCCAGCCAGGGCTGGGCATAGGCCTGATCCCGGAAAATCTGGGTGGGATTTTCCAGAACTGGCAGGGATCTCTAGAGATGGGGAAACTGACACCAAGGGGTCAGAGTCATAAAGTCAGGGCATGGTGTGGTCTGGGTTGGGATGGGGTGGCTGGAGCCAGGATCTGCCTTGAATCCATTTTTACAGATTCTCTCCAGATCTTGCCTTAACACAGCTGCACTGAGTATCTAGAGGGACACTTATTACCATCTTGGCAGGCCTCAATGAGCCCCGAATCCATAACTACATCATACACCTTCCTTCTATTTCTGCTGAGTGTGAAGCAGACAATGTACTGAGCTTTGGTTTTGAAAACGGGACCTCTGTCTGCCTGTGGCTAGGCTGAGGCAGGGTCTTGCCATGACATTAGGGGATCAGAGGCAGAGGCTCCTGCTGAGGGAGAGCTCCAACCTGGGCCTGCCCATCTACTTCCTCACTGTGTTGTCAAGTTCATCCAGGGAAGGTAACAGTACATGTCTGATGAATGAATTCACAGTAAATGAATGGGCTCACTTCCCAGTAGCCAACTGAGACCAGTTGTGGGTGGGGGAGCCTTGGTGCATTTTCTACTCTCCCCTCACGCCAGTGGGTCACCCAGGCCTGTTTGTCCAACCTCTGGCCTCTCAGCTTTGTCCTGGTCTCCATCCCCACCACTCTGGACTCTTGTCCTTTCTCCCTGGATTGTTACAAGAGCCCCTTAAATAGATCCCTCCTTCTGGTGTAGCCCCTCCAACCCTTCCTCTTCTCCACAGCCTGTGAGTTCTTTCTAAAGCACAATCTGACCTGTCTCAACTGCTCAGAAACTCTCAATGGCTCCCCTTCCCCACAGGACCTTAAGAAATTCTTAGGCTTGCTAAAATTTGAGTACTGTCACCTTAGGCAATTTTATTGTGTGCCTTTGATATTCAAACATCACTACTTATTAGCTCTTTGGTCATGTTTTCCCAACTGTAAAAAGGGGTGTTGTAAGGCAAAAATAGGACAAGGTTTGTAATGAACTTGATACAGTGTTTGGCCAGCAGGAGCAGCAAGTAGTTGTATTTATCTTCATATCTACAGATGAAGAAACAAGTTCAGTGAGATTCATTGGCTTGCCCAAGGTCCCATAGCATGTTAGTGATGAGCTAGGATTGGAGCCTGTCTGCATGTACCTGATAAGTAGGGGAAGGAACAATGCCTCAGCATACTAACCTGGCCCCTTGGGTCATCTGTATGTGCCTAGGTACATGCAAGGGCTACAGCAGGGTCTGTTGGTGTGGCAGCAGGAGGTGCCCTCCGAGTTTGACTTGGCCTACGCTGACTTCCTCTCCCTGGACATCAGTATGCTGCGGCTCTTTGAGACCTTCCTGGAGAAGACGCCGCAGCTCACGCTGGTGCTGGCCATCATGCTGCAGAGTGGCCAGGCCGAGTACTACCAGTGTAAGTAGTCGTCCTGCCAGCAGCTGGCCCCCATTTTATGGCTTGGGAAAATTTCCCACAAATATCAGAAATACTTTCACTCTTTTATAAGGCCTGCTTAGAAAACAGGAGCACATCCTTTAGTCAGGGTGGTCTGGGTTCAATTCCAAAGTCAAATCCAAACACTAGCTGTATGAATTTGGACAAATAACTCAACCTCTCTTGAGTATCAGTTTGTTTTCATCAGTAAAATGGGCATGGCATAAGTAATCCTACTTCATAGGATTGATGAAAGGAGTAAGGGAGGAGATGCATATACAGCCTAGTGCCTGGCACATAATAAATCTTAATTGTAATTTTTACTATTTTGAAGACAACAGATAAAGTGTGGAGGGTGCCTGACACTTAATCGGCAACTTGTTTATTGAGCAACTTCATTCACTTAAGTGTGTTTTTTTTATCCTCACCTGAGGACATTTTTTCATTTTTTGTTCAGATAGAGTGGGAGGGAGAGAGAGAGAGAGAAACATTGACATGAAAGAGACACATCGAGTGGTTGCCACCCACACAACCCATCCAGGGGCGGGGACAAACTGCAACCGAGGTACGTGCCCTTAGCGGAAACTGAACCCGGGTCTCTTTGGACCGCAGACCGACGCTCTAACCGCTGCGCCAAACTGGCCAGGGCTCACTTAAGTTTTTATTTATTTATTTTTTTATTATTATTTTTTTTATCCTCACCCGAGGGCATTTTTCCATTTTTTATTCAGGTAAAGTGGGAGGGAGAGAGAAGAACAGAGAGAGAGAGAGAAACATCGACGTGAAAGGGACACATTGAGTGGCTGCCACCCACACAACCAACCAGGGCCGGGGACAAACCGCAACCGAGGTACATGCCCTTAGCGGGAACCGAACCCGGGTCCCTCTGGACCGCAGGGCGACACTCTAACCGCTGGGCCAAACCGGCCAGGGCCTTAAGTTTTTATTGAGCACCTTTGTGCCTGTCTCTGTGCTGGGGACACTGCAGTGAACAAGGACCAGCCTCTGCCCTGCTGGGATGGCAGTAAAGCAGGTAGTGTGCTGAGCGATCTGAAACAGGAGAGGCAGGTGGCCTTATACACCATGGGAGAAGTTTGTACACTGAGGAGCTTTGGAAGGGTTTTCTCCTGTAAAAGGGAAGTAATGTGTCCAAGGTCACAGACCAGCTGGTAGCCTAGCTAGGACTCCAACTCATGTCTGATTCAAGGTCCAGGGCTCCCCCTTCTCTGCTACACCCCCGCACCCCTGCTGTAAATACCACAGCCTCCTAAAGATCCAGTCTCCACTCCGTCATCACTCACTGTGTGACCTGGAGAGTCTTCTCCTCTCTGGCCTCAGTTTCCATAGCTGTACAAGAGGGTTGGACTTGATCTCCAAGGACCCTTTCAGCTTGCTAATTTGAGTCTGTAGTATGCATTGAAAGAGACCAGTAATAGCAGCCACTATTAACTGGGTACTATGCAGAGTGCCCTGTCTTCAGTGCTCGCATTCACAGTCCTACAGGTTGGTCCTATGTTTAGCTCCATTTTGCAGAAGAGGAAAGAGGTACAGAAAGGTGAAGTGATTTGTCCTGGGACACACAGCACTCACTGGGCACACACTTTTGTTTGTCTATTTGAGGACAGTGGGTGTCTAGGACCAGAGTCAAATGGATACAGCTGGCACTGTATGTGTGTGGGGGTGGGGGAGAGGAGCAAGGGAAGAGACAGATTTTCCCAACTTTTTATTTAGCCAACATTTATTCGGCTGCTATTATGTCCTGGGTACTGGGCTGCCTGGGGATCCCAGCGGAGCAGAATCTGTTTCCTACCCTGAAGGAGCTTAGAGATAAGGAAATAGAAAATTACTCCAACAGAAGTGAGTGGGGTCAGATCTAGATGGGTGGCTCTAGGGGATACCCAGGCTGGAACTTGCAGGGTAAGGAGGAACAGGCCAGGAGAAACAGGGCATGTGCTCGTGGACTACCTAACACCATGGGCAAAGCTCAGAGAATGCGGCGTGCTGTGCATGCTGGAAGAACACCATCCTTTTGAGGCCTAGAGTGTGGGGAGTTGGAAAGGATGATGCCATAGATGTGATTCCAGGCTGGGTGTGGGTTCTGGCCTATAGCAGGTTCCCAGTAAACATCTGTTGAATGGATGTGGGCGGAGGGAGGCAGGGGAGGAAGCATTCTAAAAGCATTCCAGTGCTGCTTCCCTCCCTCCCTGGGGGCCCCTGGTGCTTCTGGTCCATGGTGGACAACCAGGAGGTGGGATGGGATCCCCACCATAAACTTTGAATCTTAGAAAATCCAGACCAGGGCCCAGTCTGAGCATGGAGGGGAGGGGAGCGAGGACGTCCCATCCATACAGCAGGGCACCTTCAGCCAGAGGCCTGTGGCCACCTAGTGGGGTTTCCAGCTTCCCTTTCTAAGACTAAGAAAGGGGGAACTAGGACTGCTAATGCTCAGATCCAAGACAGGCTTGGGCTCTTCCGGGAAAGGAAGGGTTCTGGGGCTCTCTGAGGGGCTCACGGTGTGGCCAAGGCCCACGGGTCAGAGAAGGCTGTATATGTCACACACCCTTTCATCCCTGAAAAATATCACTGTGGTAGCACCTGAGAAGTAAAGCTTCATGGGGAGGGACAGGCCCCATATTTGAATCCCAGGTCTGTTTTTGGTTGTGAGAACAATGTTCTCCAGCTGTAGTTTCCCTTCAACAAACTGGGGGTTCTAATACCCACCGCAGGGTGGTTATGAGGGCCTCCAGAACCTGTGGGCTCTGGGGAGCACCAGGCAGATTGCCCACAGGGCTCAACTGTTTCCTCTCCCTCTCCACAGGGGTCAGCATCTGCACGTCCTTCGTGGGTATCTCATGGGCACTGCTTGACTACCACCGGGCCTTGCGCACCTGCCTCCCCTCCAAACCCATCCTGGGGCTGGGCTCCTCCGTGATCTACTTCCTGTGGAACCTGCTGCTGCTGTGGCCCCGAGTCCTGGCTGTGGCCCTGTTCTCAGCCCTCTTCCCCTGCTACGTGGCTCTGCACTTCTTGGGCCTGTGGCTGGTGTTGCTGTTCTGGGTCTGGTTTCAGGGCACTGACTTTATGCCAGATCCCCGCTCTGAGTGGCTGTACCGGGCAACAGTGGCCACCATCCTTTATTTCTCCTGGTTCAATGTGGCTGAGGGTCGCACTCGAGGTCGCGCCACTATCCACCTGGTGTTTCTCCTGAGTGACAGCATTCTCATGGTGGTCACCTGGGTGACTCAAAGTGCCTGGCTGCCCAGGGGGATCCCGCTGCAGATGTTGCTGCCTGTGGGTGGCATCAGCTTCCTTTTGGGTCTGGTCCTGCGGCTTGTTTACTACTGCTGGCTGCACCCCAGCTACCGCAGGGAGCCTGCGCAGGTGGATGGGACCCGCGCCCTTTACTTCCTCGAGTGCTCTCAGTTGCCTCAGAACAGGCGCACGGGCCATTTGGCTCAGAATTTTTTCCCCAAGTCTAGGGATGAGGCTGCTTTGCAATGGGAGAGAAGGGCAAATGGGGTCCTTTGAGGCAGGGTCAGACCCAGCCAGAAGAACAGATGGACAAGATAAGCTAATTATGCTGCTATGGGCCTTGATTCACTCAACAAGCACTTGATGCCTGATCTTGCCAGACACAGAAGACCAGAGATGAGTAAGACAGAGGCCTGCCTTCAAAGATAAGAACAAGATGAGAAGGGCCAGGTCCTGGAGGGTCAAGAGCCTTAGTTATATACAAAACACTTTGGGAGGAAAGAAGAAATCCCTTTTCTTTTCCTTCCAACCAGTATGTATGGTGCCCGAAGCATCCCAGTGTTTGCATTTTCACCTCCAAAATAATTGGTGGAGGTGACATTTCACCCCTTGGTTCCCCTATTCTGGACTAGAAGGCCCTAAGACCTCCAGAATGTGTTCTCTAGAGTTCTTCCCCCTACCCCACCTCAGTCATTCAGTTCATTCACCAACTGTTTACTGAGAGCATTTTTTGTGTGCCAGGAACATCACTCTGTTCTTGGAACCTGGAACAAGATCAGCTTCCACCCTTCCCATCTCCAGTTGCCCCAATGTAGGCTCATATGCTAGAAGCCTGGATGCCTAGTTGGCTGGAGTCTGTCAACCCCTCCAAGGCTTAACTGCAGCTGGCCCAGCCTCTGCCCCTGCTCTCACGGGGCCACCTTTCAACCAAGTGCCTTGTGAACCTGTGATCTGGGCTATGGCTCAGCCTGTTGAGTATTTTTTATACTTTAGACAGTGTACTTCCTACCTCAGAGTCTATTGTGAGAAGAAGAGAAGGTGTGCACATATGTCTCTGCAGGTGAGAGATACGCATGTGTTGTTTTTGTTGAACAGTATTATAAGGTTATTATTAAAACGTTATAAAATCCTCCAAAGTAGTTGTCATTAAACTAAATCTACAGAGTTCAAAGCCACTTGGAAGAAGGAATCCGAGACACAAAGTCCACTGCTCAAAATTGGTAAAGGCCCCTGGGACAGAGAAGAGGGTTGGCTTGGCAGGACTTCTTAACCTTGTGTTCTAAGTTTTGGGAGCTGAGCCAGGGTGAGGTTGATCATTCAGGTGGGCATCAGAACCCAGATGTGGACTGACTTGGATTCTGCTGCCAGGCCTGGCTGGAGTAGCCACAAACACCTTTAGGTCCAGGAAGTGAGTGTAAGAGCCCAGGTGAAGCTCTTTTGCTGGGAGCTCAGGGAGGGTGTAAGTGATGAGGTGGCGTAAGGGATGCGGAAGTAGATAATAGTGTCGGGGAGGTGGAACCTTTTGCTGCTCTTGGGAGGTCTGTGGTTTGGAGAAACAAGGAATAGGAAATGGGTGCTGAAAACAGAAGAAAACAGTTGCCACTGTCATAGGATTCAGGATAGTCTCAGTTCCATTATTCATTCATTCATTCATTCATTCATTCATTCATTCATTCATTCTAGTGGAGACATAGATAGGATAAGTAAAACAGTGTATCAGACAGTGTTAAGTGCTAAAATACAAAGGGAAGGGGTCTGGCTGGTGTGGCGCAGTGGTTGAGCATCGACTCATGCACCAAGAGGTCATTGATTCAATTCCTGGTCAGGACACATGCCCAGGGTGTGGGCCCAATCCCCAGCGGGGGGCATGCAGAAGGCTGCCAGTGGATGTTCTCTCTCATGGATGTTTCTATCTTTCCCTCTCACTTCCTCTCTCTCTCTCAAATCAATAAAGGGAAAGGGAGAGTGTGTGTGTTTTGTGTGTTGTGTGGGAGTTACAATTTTGTGTAGAATGGCCAGGGAAGGCCTCCCTAAGAAACAAAGCCATAAAGGAGATGAGGGAGGGTCTCTGGATTGAGCATCATCCCATGGACTGAGGTCCTGGTTCGATTTCTGGTCAGGTCACAAGCCCAGGTTTCGGGCCCGATCCCCAGTGAGGATGGTGGAGTGTTCGGAGGAGACAGCTAATCGATGTTTCTCACATTGATGTTTCTATCTCTACCTCTCTCTCTAAAAAAATCAATAAAAAACATAATGAAATAAACAAAGGAGATGAGAAAGCCATGCACATGAATTTTATCCCAGGCACCAAGCCAGCAGTGACTTATGGAGGGCTGTAGCAGCGAGATTGGCCTAGAGCCAAACATGACACAGAGATGAGGGTTGGGAGAAGGAAGAGGCTCTGGGAAGCTGGTGCTGGTGCTTTTCTACATGCATAATATAGTAGAGGAAGAAAATGGCCAACATGGTCACCAACATAATTTTAACAAAAAAGGTGGTAAAAACTATCAGCATCTATTGTATTCATCATCTCTAAACGAAAGGATATAATGAACCCACGAAAAGGACCTTTTTTTTTTTTAATCCTCACTCAAGGATATTTTTCTATTTATCTTCAGATATAGTGGGAGGGAGGGGAAGAGAGAGAGAAACATCGATTGATTGGTTGCCTCCGGTACAACCAGGACCAGGGACGAACTGCAACTGAGGTACATGCCCTTGACCGGAATCGAACCTGAGACTTTTTGGTCCGTGGGCCGATGCTCTACCCGCTGAGCCAAACTGGCCAGGGCAGGACCATTCTTTTAATTGAATACATTTAAACACAACACTGAAATAATTATCATTTTTCTCAATTCATAAGCAATATCAAGAGTTGAGACCTTGGACATAGGTCCTAAGTTTCACTAAACCAAATATTTGCTCCATTTACTTTTCCACATTTCTTCCTGTCATATGTGGAGACCAGGCTCAGGGGAGATACCAAATATGTCAACGAAAGATGCAAAGTTTTAGGCAATTCCCTATTTTTCCCTGAAAAAAACCCAAAAAGATGTTGTTTTTATGCCAAAGTTCTCATCTATACTCTAGATGAAGTTGTCAAATGATGGCAATATGTATGCAATTAACTCCAAATAATGTATACTGTATTACCTAAAAAGCTATAGAAAAAGCTTAATTTGTATATACGCTTAACAGTTTACAGAATCAAGAACTCTAACAAGTAACAATTATGTGCCATTAAAATTTCCTTTGAAGATTCCCATCAATTATTTTTTAAAAAAAATGTCAAGAAACATGTTTTTGAAGAATAAAAAAACCTAAATTTCCTGCCACCAAAATTTTTTTTTTATCCTCACCTGAGGACTTTTTCCCATTTTTGTTCAGTTAGAGTGAGAGAGAAACATTGACATGAAAGGGACACATCCAGTGGCTGCCTCGGCACAACCCCAACCAGGGCCGGGGACAAACTGCAACCAAGTTACATGCCTTTAGCGGGAACGGAACCCGGGTTTCTCTGAACTGTGGGCTGATGCTCTCACAGTTGAGCCAAACCGGCCAGGGCCAAAAGTTTTTTTTTGAGAAATATGTAGATGTTATACTTATTGTAGGAGGAGATGAAGATGTTTACTCTGGACTTGAGAAGCAATCAATACTCTAATATTAGTATTTACATGCAAGTAAGGGTATACTAAGTCACAAGTTTGCTTCATCTACAGTGGGTTCAAAATATGCACCTTCTTTTTTAATATTATTTATTTATTTTTTTATCCTCACCTGAGGACATTTTTCCATTTTTTGTTCAGACAGAGTGGAAGGGAGAGAAAGAGAGAAACATCGGCATGAAAGGGGACACATCGAGTGGCTGCCTCCCGCACAACCCAACCAGGGCCGGGGACAAATTGCAACCGAAGTACGTGCCCTTAGCGGGAACTGAACCCAGGTCTCTCTGGACCGCAGGCTGACACTCTAACCACTGAGCCAAACCGGCCAGGGAGTTTATTATTTTTTCTAAATCCTCACCTGAGGCTATGCCGAGAGGAAGGGGGAGAGAAACATTGATGTGAGAAACATCAATTGGTTGCCTTCCATACGTGCTCTGACCAGGATTTGAACCCGAAACCTAGGTATGTGCCCTGATCGGAATTGAATCTGCAACCATTTGGTGTATGGGACAATGCATCAACCAACCGAACCACCTGGCCACGGCCAAAATTTGCACCTTCTGATGAAAAGATTTAATGCCTAGAATACATGGCAATCCCCACTTTTCTGGGGTAATTTGGGAAAAAATACATCTTGTAGTCTGACAGGTATGGTACTTGAAAGCAAGAGCTGAATTCTGATTTCCCTCTTTGGAATAAAAGGCGAAAAAATTCTTGATTTTTCCAGACTAATAACGTTGTCAGACCCAAACGTGAAGAAATGAAATGAGATAAAGTAGCTGATGTGACATGAAATCAGGCCCAAACAAGGTTTGATGTCAGTTTGTCTGTTTTATTGCTTTTGTGTTGTAAGCTCAGCACAGCAAGTTACTCTCTCTTTAATAATTAAATTTCAGCATATTTGACAGCAAATGAAATCTCTTATCATACTAATCCTAAACTTTATAAAATTTCATTTTAGAAACAGTTAAAAAATAAACTTTCCCTTGCAAATTATTTTAAGATATTTCTTTTATTTTTCCATGTACATTTATTTACACCAAATGGTTAGTTATTTTGTTTCTACTTTTTTGGTGAAATTAATGACTAAGTTATCAAAAGGTGCTATCTTTTAATGAGCTGTTCAGATTTTTATGAAGCCTTACTTAGGCGCCTACCAGCTGGGCTACTGGGCTGATTCTATTCAGAAAAGACACAGGAGCAAACTGTATAGAAAATAAAAACTTTATTTTTTTCAAGTTTACAAGATAATTCCCATTACATATAACATTATGGTCAAAGACTCTATAGCCACGAATGCCCGCAGTCACATAAATATATCCAATTCAGTCAATGCCTTTTACTGCTAAACGAGGCATCTGTAATCCAGAGGGTCAGGTTTTGAGAAGTCGTCCTTAATGGGATGGCTCCTGTCAGTGCATTAGGAACTAACCAATGAGCCTTGCTTGCTAGAGCTGTCCGACTCAGAGGAGAGGAAGGGACAGAGGGCCTGCTGACTGGGATGGAACAGAACCAGATTTTCTCTCTTGTGGTTTAAGATACTTTAGAATCTGCCCTGGCTGGTGTGGCTGTTGGTTGAGCAGAATCCCATGCACTGAGAGGTCAGGGCACATACCCAGGTTGTGGGCTCGATTCCCAGTAGGGGGCGTGCAGGGGGCAGCTGATCGACGTTTCTCTCCCTTTCTAAAAATCAATGATTTGGCTTGTATAGTGTAAATCTGGGGAGTTCCAACTTTTGGATAGAAAAGGAAACCTATCTAGTGGTAAGAAACAGAGCTAGCTTAAGAGGAGTCCTACTTGCCCCTTCCTGTAGGATCGAGGAGAGGAACACCCCAAGCTCACCACCCCTGGCTTAGACCATCTCTCTCCCAGGAAGAGGGAGAATGGCTCTGCACTCTCCTCTCCCCCATGCTTCAGGGGCACTGACACCCATTCAAGGGAGTGGACCTCTAGAAGCTCCATATGCTGCAGCTGGAGTTTGCCAGTCAGATTCTACTTGGGAGCTTTAAAGCTGAGTTTGTGTAAACTGCGAACAAGCTGTGGCACAAGTCTCCTGGGACACCAGCTTTGCCCCTCCCCCAACTTGCAGAGCAGAAGACAGGAACACCCCAAACCAAATAAAAGCGTCTAAATCTGGAGCAGGAATCCATTCTCCTGGACACCACCAGCTGTCCCAGGGGCACTGGACAGGGTGATGCTAAGGCACAGTCAGTTTTACATTCGAGAGTCAAGCCACCTCTTAAACCCAGGACACATTTGACAACTCCAGATCCCTTACTAGACAGTCTTCACCACAAAATGTGCAGGCCCATCTTCCAGAACCCAGTCTCCAGCTGGAGGAAGGATTCATCATGTGGCTAATCTGACCAGGACTCTTTCTAGTAAAGAGGGTTTCCACCTTGACAAAAGAGCCCCCAGTGTCCTTGGGCACTCAACTTCCAAGAGCTCTTGGTGCTACCCACTTATTTTCCTTTCCAGATCTTTGTGCTGGGGAGGAGGAAAACACAGGGTAAATGAAGAGCACTGTGTTCCCTGGACAATTCATTTTGGCAAGAGGAGCCAGGTCCCATTTTCTGCCTGCCCTCTTAACAAGGGTGGCAACAACCAGAAAAGAGCGAAGGCTGCTCTGCTCAGAGAGTTTCACACCTCTCTTGGTCAATTTCAAGTTGCTTTTGCAAAGATCTAGGCTGGGCAGTCAGGGCAGGAGAGAAAAGGCCATTGAAAAGGGGGCCCAAGTCATATTCTAGGAATAAAGACCTTCTCCCAAAGAACAGAGAGAGGGAGGGGTTTGTGTGTGAACCTGGGTACATGAAGTGGGGTACCACTCCATAGTCTCACAAGCCTGAAGCGCAGTACTAACTGGGTGGCCTATGTCCAGGTCAGGAAACCAAAAATTATACTCCTGATAGGTGGAGGGCTTGGGGCCTGAAAGAAAAGAACCACCATAGAGCTTTCTAAGATCAATTATCAAGCAAGGCAGAGCAGCATCTGGGCAACTGTATTGAACTCAGACCAAGGCAAGGTCTGACTCATACTACACAACCCACGACCCCACCCTGCCAGTGGAAACAAGGCCAAGGAAGCAGCTAAGTAATGAGCACTGACTTCAGCTCCTCTCCAAAGACCTCTTCCCTAAAATTGTGTCATGAAGCAGTTTCTCAATCAGTTCTGAAGGAATGTGTATAAACAGCCTTTCTCTGCCATATGAGTGACCTGGCCTTGGGAGGAGTCTGGCCTCTTTGTGCCGCAACATCTCTGGACATGAATATGCAATCTCTCTAGGGACAAGCAAGTATAGCTGGGGTTGGTCAAGGATGCCTCCCAGACTACATTTCTCTGAGGTGCTTAGATAAGTATCCCTCTTTTCAGCCAGGTAGAGACTGGACTTCCTTAGCTCTAGGGAGATAGATGTTCCTGCATTTGGCTCAGGATTAAGTTTCCAGGCATGGAGTAGGGGGTGAAGCAACTTCATTTTAAACAGAAAAGTCTTTCTGGCTTTTGGCTTTCCATTTTAGAATGAGATTTGAGAAGTGGGAAGAGTATACCATGGGGAAATTGGGTTTTGATCACAGCAATCTCCTCTTCGGTTTCAGAGAGACCTGGGTAAATATATGCCCAGAATACCTTCCATAGGGCTTAACAGCTTCCAAGTAAGTCAACTACAATGGTAGTTTTGGCCAATATGTAGTTATGAGCCTGTTCTTAGACTTAATTTGACTTCTTGGGTCCAAAGCCTAGGGATTGGCCAGAGCTGCATGGAGGGGGCTGTGACATACGCAGGGCAGGAAAGGGACAGGAGCTTACACTGATGACTAAGAAGGAAGAGAAGGCTGTAGGAGTGAGCATCTTTTGGGAAAGGAGTGATTCTCTGCAGAAGGAGAAGGTGGAATCTTCCTGCTTCAAGAACCAAAGAAGTGGAAATTCACAAGAAGCCTTAGTTCCTTCTCTCCAGTTTAGAGGTAAGACCTCGGGGCATAGTCTTTGAATAAAAGTCAAGCTGAAGGCTTAGCATTTACTGTCTAGGAGAAGGAGTTTCCAGGATTGCGGCATTTGGTTAAAGGGGAAGAGGGACTGGAAAGGGGACTAAGGCTTCTAGGATGGGAAATACCAAAGTCTAAAGTTAATCAGTGTCCAGTGCCCCACAGTTCAGCAAACTAGGAGATGGAAGAACAGGAGAGAAACCATCCTAGAGAGCAGACCACTGGAGCAGCTAAAGAGGTGCTACTGTCACAGAGAGGTATTTTAGATATTTCAATTACTATTTTCCAAGGAAACTTTACACACCCCTTTCTCGCTAGAAAAAGAAAGGAGGGAAAACCTGCTTCAGAGACCAGACTCTTACCTATAAAAATTACATATACATTCACTGGGAATATGTTCTACAGCTAAGATTATAAAGACCGCAAGAGATGTTATTACAAAAGTCTGCCACGTTTATCCTATCACCACAAGTTAACAGCAGTTCTCAATCAGGTCATGGACGAAGAGTGCAACTCTGCCCCAAGAATTTCCTTTTTTTTTTTTCTTTTCTTCATTTTTTGAAACAAAATAAACAAAACAAAAAACAGAAGAATTAAAAGCACTTTAGCTGCAGTGAGTCTATTCTTCGAGTCTATTCTTCTTTCAATCCAGTTGTCTCCTGCTTCTGCATGAGGATGAACATGGGGGCTGCAGCTCACACTTAACAAAAATAAGCTTCATCCCTTGCAGCTGTTGGTTCTGATTGTGTTCTCGCCAGCATTCCATGGAGAGAGAGTTCCCAGTTGGTTCCGGTCTCCAGCTCCTTTCAGGAGTGAAAAGCAGCTCATGGGAAAGGCTCTTCATTCCAGTTCTTAGAGAAAATCAAGCTCCAAAGCCTGGTGGAGGGATACTAGGTCTCCATGGTTTGTGATTCTCCAGAAAGGCATGTTGTGCTGGAAGAGAGCAGGGATTAGCTGGTTAACCCAACTTCTTCTGGGATGTCATATATACCCAAACCCCTTTCTCCACAGATCTCTCCCCAAGGTTCTTGGTAATCCTTTCTACTCCTGCCCACCTCATGGGGCTGTCATAAGGATCAAATAAATCATATGTATAAGGACTTTGTACACTATAGGACACTCTACAAATGTGAGATTTTTATTAGGTTTCAGTGGTAACTCTATGTTTTTATGAGATATACTTATTCTAGCTACTATATATATTGGTCTTCAAGTTCAAATAAAATAGCCACATATGAAATCAGTATTAATATTACATTTTCTTACAGATAGTCAATTTCCTAAAAGTTATAGAGCTACAACGCCCAAATCTTGTCCATCGCCAAGAATCAGAACATATAAATCTGAGAAATAACAATCCCATTATATAATGTGGTCACAATTATGTTCAGAATAATATATGCTATTATGAAAGCCTTTAAAAGGGCTTTGACAAATTCAAGTGTTAGAAACTATGCTCTATGAAGCTGAAGGAGATTAGCTTTATTGATCGTCTTATTCAAACTGGTTACAAATTAGCCAGGATTTTGAAGTTCTAGAATAGTTTTTTTTGGCATGCAACTCAGTGTCTTTTTCTACCTTGCTGCTCACACATAATATTTAAAAGGCTTTTAAATATAGAGAAGAGGAGGCAGAGTTGTTATGTTATAGTCAGGAGTGCCAGACTAGGACCAAGATATGAAATTTAGATAAATTTAAGTTCAGTGGAAGGTGGAACATCCTAACAGTGTGGACAACCACACAGTAGAACAGGATACGTGGAAGAAGCCTCTTTATTCCTGGGTGTATTCAAATAAGGTCTAGAAAGCCTTCTCTCAAAAAGGCTGCAGGGAAAAAAAAAAAAGGTTGCAGAAGCCCTGGCCAGTTTGGCTCAGCGGTTATAGCGTCAGCCAGAGGACAGAAGGGTCTCAGGTTCAATTCCAGTCAAGGGCATGTACCTGGGTTAGGATACCACTTTAACCAACTGAGCTACACGGTCAGGGCCTGTGATTTATTTTTAAATAAAGTAGTAGAGAAAAATCATAACTGAATGTAACAAAGTTACTTCAAATTCAACTTTTGCAATTGAGCTCAACATTCAATGATCACAAACTGGCATCTTCTTACTATGTTCATAAATCTGCCTCATAGTATCACCCTTCTCCTAATCTCCGAAGCTAGAATCTTCAAAATTATCTTTAACTCTCAACAGATTCTGTGATTTTTTTCTTCAAAATAAATCCTTCTGTCATTCCTCATGTCTGTCCCCCTTCCACCAGTGTCTTAAGTAAATCTTTCTCCTTATTCCTCAATGATAGTGGTGCTATCTAACTGGTCTCCTTGCTTCTAGCAGGAAAAAAACCCCAAATTTTTACCTCAGAGAATACTTGAATAACTTTGGTATTGATATCAGGCAGGCAAATGTGAGCTGTCTAAATTCCAAAGAAAATGTAAGTTTTACATGTTTTTAAACATGTGAAAGAAACCCAATGATTGTATTTAAAAAATATAGACATACAGGCAAAAAAAAGTCATCTCTAGGCATAGAATTCTAAAATCAGAGAATTTTCAAGCAAGTTGAACAGATTTTGTCATCAAAACCATTTATTTTACAAATAAGAGAATACAGGAACCCAGACAGTAATATGTTCAAGGATATATCTAATTATTATACTTATAAATTATATATTTAAAAACAATTTTATGCCCTGGCCGGTTTGGTTCAGCGGTTAGAGCGTCGGCCTGTGGTTCCCACTAAGGGCGCGTACCTCGGTTGCAGTTTGTCCCCGGCCCTGGTTGGTTGTGCGGGTGGCAGCCACTTGATGTGTTCCTTTCACATCGATGTTTCTCTCTCTCTCTGTTCCTCTCTCTCCCTCCCACTCTACCTGAACAAAAAATGGAAAAATGTCCTCAGGTGAGGAAAAAAAAAAAAACAATTTTATTTTACTAATGGTACAAAAATCCTTTTTTCTTTTACTATTAATATTTTTGGTGAATGATAAGTGCACATGCATAATTATTTTTTAAAATCTTGGGTTTTTACTTTTTGATACAACAATCTAAAAGTTGAGTTCTAAGTTCAGCTTATTTTGATAGTTGGTTATTAAAAAAAGGTACTCTCAAAGATATGTAGATCCAATAGTCACTTTTCAATTCCATCCACTTATTCAAAAGTTTTTATTCAAACTTAGTAAATTTCTACCTTTCCTACTGTTAATTAACTGTTCTTGACAATTGAAAGGTACTATATTTTCAATTTTTAAAAAAATTCTCGCCCTGGCCGGTTTGGCTCAGTGGTTAGAGCGTCGGCCTGCGGTCCTGAGAGACCCGGGTTCGGTTCCCGCTAAGGGCATGTACCTCGGTTGCAGTTTGTCCCCGGCCCTGGTTGGTCGTGCGGGTGGCAGCCACTCGATGTGTCCCTTTCACATCGATGTTTCTCTCTCTCTCTCTCTGTTCCTCTCTCTCCCTCCCACTCTACCTGAACAAAAAAAGGAAAAATGTCCTCGGGTGAGGATAAAAAAAAAAAAAAAAATTATCTCCTGAGAATGTTTTTTATTGGTTTTTTAGAGAGAGAGGAAGGCAGAGGGAGAAAAAAATTGATGTAAGAGAAGTGAGGGAAACATTGATCAGTTGCCTCCCGTATGTACCCTGGGGATCGAACCCACAACCTAGGTATGTGCCATGACTGAAAAGGAACCTGTAACCTTTTGGTGTATGGAATGATGCTCCAATCAACTGGACCACCTGGCCAGGGCTCTATTTTCAAATTTTATTTATTTATTTTTATCCTCACCTGAGGACATTTTTTCATTTTTTGTTCAGATAGAGTGGGAGGGAGAGAGAGAGAGAGAGAGAGAAACATCGACGTGAAAGTGACACATCGAATGGCTGCCACCCGCACGACCAACCAGGGCCAGAGACAAACTGCAACCGAGGTACGCGCCCTTAGCGGGAACCGAACCAGGGTTTCTCTGGACCGCAGGCCAACGCTCCAACCGTTGAGCCAAACTGGCCAGGGCTCTATTTTCAAATTTTAAAAATGTATTAGAATCACACTGTGTTTTAAAATGATGACTTTAAAATAAGTTAGAAAAATCTGTCTTCAAGTTTGGAGATATAAGAATTTTATAGATGATATATTTATATCTATTTTAATTAACTTTTTCCTTTTATTGATTTTGAGGGAGAGAGGGAAGGAGAGGGAGAGAGAGATAGAAACATTGATGAGAGAGAACATTGATTGGTCGCCTCCTGCAGGCCCCCAACTGGAGATTGGGCCCACAACCTGGGCATGTGCCCAGCCTGGGAATTGAATTGACGACCTCTTGGTGCATGAGTCAACACTTAGCCACTGAGCCACACAGGCAGGGCTATACCTATTTAAAAAATAAAATTAAATGATTTGGGAGAAAAAAAAAAGGCACTGCCCTCTATGATGATGATGGGGATCACATCAGGTTTAATGATGTGTGGGGGGGTGTCCCCATAGCAGGGTTCAGAGTTTAAGATTTCTGAGTGGCAGTGAGGAGGGATAAGGGGAGAATCTAACAACTTATAGAGAAAACTCCTTCCTGGGAAACAAAATGATCCTCTTTTTCTTAAAGAAAAATGGGAGAGGAAGAGGAGGAAGAAAAACAACAATGTACATGTACAACAGATGTCTAATATTTCTGAGTTTTATCATTTCTCTAATTGTTCAGTGCATTTCCACATAGACCATTTTCTTTACCATGGTTACCTGTTTGGCTGCAATTTCTTCATCTCGTCCATCTCCAATCACTACATATGTGACTTTCTTTCCAAACCTTGACACAATTCTCTCAAAGCAGCTCTCTTTACCTGATGAGAGAAAGCAATTTCCTATTAGGACATTCTATCCGACCTTCGACAACAAAGAAAAGGGCTGCTGCTAGGTTCACCTGCCTGTACTTAGACAAAGTAAGTGGCAGATCTGGAATTTTGCCTGATGGGAGTGGCTGTGGCAACTAGAGGTCCAGTAGGTCCTCTGCATCTATAAATGGGAGGCTAAGTGGGCAGTGTGAGAACTGTGTACACTGGTTCCCTTTTCCACATCTCCCATCTCCTGTACTTTACAGCTTACAAAGCCATTTTCAGGGTATCCTTATTTAATCCTCAAAATATTCCAGTGAGACGGGTATCACTCCCTATTTTAACAGATGAAATGGAACTAGTGACTTGTCCCCGATCCAAACAAGCTTACATCTAGACTTTGGGCTCCTGACTCCAAGTCTAGGTTCTAGACCAAGGGCGGGAACCTTTTTTCTGCCAAGGACCACTTGGATGTTTATAACATAATTCGAGGGCCATACAAAATTATCAACTTAAAAATTAGCCTGTTACTGGTTGGGTCGTGTGGGTGGCAACCACTCGACGTGTCCCTTTCACATCGATGTTTCTCTCTCTCTCTCCCTCCCACACTCTATCTGAACAAAAAATAGAAAAAATGTCCTCGGGTGAGGATAAAAAAAAAAAAAAAAAAAAAAAAAAATTAGCCTGTTATATTTGGTCAGGCTAATTTGGTGAGGCACGCAATGTTAGCTGGTATTGATTCCGCAGGTCTTATAAGACTCGCAGGCCAGATGTTCCTCACCCCTGCTCTGGACATTGTGAAAGGATATTTCTAGGAGGAAACTGTTTTAGTGTAGGAAAAAAAATGGGAACATAAGGCCTTGATTTCTTGTTAGTAATAAGAAATAAACAAATAGCCATTTCCCTCTAATTCTTCATTTTCCAGAAACAGTCCTAGGCATGGATCTTATATGTCTTTCAGCAGGGGAGGAGCCCCAGAATACTAATAAATATGGCAGCAACATTTATCATATTTGGAATTTCCTCACTATTATACTTTGCAACTGCAACTAAGATACTGTATCACTGAACCTGACCTTGGGAAATGGGTAATTTCAATCCACTGCAGATTGTTTTTTAGATATATGGCAATATATCAAAATTCAAATCCCATCTGGAACCTATACCTAAAACAGAGATGATACTGCTTTTTATTTGCAGAAATAAATAAAAAGGAACTTATTTCCTTTGCCATTTCTTATACTTTATTTCCCTGCTTCTGCCACCTTCTTCAGTTAAGCAAGGTTCTAACTCTGCTTCCTTCTTTATCCTGCTCCATTAATCTTCTCATCCTTTCTTCTTGCCAGATCCAGTGATTTAACACCAGGGTTCCCCTGTAAATAGAAAGGTGCTCCTTCCTCAAGGCACCTGACTACCATCTGCTGGCAAATTGTTGTAATGAACATACAAATACACAAATCTAAGATGACGATGTCAGAATTAACAAGAATCTAGTACCCATCCATACTCAGAAGTCCTGTTTGGTACATCTGAGTAACTGAAAGTCTTTGACATATCTTGCCCAAGGGGCACCTCGAACCAGGTTCACTGACTAGTCAGCTGGACCAGATACTAGTATAATTTGGACTTTAGTCTCCTACTTTTAGTACAAGGCTTGGCTTAGGTATTTAGATCCCTTTCAGTGCTAATATTTTACAACAGCATTGTCATGCCTTACATTCATATCATGCACTCAATATTTGCTGAGTAAATGCATATTAATCTCACAACTGATTCAATGGATGATTCTAGTCCCTGCCTTGAGCCCTAATTCAAACTGTTCAAGAGTTATTTGTCTAATTCCATTCTAACCATTACATCCCACAACTTAAGCCAACCTCTGCTAGACCCACAGTCTAATTTATGCTCTGTCTATAGAAAATAAAAACCTTTTAAGACAGAATTTTAAACTTTCTCCCAAGACCCCAAAAAGGGAATGTATCATATTTAGAGGACAAGAACATAGAAATGTTTTCATTTTCCTGGCATGCAAAGATCAAGAATGAAATACACTTAGGTATGTCTCCTTGAAAAGGATTAAGAGACAGAGAGTTACTAATAGCTCAAAGTAAAGAAGTAGCTACATAAAAAAATGACTCCAATATAGTTGGTAAATACATTTCTTTTAATCCTCACCCGAGGATATTTTTCCATTGATTTTTTTAGATAGAGTGGGAGGGAGGGAGAGAGAGAAACAAAGAGAGATAATTCATGTGAGAGACACACTGACTGGTTGCCTTCCACATGAGCCGGACAGGGGCTGGGGATTCAACCCACAACCAAGGTATGTGTCCTTGACTGGGAATGGAACCTGAGACTCTGTGGTCCTCGGGCCGACACTCTAACTGCTGAGCCAAACCAACCAGAATGGTAAATAATTTTCTTCCATTTTACACTCTCAAAACAATCCTGGAGACAGGTTTTCCTGTTCAGGAAGATGAGGCCAATGGTGAGTCAACTTACCAAATGTCAAGCAACTGAAGCTCTAACTGCAAGAACAACCAAGTCTTTGGAGACCTAACACCAGGGTTCCTGTGTGAATAAAAAGGTGCCTCTTCCTCAAGGCACTTGACTACCATATGCTAGAAAACTGTTGTGATGAACATACACATTCACAAATCTAAGATGACCACACTGCAATTGACAAGAACCTATATAACCATGCTCAGATATCCCGTTTGGTACATCCTAACTAAAAGCAAGTCATGGAAAGTAGTCATGTCTTAGGTCTGCAGCTTCCTTTTCAAAGGCCAGTTTTTCTTTCACTTTGAAATGGTCTATTGTCTTGTGCATCTAAGAACATAACATACCTTTGAAATGTCACAGTAATAATCTTTTCCGGATGCCTTGAAGGCATGACTGCCACCACCACAACATGAAACCACATTGTTATCTTGTTGTCCACATGCCATCTCTACATGCTGTAAATATTAATTATCCTGTACCCACCAATGTAAAAGAAGTATGTGTTTTTCTGTTTTGCTTTTCATCCAATCTCAGAGATTTCCTTGCTTTGCTTTCTCCAGCCTCCCTAATCTCCCACCAATGAATTTCATGTAACCGCCCCCTTCAGTATCCTCCTTTGATTCTAATGTATAAAATAAGCTGCTAAACTGCCCTCCTCTGGAGCAGTATTCTCAATCCACTGAGTTTTTGTTTCCTGGCAATTGTCAGTTTGACCCAAATAAACTTTTAAGACTTTTTCTTACATTGAATATTCTTTTGTCAACATACCTCAGGATCCAAACATTAAAAAACAAATCCTCACCCAAGGATATTTTTTCATTGATTTTTTTTAGATAGAGTGCAAGGGAGACAGAGAGAGAGAGAGAGAGAGAGAGAGAGAGAGAGAGAGAGAGAGAGAGAGAGAGAGGAACAATGATGTCAGAGAGACACATCAATTGTTTGTCTCCCACATGAACTTGACCAGGGCCAGGGATTGAACCCACAACCAAGGTATGTGCCCTTGACCAGGAATTGAACCTGAGACTCTTTGGTCTACAGGCAGACGTTCTAACCACTAAACCAATCCAGCCAGGTCAAGATCCAAACATTTAAATGTTAGAGAGTCCCAAGGCTGAGTTCTTAGACATCTATTTTTCTCTATCTGCACTTATGCCTTCGATCTCATCCAGTCTTAAATAACCACACGTACACAGAGAACTCCTAATTACATATCTCCAGCGTATAGCTCTCCTTTGAAACCCAGAATCAGATATCCAACTGTCTAACTGACATCTCCACTTGAATGTCTAATAATTATTTCAAACTTAACTGCTAATCTTTGTACTACAGCCTTCTCCATCTCAGTAAATGACATCTTCATCCTTTCAGTTGCTTAGGGAAAATTCTTGGAGTCATCCTTAACTTCTTTTCCTTCACACCTCACATCCAGACTATCAGCAAATGCTGTCAGCTCTGCCTTCATAATATATGCAGTAACTGACTACTTCTCAACCTCCATAGCTAATGCTTTGGTTCAAGCCCCCATGATTGCATGTTGGATTACAATAACCTCCTAACTTGACTCCCAGCTCCACTCCTCAAAATGTTACACAGAAGCCAGACTGATCCCTTTATTTTTTAATTATTAAGAATTAATTTAATTTATTTATTTGTGGTACGTGCCCCTAGTGGGAACCGAACCCGGGACTCTCTGGTCTGCAGGCCGACGCTCCAACAATTCAGCCAAACCGGCCAGGGCCAGACTGATCCCTTTAACGTGTAAGTCAGATAATGTCACTTTTTTGCTCAAAACCTTAAAATAGCATTTCATCAGAATAAAAGCCAAAGTCTTTAAAGTAGTCTATAAGGCCCCATAGGATCTTCCCACTCTCCTTTAACCTCTTTGACTTTATTTTCTAACATTCTTCTTCCTCAAACATGCCTCCAACCTTTTCTACTTGCTGTTTCCTCTCCATGGCATGCTCTTTCCTCATATATGCTAATGGTTAACACCCTCACCTCCTTTATGCCTTTGCTTAAAAGATAACTTTTTGCCCTGGCCAGTGTGGCTCAGTTGGTTAAGTGTTGTCCTATGCACTGAGAGGTTCCTGGTCAGCACATAAGGATCAGAGTGAGATGTTCTGCTACCTTCTCAGTAAAACAAGCTGGCTTTATAGAAACCTGGTGCCAATGAATTAGTTAAATCAGCAACTATTTATTGAGTACCCACTATTTCATATACCTTGGAGATATTGAAGGTTGGATCTCAGACCACTGCATTAAAGCAAGTATCATAATAAAGTGAGTTGTAATCTTTCTGCTGGTGAAGGGCCTGGCCTTCAATCAGGAGAAAATGTAACATCTGTGGAGTGCAATAAAACGAGGTATGCCTGTACTTGGTACTGAATACATTTTTGGGGGGTTAAAAAATACCTTCAGCCCTGGCCAGTTTGGCTCAGCAATTAGAACAGTGGTCCAAGGACCAAAGGGTTGCAGATTTGATCCCTGGTCCCAGTTACGGTTGTGTGGGAGGCAACCAATCAATGTGTCTCTCTCACAATGTTTCTCTCTCGCTCGCTCCCTCCCTCCCTTCCACTCTATCTAAAAATTAATGGAAAAATATCCTCAGGTGAGGATTAACAACATCAACAAAAAGTAATTTCATGTACACAGTCTCATTTGATTTTCACAACCTCTCTGTTAGTTTCTCATTTTACATGAGAAAACTGAGGATCAGGAGATAAAGTAATTTGCCTAAGGAAAGAGCTAGTAAATGGGGGAGCTTAGCCCTTATTCCTTTCTTTTTTTGCTTTTTCAAAAAATCATAATAAGAGAACACATAACCTAAAATTTACCATCTTAACTATTTTCAAATGTACATTTCAGTAATGTTAACTATACTTACATTGTTGTGCAATATATCTCCAGAACTTTTTCATCTTGTAAAACTGTAATTCTATACCCATTAAACAACTCCCTATTTTCCCTTCCCCCAAGCCCTGTTAATCACCATTCTACTTTCTGTTTCTATAAATCTGACTACTCTAGGTGCCTTATATAAGTGAAAACATACAATATTTGTCCTTTTGTGAGTTCTTTTACTTAGCAAAATGTCTTCCAAGTTCAAAGATGTGGTAGCATGTGACAAGATTTCCTTCTCTTTTAAGGCTGAATAATATCTCATTGTATGTATATACAACATTTTGTTTATCCATTCATATGATGGATATCTGAGTTGCTTCCACCTCTCGGCTATTGTGAATAATGTTATAAACACAGTGTGCAAATATTTCTTTGAGATCCTGATTTTAATTCTTTTGGATATATACCCAGAAGTGGGATTGCTGGATCATATGGTAGTTCTATTTTTAACTTTTTAAATATATTTTTATTGTTTTCCATAGCAGTAGCATCATTTTATACTTCCACCAAAAGTAATCAAGGGTTCCAATTTCTTTACATCTTCACTAACACTTGTTATTTTTCTGTTTTTTGATAGTAGCCATCCTAATGAGTGTGAGGGGTTTAACCATTTTTAAACATACAGCTTAGTCCTTGATTTTTAATCTAGTGACTTTTCTATTATACTATACTGCAGTGCTCTCTCTGTGAAAAAGAAATCTGAAACGAGGCAAAAGTAGATTTCTAAACCAGATATTATGTTCTTTCAAATACTATAAAGAAAAAGAGCACGATAAGTTTAAGTTCCACAGATCTGGTATTTGAATCCTGTTTAAGTAATTTACCATCTGTGAAGTCTTGTGGAAGCTACATAACTGTTAAGCCTGAACTGCCTCATCAGTAATATTAGAAGACTGTATGAGGATTATAAATATATATAAAGTGTCTAACAGAAGGACTAGTAAATAATAAATGCATCATAAGTAGGAAGTATTATTGTAAGGCTAGTGACAAGACACAGAATAGAAACCATACCAATTTTGGTAGCACTATAGATGTTTTCAATAGGAAATATTTCTCCGAGTCCATATAGGAGAACCTTGGCCAGAGCTGGAACCAGCTGGGTTGTAGTGATCAGAACATTCACACAATTTTTCCTAGAAGGGAGAAAGAAGGAAAAGAAAACAAAAAGATGAACCAACCCAGGAGCAAGTATTAAATGGATCTTTTCCTTAGGATCTAATTATTAAAAATTTACTTTAAAGGGCCTGGTATGATATTTGTTCAGTACCAATGTTGTTATTGCTCTAATTATTTCAGGTTTATTTACTTTCCAAATTAAAGGACATATTCTATAGTGGGTACAGAGCAACAACTTGATTACTGTCTCATTTCCCTAACTATTTTAGCTGACTGCATTTGTTAGCAATTACCACCAACCCATGTCACTGATACCGCTCTCTAGAAAACAAATGACAAAGACTTTCAGTTACAATACTGTTTTATCTGAATGCAACTCAGCCCTTAAATGAGATATGATTTAAGTACTCTCTGCTCTTCACACAATAGCAACATAGATTCCAGAATACATGTTACTTTCACAAGTTGTTTTTTTATCCTCACCCAAGGACATTTTTCCATTTTTTTGTACAGATAGAGTGGGAGGGAGAGAGAGGAAGAGAGAGAGAGGGAAACATCGATGTGAAGGGACACACCGAGTGGCTGCCACCCGCACAACCAACCAGGGCCGGGGACAAACTGCAACCGAGGTACATGCCCTTAGCGGGAACCGAACCCGGGTCTCTCCGGACCGCAGGTGGACGCTCTAACCGCTGAGCCAAACTGGCCAGGGCACACAAGTTTTTTATTAACTTCACTGAATAACCTCAGTGTTACTTTTACTGTTTGCTCTTTTAGGTTATAGATCTGGAATTTCTGCTTTGAGGAAGGAATCAGTAAGGGATATTAGTACAAATATGACTATTTATTTTCTAGTATAAGCTTCAAGCTGAAATCTCCTTAATCTGTCTAATGTAGCCCTTTCTTTTGAATCCTGCCTTCCTAAGTAAATTTTTGGTACATTTCTCTGAAGCTTCCTATACTTAGGATATTTGACATATATCTTCTATATGTATTCTTTGGTGTCACCAGGCCCATCTCCTGGGCTAGAGATTATGAGTTACTGAGTTTTAATTCTGTGAGCAAAAAGGGGAAGCCCTGGTCGGTGTGGCTCAGTTGCTTGAGCATTGTCCCAGGCACATGCCCAGATTGTGGGATTGATCTCCAGCAGGGGGTGTACTGATCGGCATTTCTCTCCCTCTCCTTTCCTCTCTCTCAAATCAATAAAAACATATTTTTTTTTTAAAAAGGGCAAAGAAAAAGGCTTTCATATATTCTCTTAAAACTCTAAGGTGTGTTGTTAGTATAAAATGACCTTGCTTCCCACCTAACCTAAACACTTCCTTGCTTCATTTAAACTTCTCTCACCCCACCCCAAATCCTATTTTAGGGAATGGCCTGTCCTAGACTGGTGTAGGAAAGAATGTGTCTCTGAAGGAATGAGACCTAAAAGAACCATTTTCATACCTGGACTTGATGAGAAGTAAGGACTTTAATGCAGTACCTAACCAGGAATCTGTTAAAACTTCAATTTCTGCTCTTAGTCTCTGCAGTGCTTCCTTTCTCTGGGGACTGAGAAGGCCTTTGGGAATAAAAGCAGACACATTTATCATTTGACAATATATCCTTGCTGACATCGAGGAAACAACTTCTAAATGCAATTAAGAAATAGTGTATTATTGAAATTTTCTGCTGAGCTAATATATAGCTCTCATCTTAGTAAAACCCTAAAGTAGTCTACTAAAAGTGCTTTTTTGACTCCCTTCATCAGAATGTTTGCTAGAGGGCACAGCAACAAAATCAGCTGATGAAGACATTATGATTAGATTCTGGCACAAGCTTGCTCTTCACAAATCAGCAGCAGACTCAGCAGACTAGGGGACCATACCTTGAGTAGCACTGATTTAAACATGACCTCAGAAACTAAAGTGGTAAAAAAATAAGTGTTATTGCCCGGCTGGTGTGGTTCAGTGGTTGGGTACTGACCCATGCACCAAGAGGTCGCTGGTTTGATTCCCAGTCAAGGCACATGCCCAGGTTGTGGGCCAGATCCCCCGTGGGGGGCATGCAGGAGATGGCCAATCGATGTTCTCTCTCATCAATGTTTCTGGCTCTCTCTCTCCCTCTCTCTCTAAAAATCAATTAAAAAAAAGAAAAATTTAAATAAATAAATAAATAAGTGTTATAGCTGGAAGAGTCTGCAGCATTTCCAACTCTTTCTAAAGAAACCAGAACTGAGGGAGGAAAGGGGTGCTAAGATTACACAGAAACTTAACAGCTTTTGGTCTCAGTAGTCCTTCCACTACCATATACTGCTCCCAGGGTAACTATGCTTTTACCCCTTTTAGATCACATCAACCTGAGGTTCCAGGTTGAATGACCAACTCTCTGAATGTTATTTACTTTTATTGTTCTTATTTCTGGAACAACTCCAGCCAATAAGAGACCAAAAACACTGCTTAATATCAGACAATTAAGCATAACAAAATAGAATTCATGTAATGAGAGCATGTTATCAGACACTTGAGCTATAATATTCAAATAATAAATTTGGCCCTCATTTTTCTATAGTGAAGGCAAAAAGAGAAATCCTATAGTCTACTTCCAATATTCCATAAAAACAGAAGGCACTTCTATGAGGACTAGAACCACATATAATTTTTTAGATTGATGGTTTCACAATGCAAGCCTAGAATTAGATGACTCTCAATGTTTCTAATTAAACAAAACCAATACCTCTATGTCATGTATGATATACAAATAAGTATATATATATATATATATATATCATATACTGAACTAATAATATGATGTGGCACTTTAATAATTCAAAATTTTTACAAAATACAGGTGGATATTACTTTTAATATGTTCCCCAGGTAGGCTCAGGGGATTCTCATAGAAGGTTATATTAATTTCTACAGGAAATTAGGTCCAGGCATTCAGTAGGCAGACACTTAACTTCAATTCCTAAAGCCCAGATGCCTGTGATTTTTACCTGGTATTGGAGGACTGTAACAGAAATGAACCAAACTGACCTTCAAAGTCCTATTTTTACTTTCTGTTTCACAGAAAGTGGTAGCATGGTATGGTAGAAGGGTTCTCTTGACTTGGGATAATATACCTCTAGGCAGTCTATGGAATCCTTGAAACTTCAGGCAACTTTTGTGTGTATATAGAAGTTTGAGGGTGATGGCTCACAGTTTAAATATTTTCTCATAAGGATATATCACCATTAATTATATAATTAATTCCAAATAATAGAATCTTAGGCCCGGTGGCACCTGACATACGAGAGAATTCTAGGTAGAAAGAATTTCCAAGGTTTTTCAAATCACAATACATGAATACTGCCAACCTATACTCCTGGACTTAGTTTTCCATCCACTATAAACCTAGTGACTAGTTATATGTGACTTGTCCTGAGATATCAGTAAAAAAAAAAAAATAAGGCAAACTATTAATCCATACTGACAGTAGTTTTGACCAGAGAATAAAACCCATGTCATCAAATATAATCAACGGAACACATTTCCTTTAAGAAGGTATTTGTCTAAAAAAAACAAGAAGATTTTGCAAAGTTATGCTAAGATATGTCCATGAGAAATGCAGAGCTTCCTCCCCAAAGGGCTTAAATCAAATCTCCATGTCTTTTAATACAGAATTAAAATGTTACTGTGGTACAAATTCATAAGCAGTTGCCAGGGAGTTCTAAGGAATCTCTGGAAAATAAAACATGAAATGAGAAGAAAACAAAATCAGACTGGTTGTATGCCATACTTACCACCCACGTTGCTTTTATGCTTATCATAGATTTCTCTCACTTTTCGGTAACGGAAAGCCAGTTTTCTCATCCAATCCACACCTCCCTGTACACCCACAGAGGAACCATGGCTGCCACTGCCTCCGGAGCCACTGAAACCATCTGTTGAGAAACTGTAGTTGCTGCAGAGATAGAAGATAATAAAAATTAAAATCTATACCACATGGGGTTTTTGGATGAATGCTACCTGGGATTCTCTGTCCTATTCCTGGCATCTGACACCAAGGCTAATGGCTTTGAGAATCTTTTCCCTAATCTCCATATGTCAGTCTGTCTTTCACTAGTCCTCTATCTCACCCCTGTTACTTCTATCAAAGAAAGGATGAAGACTAGGGAAAGAGAGGTAAGAATAATTCAAGCATTAGAATCCCACAGAGGTTGGCTTGACATGAAGCATCTGTTCATTAATGACAGAATATCCTGCAGTGAAAAACAAAACAAAACAGAATATAAAATTTTGGTGTATGCACATACAAAATGATTGCAACTATGTAGAAAAATAATACTAATAATAGTAAGATACTAATAATAGTAAGATAATGGGGATGTTCTCTTTCAGTTTATTAAGTTCATAGTTCACTGGGTGGCTTATGCATTGTTTAAATTAATTAACTAATTAATTTTTGTTACAGATGTTCCCCCCCACCCCCCATTATTTTATGTATCTGAATGTAAACAGAATGTGGTAGAAGTGATAGTGTTAAGACTTCAGAGACTAGGCTTCTCTTGCTCTCTCTTGGAGCACTTGCTCTGAAAGAAGCCAGCTGTCACATGAGAACACTCAAGCTGCCCCTTGCAGAAGCACACAGTGAGGGACTGAGGTGTCCTGTGATCAGCCATAGATGAGAGGCTGAAAGCAGGTCCTCTAGCTCCAATCAAACCTTCAGATGATTTCAGCTCTGGCTGATATCTTAGTTTCAGTCTTAGAGACACTAATTCATAACTATCTAGCTAAGTCACTTTCAAGTTTCTGACTTACAGAAACTATGAGATGAGATGATAAATGTTTATTATTTTAAGCTACTAAGTTTTGGGATAATTTGTTATGCAACAATAAATAACTAATATAGGCATACCTTGGAGATATTATGGGTTTGGTTCCAGACCACCCTAATAAAGCAAATATTGCAATAAAGCAAGGCTGGTGCAGGGCTTGCCTTCAATTTGTAAAAAATGTAACATCTGTGAAGCACAATAAAAGGAGGTATGCTTGTATAGTTAAATAGGTTTGGAATGGATTAACACTTCCTAAGTAAAAATTTAAAAATGACTTGACAGAATTAGAGACAACTTAGTTTAATCAAGTCAAAACAGAGTTCAATAAGTTGTACAATATTCTATGTTTAAGAAAATAAAGCTGCCAAGACATAAGATAGGTAATTACAGGTTAGCCACATGTATAAGAGAAAAAACAACTAGGATTCAAAGTGGATCATAAACTGCTTCAGACCAAGCATTTTCCTTAAAAGATCGGTAAAATCTCCTAAGAACAGCGCTCTCCATGACTGTATAATGCTCAACATAAACGAATGGATACTGCTCCTGAAGTGAGACCTTACAATCCTTCTTAGCACTACAGGACCAGGTCCTAACTAAGTGATATGTCCAGGTCTACTCTGGATTTGCAAATTCATGAATGAAATAATTTTAAGGTAGACACAAAGAACTTTTTGTCCATGAAAATGGATAAACATTAAAACAAATTAACATGAAAAGATGTGACTGGTTTTTTATAAAAAAATCTTTAAATAAACAGAAGCTAGGTATTGTTAGGTTGTTCTTTGCTAAAACTACTGGGTCAGAAGCCAAGAAAGAAATGGAGAGACTGAAAAGCATTAAAAAATATATATATATATTTACTGAGGACATGCTTTCATTGATTTAAGAGGGCAAGGGTGGGGGGGGGGGAGGGAGAGAGACAGACATTAATGTGAGAGAAATATTGATCTACCGCCTCTTGCATACACTGACTGGGGATGGAACCCGCAACTGAGGCACGTGCTCTAACCAGGAATTGAACCCGCCACCTTCTGGTGTATGGGATAACTGAGCCATACAGGCCACTGGAATCTCCTTAGTTTAGCGTTCATTGTGATAAAATGTTTAAGCTTGTCTTCTGTGGGGCAATTCCTGACACCATCAGACCCCCACAATTAGTTTTCTTGGTAAAATTCCTGATGCTTATTTGTATCTAAAACTAATTAGTCTGGAAGCACACTTCTGACAGAAAATCTGGCCAGAGAAACTAATATATCCTTTACTGTGGAATGCTTTTTCCTTATCCCATCATTGCTACCCATTCTTCAAGGTCACACTCAAATCTACTGCACAGAAAAGGCCGCTCTAATGTTGGCAACCACCTGCTCCCACACCCATCAGAACTACTTTCTTTTCTGGCTCCATCACATTTTCTATTGTCACCTCATACTGCATGCTATCATTAACTATGTTTGCCTCCTCTAATAGATTGTGAGCTCTTTCAAGGCTGTGTCTTATTTATCTTTATTTTCCTCTAAACCTAGACAGTGTCTTGTGCATAACAGGTGTACTGATGTTTAAGGCATCGTTGTTTCCATCACCTTAAGTCTTGACCATTGTCATCAGAAGCCACATCTTCCACATGCACCTGGTCACACTCCTATTAAAAGACAAAACCATACACTATTTCAGTCCAGTGAGAAGAAGTGTTATTGCCACCATGACGTATTGTAAAAACACCACAAACAATGGTGGAATGATGAAATACCTTATGACCTCTTATGGGTGGAGTATCACTCTCACCCCCCTTGCTGTCCATCTTCTTTTAAAGCCTAATTAATATACCACAGTCTTCATGAAATCTTCCTTAACCAACCCAACCCTCATTTATGCTCTTATCTCAATAATTCATTTTTCCAATAGCTCATTGGTATGAGCACAAGTTCCCTTACATTGTCAGGTGTGTCTATGTTCCATACTAGATTGACAGCTCTATTACACTGTAGGCCTCTTATGGCATGACCCTATCTTACATTGCTTTTGTACCCTTCTAGTCTAGTCCAGCATGTACCCAATAAATTCTAGCAGAAGAAACAGATGTTGGTAGAGTGTGGTATCAAAACTGAAAGTGACCGAAACAGAAATTTATATATTCAAACTTGGTACTCGGAAGAGGTTGTCTAAGTCAATCTCCTCATGTTATAAGAGTGAGGTGAAATGATTTACCCAAGTGAGTGGTAGAAAGAAACTAGAAAGAGCCTTCTAATTCAAATCCAAAGTTCTTTCCACCAAGTCCACATTACTACTGACATAAAATGCCACCCACTGCCTAACTTGAACAGATTCACTCCTCTAACATCACCTAGGGCAGTGTTGTAATGTCCACTTGCATCAGAATCCTCTGGGGAAATTTTTTTAAAAAATGTATATTCTTGGGTCCACTCCAGACCTACTTGAATCAGAATTTCTGGGAGTGAAGTCCTAGAATCTTCATTTTTAACAAGGTCCCCAGGTGATTCTTATGCCCCCTAAAGTTAAGAACCACTGACCTGGGGGGCAGGAACACATTCAGGTCAAATTCTTCACAGAACTTTCAGTCCTGAGTGAGGACTATGTCTAGAAAATCATTACAAATACAATTTGGCAATAATTACTGGCACATAGTAGGTTTTCAACAAATGTTTGCTGAATAAAAACTCTGATGTTCTAACTTATCAACATGTGAAGTTGAGGAAAGATTAAAGCATTGTGGAGCTTAGACAAAAGTATGGAGTTTAGAGCCCTATTAATTTAATTTGTTGGAGAATTGTCTGTTAAATAGAACTAGGTTATATTTTAGAAGGAATAGAATCACTCCGTGTTTATAAAATGCTATCTTATTTTACTTTAAAATTTTTACTATTTTTAAAACTAGGTAATATATGTGGTACACAGCTCAAAATTCAAAAAGACATAAAGTGACAAGTTTGCTCTTACTTCTGTGTCCCAGCAACGTATCCCCCTCCCCAAACAGAACAATTGTTACTAGTTTCTTGTGTAGAATAACTGCTTAACTGAGGCCCGAAAATGGAAAGATAACTTTCCTAACTGGGGACTTACACTCTAGTCTTCTGACTCCCAGTTGTGTTCTTTCCTTTAAACCATGTTTACCTTAAAGGTTAACTCAAATGTCAAAGCCAAAAAATTCACCAAGAAGCTCTCAGTGTTTCTTGGTTTTCCTTTTACTTAACTATAAAATGATTCTGGATGTCAAGACTAATTCATACATGGAAAATCAGCATGTACAAAATATAATGAGTTACAGCAGTCATTTATAGATCTGACAAATTTAAAGACTCTTTTAAGAAGATAAAATAGAGAACAGTCAAATGTACTTAAGAACACAAGTAATCAAACCCACCTTACATATTATTTAATATATACAAATAAGTTAGAATGTTGATTTATGTATCAGTGTTCTGCCTAATGGGTTGGCATTTCCCCTACAGCTAGATAACTTCCAGAACAAAAATCAAATTTTGAGCCAATAAAATCTGAGGGCCAGAACCAAGACGGTGGTGACCTAACCAAGGCACTATTCCTGCAAGACTACATAGATCTAAGTGGCCAGCTGGCCTCTCCATACCCACCCTAACCACATTTCCACTAAATACAATAAGTACAGGTTTACTAAATAGTTATTGAACAAAATGTTTCAGTGATGCACAGAAACAATTTAAAATGCTTACCTCTAAGTCATTGAAAAACAGATGTGTATCAGCCACTTCAAAAATCATTTCTTCCATAGTTAAACCAGAGCCAATCACTACTGTTGGGTCCTGGAATACAATAAGAGAACATTTTGTTTGACTTGGTACTCACAGCACTAGTTCTGATCCTTAAACATTTCAAAATTATTTTGGGTCAAGGCCAAAACAACACAGACCCATAATAGTGTTTCCAAAAATTATTACTGATGCAATTCCATTCACAGTTATAAGAATCTGGAATTGTGAAAAGTTAAAAATTTCAGGATGTTCGTTTCTAGAAAACTAAACCCACTTAAAAGAAAAACACAAAACCTTAATTTTGGGGGGAAAGTTCCTGTTTCAGGAGATAGTCTGCGTATTGCTAAAATATTAATATTGTAACACCCATTATCTTCCATTATTTTCCACACACACACAGTATAACACAGAAGTCAGTTAACCGACAATCTCAACAACCAGGAAATACATAAACAAAGGCTGAAGAGTCAAAACAGATGTAGGAAAAGCAATGCACTTAGCTTTATTTTTATTTATTTTTTTATTATCCTCACCTGAGGACATTTTTACATTTATCTTCAGACAGAGCAGGAGGGAGAGAGGGAGGAAGAGAGAGAGAGAGACACATCGAGTGGATGCCACCCACCCAACCCCAACCGGGGCCAGGGACAAACTGCAACCAAGGTACATGCCCTTAGCGGGTACCGAACCCGGGACTCCCTGGTCCACAGGCCGACACTCTAACTGCTGAGCCAAACCGGCCAGGGCAATGCACTTAGCTTTAAAATGAACAGCCAGGTATTCATTTAGAGGCTGTATGCTCTTGTTATATTCTTTTATAAACAACTTGGCTATATAGCACATGAGCCAGTCTATAAACTAAAAGCTGGTGGAAATTACTTCTAACACAAACATTAGTGACAGTAAGGAATAAATGGGAATAATAAGAGAACAAAAGAGGCAGATAGTTTTATAAAATGTATTCATAGAAACAGAAAAATAGGAGTCTGAAGGTAATTTGGTGTAGAAATATATAGCTCAAAAATAGCTCATCCCTCCATTAAAACTGATGTTTATATTAATCACTAAACAAGTTAAATTCTGCTTGGTATATTTAAGAAGGTATATAATCTATTTTAGAAAGATACTTTATATTTTATCTGTATTTTGAACTTACATATCTGGCATATACTCAGCTAAATGAAATGCCCAGTTTGGGCTGTTAAAAGTAACTTAAGGAGCCCTGGCCGGTTTGGCTCAGCGGTTAGAGTGTCGGCCTGTGGTCCAGAGAGACCTGGGTTCGGTTCCCACTAAGGGCACGTACCTCGGTTGCAGTTTGTCCCCGGCCCTGGTTGGTCATGCGGGCCACTCGATGTGTCCCTTTCAGGTCGATGTTTCTCTCTCTCTCTTCCTCTCTCTCCCTCCCACTCTATCTGAACAAAAAATGAAAAAATGTCCTCAGGTGAGGATAAAAAAAAAGTAACTTAAGGAATAATAAATTGGTCTTTGGAATACATAATCCCAAAACTCCACTCTGTTTTGAGCATCATTCCCATACTTTATTTATACAAAATACCCATCAAAGCACTTCAGCTTTCAGCACTTGTCCTAGGGGTAGTCTCTAGCTTTATCATCAACTCTGCCTGACCAAGGAACCTGCCTGGTACAAGCTATTAGGTAAAATTTAACACGGAAAGGCCAAAAGGTAAGGTAGAGTAGCAGAGAAAGTGATTTTGGTTACCTGCTCTTATAGCCAGAAGAGGGACAGTTACAACAAAGGAAGAAAAACTCAAATTACCTTTCCATACTTCTGGGCATAGGATCCAGTAAGAAGGGAGTGAAAGATGATGATGGTTTCATCCAAGTCCCACAGAAATACCCGCTGAGGGAGGAAAATATAAAAAGTAATGAGTGAACATCTTTTCTAATCACAATGGAATAAAGCAAGAAGTTAATGAAAAACTGAAAAATTCATACATATGTGAAAATTAAACAACACTATCTTAAGTAACCAAGGATCAAAGAAGAAATCACAAGAGAAATTACAAAATACTTTGAGATGAATGAAAATAAAAACACAACAAAACAGACTTGGCCGGTTTGGCTCAGCGGTTAGAGTGTCAGCCCAAGACCAGAGAGTCTTGGGTTTGGTTCCCGCTAAGGGCATGTACCTCGGTTGCGGTTTGTCCCCGGCCCCGGTTGGGGTCATGTGGCTGGCAACCAGTCAATGTGTCTCTCTAACATCGATGTTTCTTTCTCTCCCTCCCACTCTACCTGAAGATAAATGCAAAAATGTCCTTGGGTGAGGATAAAAAAACACACACACACACACACAACAAAACAAAATTTATGGAATGCAGTGAAAGCAGTGTTAAGAGGGAAATATACAACTGTAAATGCATACCTTAAAAGAGAAGTAAGATCTCAATTGATAACCTAACTGTACAATTTAAGGCACTAGAAAAAGCCAGCAGAAGGACGGAAATAATAAAAGTTGGAATAGAGATAAAGTACAGAACAGAAAAATAATAGCAAAAAAGTCAACAAAACTAAAAGTTAGTTCTTTACAAAGATCTACCAAATTGACAACTTTTAGCTAGACTGACTAAGAAAAAAGAGAGAAGAATCAGATTACTAAAACCAGAAATGAACATTATTACCAATTTTACAGAAATAAAAAAGATTATAAGAGAATAGTATGAACAGTTGTATACCAACAAATAATCTAGATGAAATGGACACAATTCTAGAAATACACAAAGTGCCAAGTGACTCAAGAAGAAACAGAAATTCTGAATGGAACTTTAACTGGTCAGGTAGTTGGATAAGTTATCAAAAACATCCTAAGAAAGAAAAGCTCAGGACAAGATGGCTTTACTGGTAAATTATACCAAACATTAAACAGAAGAATTAACACCAATCCTTCTTAAGCTAGTCCAAAAAGTTGAAGAGGAGGGAACACTTCTTAATTCACTCTATGAAGCCAACATTACCCCATACCAAAGTCATATAAAAACACTACAAGAAAAAAAAAAAAAGAAGTATAGAACAACAAACATACATATGAACATTGATGCAAAAATCCTCAACAAAATACAAATAAACAAAATTCAGCAGCATATTAAAAGAATTACGCATCACAACCAAATGGGATTTGTTTCCAGGATGTAAGAACGGATCAACGTATGAAAATGAATCAATGTAACAAAGAAGCATATTAACAGAATAGAGGGGAAAAAACACACGTGGTCACCTCAATTAATGCAGAAAAAGCATCTGACAAAACTCAACACACTTACATGATAAAATCCAATTAACTAGAAACAGAAGGGGACTCCCTCAACATAATAAAGACCATATATAAAAAACCCACAGCTAGCCCTGGCCGGTTTGGCTCAGCGGTTAGAGCGTTGGCCTGCGGTCCTGAGAGACCCGGGTTCGGTTCCTGCTAAGGGCACGTACCTCGGTTGCAGTTTGTCCCCGGCCCTGGTTGGTTGTGCGGGTGGCAACCACTCGATGTGTCCCTTCACATCGATGTTTCTCTCTCTCTGTTCCTCTCTCTCCCCCTCCCACTCTACCTGAACAAAAAATGGAAAAAAGTCCTCGGGTGAGGATAAAAACAAAACAAAACAAAAAAAAAAACCCCACAGCTAATATACTCAATGGTGAAAGATGGAAAGCTTTGCCTCTGAGATCAGAAATAAGACAAGTATACCTGTTTACACCCCTTCTATTCAACACAGTACTAGAGAATCTAGACAGAATAATTTGGCAAGAAAAGGAAAAAAATGGTTCTCAAACTGGAAAGAAGTAAAAGTATCTCTGCAAATGATATGATCTTATATGTAGAAAATACTAAAAAATCCACAAAAAATTGTTAGAGCCAATAAATTAATTCAGAAATCAGTTATATATCTGTATACTTGCAATGAATAATTCTAACAGAAATTTAACAAACAATTCCATTTACAAGAGCATAAAAGTAATAAAATACTTAGTAATATATCTGAGGAGGTGAAAGACGTATACACTAAAAACTATAAAATATTGCTGAAGGAAATGAAAGAAGACAGACCTAAATAGAAAGATGCCCTATGTTCATGGATGAAAGACTTAATTAACTTTGTTAAGATGACAATACTAACCAAAGCAATCTACAAAATCAATGCAATCCCCATCAGAAATCCAAGTGTTTTCTTTTCTTTTAAGCAATAGAAAAACTCATTATAAAGTTCATATAGAATCTCAAGGGTTCCCAAATAGCCAAAATAACCTTGAAAAAACAAAGTTGAAAGACTCATACGTCCTGATTTCAAAACTTTCTACAAGGCTACAGTAATCAAATCAATGTGGTATTAACATAAAGATAGACAGACACATAGACCAATGACATAGAAGAGAGCCCAGAAATAAACCCTGACATATATGGTCAATTGACCTTTTTTTTTTTAAATCCTCACCCAAGGATATTTTTCCATATTTTGTTCAGATAGAGTGGGAGGGAGAGAGAGAGAGAGAGAGAGAGAGAGAGAGACAAACCTTGATGTGAAACGGACACATCAAGTGGTCGCCACCCACACGACCAAACCAGGGCCGGGGACAAACTGCAACTGAGGTACATGCCCTTAGCGGGAACCGAACCCAGGTCTCTCTGGACCGCAGGCCAACGCTCTAACCGCTGAGCCAAACCGGCCAGGGCGACTTTTTTTTTTTTTAACAAGGAAACCCAGACCGGTTAATGGAAAAAGGAAATTCTTTCCAACAAGTGCTGGAAAAATTTAGATATTCATGTGCAAAAAGAATGAAATTTGAGCCCTGGCCGGTTTGGCTCAGTGGTTAGAGCGTCGGCCTGCGGTCCAGAGAGACCCGGGTTCAGTTCCCGCTAAGGGCACGTGCCTCGGTTGCAGTTTGTCCCCAGTCCTGGTAGGTCATGCGGGTGGCAGCCACTCGATGTGTTCCTTTCACGTCGATGTTTCTCTCTCTCTCTCTCTGTTCCTCTCTCTCCCTCCCACTCTACCTGAACAAAAAATGGAAAAATGTCCTCGGGTGAGGATAAAAAAAAAAGAATGAAATTTGAGCCCGGCCAGTGTGGCTCAGTGGTTGAGCGTCAACCCATGAACCAGGAGGTCACCAGTTCAATTCCCAGTCAGGGTACATGCCCAGGTTGTGGGCCAAGTCCCCAGTGGGGGACATGTAGGAGGCGGCCAATTGATGTTCTCTCTCATCAATGTTTCTCTCTCTCCTTTCCTCTCTCTAAAATCAATAAAGAACAAAAAAAAAGAATGAAATTAGAGCCTTACTTTACACCATATACAAAAATTAACTCAATATGGCCCTGGCCGGTTTGGCTCAGCGATTAGAGTGTCGGCCTGCGGTCCCGAGAGACCCGGGTTCGGTTCCCGCTAAGGGCATGTACCTCGGTTGCAGTTTGTCCCCGGCCCTGGTTGGTCATGCAGGTGGCAGCCACTCGATGTGTCCCTTTAACATCGATGTTTCTCTCTCTCTTCCTCTCTCTCCCTCCTACTCTATCTGAACAAAAAATGGAAAAATGTCCTCAGGAGAGGATTAAAAAAACAAAAGAAAAAAACAAAAATGAACTCAATATGGATCAAAGACCTAATTTAGGAGCCAAAACAATAAAACTCTTAGGAGAAAACTTAAGTATGATCATAACCTTGTATTCTTAGGTATAATACCAAAAGCAAAGTAATGAAAGAAAAACAATTTCATAAAAATGTAAAATTTTTGTACATCAAAGGATGCCATCCAGAGAGTGAAGAGACAATCTACAGAATGGGAGGTAATATTTGTACATCATATATCTGATAAGGGATTAATATTTAGCATATACAAAAAAATTCCTAAAACTCAATAAAAACAAACAACCCAATTAAAAAATGGGCAAGGGCTCTAGCCGGGTGGCCCAGTTGGTTGGAGCGTCATCCCCTACACCAAAAAGGTTTCAGGTTTTATTACTGGTCAGAGTATACATACCTAGGTTGCTGGTTCAATCCCCAGTCATGGTGCGTATGGGAGGTAACCAATGTTTCTCTCTCTCTCCCCCACTTCCTTTCTCTCTAAAATCAATGAACATATCCTTGGGTGAGGGTTAAGAAAATAAAAGACAAGGGATTTGAACAGACATTTCTCCAAAAAAAAAATAAACAAATGGCTGATAAATATATGGAAAAGATGTTCAACATTATTAGTCATTAAGGAAATGAAAATCAAAACCACAATGAGATACCACTTCACCTGTTAGGATGCCTATTATAAAAAATATGAGAAATAACTGTTGGTGAGGATGTAGAGAAATTGAAGCCCTCATACACTGCTGATGGGAAAGTAAAATGGTGCAGCCACCATGGAAAACATTTTGGTGGTTCCTTAAGAAGTTGAACATAGAATTACCATATGATCCAGCAATTCTATTCCTAGGTTTACCCAAAATAATCGAAAAGAGAGACTCAAAGAGATACTTGTATAGCAATGTTCATAGCAGCATTATTTACAATACTTCACAGGTGAAAAAACCCCAGGTGTCCATCAAGAGATGAACAGATAAACAAAATGTGGTATATATATAATACTACAGTGAAATATTCAGTCATAACAAGGAACAAAGTTCTTATGCTTGCTATAACATGGAAGGACCCTGAAAACATGCTAAATGAAATAAGCCTAACATAAAAGGATGGATATTTTAAGATTTACAAGATCTAGAACAGGCAAATTCAAAGAGACAGAAAGTAGAACAGAGGTTAGTTAGTAGGGGCGAGTGGGGTAGAGAATAGGGAGTTACTGTTTAATGGGTACAGAGTTTTTGTTTAGGATCATGGAACTAGTGGTAACAATCAAATAACATCGTGAAAATAATTAATGCCATTAAATCACACTTAAAAATAGTAAATACTATGTTATGTATATCTTACAATTTCATTTCATTCATTCATTCATTCATTCATTCATTCATTCATTTATTTCTCTCCTGAGGATATTTATCTACTGATTTTCAGATAGAGTGGGAGGGAGAAAGAGAGAGAAAAACATCAATGTAAGAAAGACACACGGATTGGCTGCCTCCCACATGACCCCTGACCAGGGCCAGTGATTGAACCCCAACCGAGGTGGTGCCCTTGACCGAAATTGAACCCGCGACTCTTTGGTCCTCGGGCTGATGTTTTAACTGCTGAGCCAAACTGGTTAGGTCTTTGCCACAATTTTTAAAAATGAGTGAGTTCTCTCTGTTTTTCCCAAGAAATATATTAGGACTTTAGATTTTCTTTCTTTTTTTAATCCACACCCAAGGACATTTTTTTCCATTTTTTGTTCAGATAGAGTGGGGGGGGGGGGGGAGGAGAGAGAGAGAGAGAGAGAGAGAGAGAAACATCAATGCGAAAGAGACACATCGAGTGGTTGCCACCCACACGACCCAATGGGGCTGGGGACAAACTGCAACCAAGGTACGTGCCCTTCGTGGGAACCGAACCCAGGTCTCTGGACCACAGGCCGACACTCTAACTGCTGAGCAAAACCAGCTAGGGCTCTTTCTTTCTTTCTTATCCCCCACCACGAATAAAGGGGAAGAGAGGCTCCAAATACAGTTTCAATTTACTATGTCTTCAGAGCACCTATGAATGAACTCATTTTCAAATACAGTTTTTCTCCTTACTAAATGATATAGAAAAATTGAAAAAAAAACCAAAAAGAATAATATAATAACTTTAGTATTATTAGTAGTTTGTATGACTTTCTAGTCTTTTTAATAATGAAGCCAAATGAATATCTATAAAATACATTCAGTGCTTAACCACAGAATAAATGAGTGTAAATCTCATTAATAAGTTACCAGATCTGGTTGCATATTTCACCGAAACCTGGCCTAAAGCCCTCTAGTCTTCTCATTTTACTTTGAGATTTCTGAATGGCAAACAATTATGACATTACTTGTGACACCCTCTGCTTTCTGAATAGGATGCACTGTTCTTTCTGTTCTCCTCTGGAATATAGAGAACAGTTTGTTCTTTCCCTTAAAGAGAACAGCTTTTTTGATGTTTTTGGTAAAAGCATCTGAAGTAATATGGAAAGTTATGGGCATAGACAAATGTATCTTTACATTTCTCTTTTCACTTGGCCAACACAGTTTCTCTTGTCCAGGAATTAAAGGGTACACAACACAGAACCATATTATCCTGTGAGTTTCAGACATGTTTGATATACTTAAGAAATGAGGAAAAAAACCAAAGTAGGTAACTCAAAGGAATTTCTTCCCATACTTCCAATTCACTGTCCTGGGAAGAGCTGGCATCAGCTTTCCGCTTGCCCCGGTTCTTTCCAGTCATGTTTTTCCTGGATTGGTCATCAGCATCTTTACTTGGTGTAGTCTGGGACAAAGATGGGCTTGTAGAAGGGTCTCCTGGAAAGAAAAAACAAGACATTTACTGCCAGTAGTCACAGGCTATAAGAACCAGAGCAGGAAGAGGGTTAGCATCTGCCCTTAAGAATCATATCGAAGCCCTGGCCAGTTTGGCTCAGCGGTCAGAGTGTCAGCCAAAGGACCGAGGGATGGCAGGTTCAACTCCCAGTCAAGGGCACATACCTGGGATGCAGGTTTGATCCCTGGCCCTGGTCAGTGTTATTCGAGAGGCAACCAATCAATGTGTCTCTCTCACATTGATGTTTCTCTCTCCCTCTCCCACTCCCCCTGCCTTCTCCCACTCTATCTAAAAATCAATGAAAAAATATCCTCAAGGGAGGATTAACAACAACAACAACAACAACAACAAAAGAATCATACTGCAGAGATAAAGGATAAATAACCAAACTTTATCTATGTAATCTGGGAATGCAGAACTGGACATTGAACATTAACAGCTTCTAACATTGCAAAGAGAGTTATAACTAGAATTTATATGCCTGCCTCCCAACACGTCTATATAGTTGTTTTGCCAAAAACAAAAAAAACAAAAAACCCGAATCTGATCAAGCTTCTAGATCAGAGTTTCTCAGCTTGGCACAATTAACAATTTGGGTCAGACAATTGTTGTTGTGAGTGTGCTCTCTTCTGTGTGTTGTAGGATGTCTGATTAAACAGCATCCTTGGTCTCTACACTCTAGAAACTGGTAGCACCTTCACCCAGTGTGACAAACAAAAATGTCTTTATATACTGCCAAATGTCAAAGGGGGTAGGATAGATGGCACACAGCACAATATTGCCTCTAATTGAAAAACACTGCTCTAGCCCTGGCCGGTGGTTAGAGCATTGGCCCACGGACCAGAGAGTCCTGGGTTTGGATCCCGCTAAGGGCACATACCTCGGTTGCAGTTTGTCCCTGGCCCTGGTTGGGGTTGTGTGGGTGGCAACCAGTTGATGTGTCTCTCTCACACTGATGTTTCTCTCTCTCTCTCTCCCTCCCTCTCTGAAAATAAATGCAAAAATATCCTCAGGTAAGGATAAAAAAAAAGAAAACAACTGCTCTAGATCCATTTACTAATTTACAATAACATACAGTAGGCAGCAGGACACGTTAAAGTACCCTATAGGGAAATAAGCAACAAAATTCAGGGACATGCTATGGGATAAACAATAGTTTCTTATACAAAAAGTACACAGGGGAAAGAAAAAAGGAGATGGAGGAATTTATAGGTTAAAAGAGACAACATATGTATCTACCAATCACAATGTATGGACCTTACTTGGATCCTAATTTAAACAAACTGTAAAAAGAAAAACAAAACTCCTAATATTTATACTAAAACTGGAAATATGAATACCTCTTGGTACTTTATGATATTAAGGAATTGTTATTGAATTATTTTAGATAGGATAATAGAATTGTGGTTATATTGAGTGTTTATCTTTTAGAAATACAATGTCTGGAATTTGGGAAGGGAAATGGATGAAGTATAGCTGAAACAAGATTGTCTATTGAGCTGTTAATTGTTGAAGATGGTTAATGGATACATAAGGGTTCATTATACTACTCTGATTACTTCTATGTTTGAAATTCTCCATTATTAAAGTTAAAATTGTCACAAAGAACAAAGATATTTAGAGAAACTAATTCAAAACTAAAGCATCAGTACATGTAATTATTTTAAAGCTATGTAAGTTTGAAGTGACTATCTGTATGTCCATTACTTAGAAGACTGGTGAAGGCAAACTGCTTTAGTTGATGTAGAGCATTGTTTTTAAAAATTCATCAGCTCTGCCTGGCTGGTTTGGCTGAATGGTTAGAGTGTCAGCCCGCAGACGGAAGGGTGGTGGGTTTGATCCTGGTCAAGGGCACGTTTGGATCCTGGCTGCAAGTTTGGTCTCCGGCCCCAGTTGGGGTCGTGTGGGAGGCAACCAATCAATGTGTCTCTCTCACATAGATGTTTCTCTCTCTCTCCCTTCCCACTCTATCTAAAAAGCAATGGAAAGCCCAGCCAGTGTGGCTCAGTGGACTGAGAGTTGTGCCATGGACTGAGAGGTCCCAGTGCGATTCTGAGTCAAGACAGATGCCTGAGTTGTGGGCTCAATCCCAAAGCAGGGGGTGTGCAGGAGGAAGCTGATCGATGTAGCTCCCTCACATTGATGTTCCTATCTCTTCCTTCCTCTCTCTTTAAAAAAATCAATAGAAACATAAAAAAAAAAGCAATGGCGTGCTCGCTTTGGCAGCACATAATACTAAAATTGGAACGATACAGAGAAGATTAGCATGGCCCCTGCATAAGGATGGCATGCAAATTCGTGAAGCATTCCATAAAAAAAAAAAGGCAATGGATAAACATCCTCGGGTGAGGATTAAAAAAAGAAAAAGTATGTGCATATGTTTACTGAATGTGTGCATAAAACCTTCACGTCAGCATTCTTCTTTAAAAACCTGAACATCATAATTCACCAATACATTTCAAAGCTAAATGTACATATCTAAATTTGTAGGTTACATTTCATGTATTTCTCTAGCTTTTCTTAGAATCTTAAAGGGATCCATGACACAGTTAAGAACTACTACTCTCAGCCCTGGCCGGTTGTTCAATGGTTAGAGCGTCGGCCTGCAGACCAGAGAGTCCCAGGTTCGGTTCCTGCTAAGGGCACGTACCTCAGATGCAGTTTGTCCCTGGCCCTGGGGCCGTGTGGGTGGCACCCAGTCGATGTGTCTCTCTCACATCGATGTTTCTCTCTCTCTCTCTCTCTCTTCACCCCTCTCTCCCTCCCATTCAATATGAAGACAAATGCAAAAAATGTCCTCGGGTGAGGATTTAAAAAAAAAGAACTACTGCTCTGAAGCTGAGCAGAAGTCTAAAATATTCACACTAAAACTGGAATCCTCCAATTTTTATAAAATATGTCATGATTCTGAGGTTCCCTGTGACAATCATGTTAAAGCTATAGGGAGGGCAAAGTGGGAGTCATAAATATAGTCTTTTCATTCTTGATACTTTTCTATTTACAGCATCAATATTACATTCAGCCTGCCAATGACTCATTATAGTCTGGGTTGCAATATTTAAATACTCCAGAGAGGGAAAACCAATAATAGCACGGTAACAGTAACTTAGAAGAGAATAAAATAATCTTCACCATCTTCTATTGGATGAAGTGCCCTTAAGCCAAAGTTTTTAGAGCTGCGGTGCTTACCAGAGGAAAGTCTCTGTGCTGTAGGTGTAGGTACCATGACACCAGGCTTCTCTGTCTGGTATGTGGTTGCTGCTAATGTGGTACTTTCGGCATCACTGTTAGTTTGGCCTGTGACTCCAAAGCTGGAGCTGGGATAACAGGCCTGGTACTGACTCTGACCAAGGATAGTATAGGTGGGATAGTCCTGTAGACCAAAAGGATTAAGGAAAGAAAACAAGACTTTTAGAAAAGTCAAAACATTAATTTCAACACAAGAGACTTTCATGTCCCTCTTGTTCATAACTATGTTTGTAAAACATTAATTTGACTTCTCATTTGCCTATCTATATTTTCCACCTAAACAAAAGATTTTCAAAATGCATTCTGATGGAAATCAAGAAGAGATACCTCAGGGCTGTCTGGGATGAGGCGAAGGCTGAGACAAAAAGGTCCCATGCACTCTATATAATAAATGTCTCTTTTTCTATTATAACAGCTCTTTTTTTTTTTCCTTTCTTTTCTATTCTATTTTATGTACTAAATTTCTGGGTAAATGTCTGCATAAAATTCTTAAAGGAAGATTTACTTTTTAACAAATTTATAAACCACTGCACTAGACAGTAGAGCTTCTAACAACAGAAGACATTAAACAAAAAAAAATTATATATCCTACATTAAAGGTTCTCAGTTTAAAAACTAAGTATCTTTCTTCCTAAAATAATTAATGTTTCTTTAAAATGTATGAAGGGGCCCTGGCCAGTTTGGCTCAGTGTTTAGAGCGTAGGCCTGTGATCCAGAGAGACCCGGGTTCGGTTCCCACTAAGGGCACATACCTCAGTTGCAGTTTGTCCCCGGCCCCAGTAGGGGTCATGTGGGTGGCAACCAGTTGATGTGTTTCTCTCTCCCTCTAGTTCTATCTGAAGATAAATACAAAAATGTCCTCAGGTCAGGATAAACAAATATAACAAATAAAAAAATATATTTGAAGGGAACTTTTGGTGGTTTCACAAGCACATAAATGTCAAAAACTTATTAAACTGTACAAATTTAATCTTGTAAAGTGTATTGTATGTCAATTATACCTTAATTAAGCTGTTTAAAAAATGGGTATGACGTACAGCTCAAAAACACACCATAAAAAATTCCACTGATAGCTCACGTTGGTGACAAGCAGAAAAATGCTAACTGATCAGACCAATTATTTATGAAAAGTATATAAGCATCTACCCTAAGTGTGTGCGCGCGTGTGTGCGCATGGGTGAGAAAAAGGAATATTACAGAAAAGAAAAGGTCATACTACCTGTACTCAAGGGAGTTAAAAATTTAGCAGGAGCTAAGACAAAAACATTTCCAATACGCAATAAATTTATGTCAGATGTGTGAAATACAGAAGAGGACAACTATCACTGAAGACTGTGGTAGTTAGGGAGCTTTCTGAGATCAATAGGCAGAGGGGATAAATACATGAATAGATTCTGAAAAGGTTTTATTAAAGGGCCAGAGATGTTCAGTCTGGTTGAAAAGATCTCTGTAGGCTTGAATGACTGGTTAAGGAATATAACTTGGATTGTTTGGGCAATAGTGATTAGTTTATGTGGGGGAAGGAAATGGGGATTATAAAATTCAAACCTATAAGTAAAAATACAAAACAATAATGAGCAGGTGAGAGCAGGATAAAAAGTGGTATTTAGAGAAAATTAATCAGGCAGTGTTTTAGAAAATGTACATAGTAAAAAATATGAGACAAATAGTTAAATATAGTAATTCAGGATTAAGAAGGGATATAAATAAAAGGGAAATTATAACAACAACAACAAAAAAGAATTCCAAAAATGGCTGGATTAGGGATAAGTGAGGAAAAAAATTTGAAGATAACTAGTCTATGTATCAGTTTATTATAAAAATGGTCTAACTGACAAGATTGAGAAGTTCTAGAGAAAAGTGGTTTTACTGCTGGGGAACAAGGAGACCGAAGAAAGGGTAGAATGAAAGACTGGTTTTGGATATGGTAAACTTAAGGAAATAGCAGGACATGAATGAAAAAATGTCCACCAAGCAGCAGGAAGCCTGTAAGGTTATGACTAGAATCTTTATTTCAGAGGTAGTAAGTAGTGAAACATTCCTGGGTATAAAAAACATATGGAGCCCTGGCCGGTTTGGCTCAGTGGTTAGAGTGTCGGCCCACGGACCCGAGAGTCCCGGGTTCGGTTGCCACTAAGGGCATGTACTTCGGTTGCAGTTTGTCCCTGGCCCTGGTTGGGGTCGTGTGGGTGGCAGCCACTTGATGTGTATCTCTCATATCGATGTTTCTCTCTCTCTCTGCCTCCCTCTCTCCTTCCCACTCTATCTGAAGATAAATGCAAAAGTGTCCTGTGGTGAGGATTAAACAAACAAACAAATAAACAAACAAAACCATTTGGAGCCCGAGCCAGTTTGGCTCGATGGTTAGAACGCTGGCCCACGCATCAAAAAGTCACAGGTTCGATTGTGGTCAAGGGCACATACCTTGGTTGCAGTTTGGTACCCAGCCTTGGTCAGGGTTGTGTGGGAGGCAGCCAGTTGATGTGTGTCTGTCTCACATTGATGTCTCTCACTCTCTCTCTCTCGTGCGTGCGCCCCTCCCTCCCTCCCACTCTATCTGAAGATAAATGGAAAGATATCCTGAGGATTTAATAAAAAAATGTATGTGGAAAACTAAATAGAGACTCTCCATGATAGAAGATAGGATAAAAAATAAAAGCTCAGAAAGGGCCCTGGCCAGTTTGGCTCAGCGGTTAGAGCGTTGGCCTGTGGACTGAAGGGTCACGGGTTTGATTCCCAGTCAAGTGCATGTACCTGGGTTGCAGGTTCAATCCCCAGTTCTGGTCAGGGTTGTATGGGAGGCAACCAATCAATGTGTCTCTCCCACATCGGTGTCTCTCTCTCTCTCTCTCTCTTCCCTTCTCCCCCATACACTCTATCTAAAAAGCAATTGAAAAATATCCTCAGGTGAGGATTAACAACAACAACAAAATGCTAAAAAGGGGAGAGACAGATGGACCCTGAAGAATGCCAGGTACATAGTAGGAACTTAATAAATATTTGTGGACTAAAAGAATGAACAAATGCAGGGGGGGGGAAACATTGAAAAAAAAAAAAAAAAAAAAGGAAGCAGAATAGTAGTATGTTAAATGCAGACAGAAAAAAAGATCCATGGATACAGTGGTTGATAATACTAATTGCTGCAGAAAAACAACAAATAAAAACATAACAACAAAGGCACTGAAGACATTACTAATGACCTAAGCATAAAATGTGAATAGAACAACGATCAAAACTAGACCACAAAGAATTCACAAAGGAATGAGTATCTAAATAAACAGTGGAAGCAAGCCCGGCTGGTGTGGCTCAGTGGTTGAGTGTCGACCCATGTACCAGGAGGTCGTTGGTCAGGGCACATGCCCAGGTTGTGGGTCCAATCCCTAGTGTGGGGCATGCAGGAGGCAGCCAATCAATGTTTCTCTCTCTCTTCCTATCCCTTCCTCTCTAAAATCAATAAAGAAAAAATTATTTTTAAAAAGTAGAAGTAATATTTATTAATTCCACAAATATTTATTATGTGCCTTTAATGTGAATGCTAGTCATTTTTATGAACTCTAGAAATATGTAAGTGAACAAAATAGAAAAATAAGTCCCTATGCTCATGAAGCTTACATTTTAGAAGTACTGGGGTAGGAGGTAGAGACACAGTAGATAAAAGGAGCAGATAAGACCATATCATTGAGAGGCTTAGTAGAAAAATGACAGAAACTGGATGGTAGCCTGAGAAATCATCCAGGGTTCTGGTTCTCAGGGCATCCAGAGAAATGTCTCTCTATAGCCCATACTGGTTATTTTTTAGATCAGCAAACTGACCATGAAAGGAAGAAAGGAAGAGCTAGCCAGATTATCCATATCAAATAGGATGAACAAAAACAGCACCATACCTGGTTTGAGATGCTGGACACTGCTGCTGCTGGAATATTGGCAATTGTAGATGAAGTGGATATCAGGCTGGCATTTGTGCTTGAAGCTATAGGATTGAAAGTATTAAGAAATATTAAAGATATTATGTAAAAGGCTAGAAGAAATTTAAGATATATTGTATCTTAAATAAACAGATCTATAAGGATATAAAGAACGTTAGCAAAGGAAGCAAATACAGGTTTTGCTCTCTTACATGTTATACCATAATTTAGACTTGATTAGATAAAAGTTAAAAAATGTTTGTTTCAACTTCAGTCTTCAACTATTCCTACTAAAGTCCTCGAAGGATACATATACAATGCACTGGTTCATACTAATGATACCAATAAAACCAGAAGCTAAACCAAAGGACTGCAGTCCATCTTCTCCAGCAGTTGAAAAATGACTCACCTGCAATATGGCCTACTGACAATCTGTACAAACAAGAGCTCTGTAAATCTACATGTAAATCATATACTATGGCATTTATTATCACTTGCCCCAAATTATGCCTTTTCTGATGCAACATAATTACTTTGAGAAAGAGATGATTCTCCAAATTCTAAAGTACTTGAAGTTGCTTCTTGGGCACTACTCAATGAGTTATTGGTGTGTATCAACAAACATCATGATCTGGAATTTAATGATTTTTACCAATGAGTCTAAAAAAATTCAGAAAATATTAAGTATTATTCTGGCCAGGTAAAAATGTACTATATAAGCTAATCAGGCTGCCTATCTTGAGAGAAGGAATTTGAATTAAGTTTTCCACACCCTTCTATCACAGATTCCACTAGGGTTTTAATCAAATCCTCAGAGACTAGTGTTTGCCACAGAGACTTTTTTCAAGTAGACAATGTAACAGATTGAGGTACTGCTCTTGAATTCTTCTAACTCACTTATCATAAGCACATTCGACATGGTTCCCATTGCGGTCACATACACCATAAGGGTTCAGCATCAAGGTAGACTTGACTATCAAGCCCACTACCAACAAAGTTCTCTAGAAGGAAAGTTAACAGGAAAACCTCCATTAAAAATAGGGCAGGTGACAAATGAAGTAGAAGCTTGAAATTTTTATCCCTTTCCTAAGGGAACTCTGCTTAGAAGAAACACTAGAAGAAATTAGGGTACATCTGATATAAGGAACAGCCAGTGCTGCAATGCCAGCTTTCAGATGAAGAACCTGGGACAAAGAAGAGTTCAAGTAATTTGTCCACAGTCATGGAGCTAGTGGTAGATAGTCAAGATGACAAAACTGGGATCTCCCAATTTTTCATCAGTTGCAAATTTAAAATCAAAAGCAGCAGCAATAAGATATGCAACAAAGGGTACAAATTTAGAGGATCAAATAAAACACAAGTGGTACCTCCTACTGTTATATATCTAAAAGCTATTAGCTTTCCAAATGCCAATTGCGTAGCCAACTTTTTCTGGATAAGTCTCCACTCCTGTTTTGACAATGGAGCTGTGAAATCATAGAAGGACAAAGCATCTGAGAACCATGCCCACCTAGAGGTCCACCTAATATAGTCAATATACAGAGAGCTCCAATCAGAAGACTTTGTGGTTATAGAACTGTGAGAGACACTTGAATTAGGTGACATTTGCCCCCAAAAGGGAGGGTTAATAGCACATAAAAGTTGCTACAAGATTTAGTTTCTACCCACCCCTTTAATATTTTTTTTTATCCTAACCCAAGGACATTTTTCCATTTTTTTGTTCAGATAGAGTGGGAGGGAGGGAAGGAAGGAGGAAGACAGAGAGAGAGAGAGAGAGAGAGAGAGAGAGAGAGAGAGATCAATGTGAAAGGGACATGTCGAGTGGTTGCCACCCATACGACCCAACCAGGGCTGGGGACAAACTGCAACAGAAGCACGTGCCCTTAGCGGAAACCGAACCCGAGTCTCTCTGGACCGCTGGCCAACACTCTAACCGCTGAGCCAAACCGGCCAGGGCTAATTTTACATATGTTTCTCCACCATCCTTGCTCACCCTGGCTTTTGAGTTACTCAAAACAAGAGAATCTCTGCCTGGACTGTTCTCCCTGGCCTGTCCCTCTTGTCCTCCCAGCATGATGGCTCTGACCGTCTCTGACCCCTCTATTAAAACTAACTCCTCTCTTGTTTTCTCAATCATAAAATCTATTCTTTATTCCTTTCAGAGTACTTTTAAAAATCTATTTATTTACCTGCTTGTCTTCTCTCTACTACTCTGTAAGCTCCATGAAGGCAGAATCTTAATATCTTATTATCTCCAATATCTAGCAAAGCAACTGGCCCACAGTAGGTGATGCTCAGTAAGTACTTGTAGAATTCATGTATAGCATGTTAAGGTCATGAAAAACAAGGAAAGTCTGAAAAACTGCAGAGTCAAGAGGAGCCTAAGTAGACATGACAATGAAATGAAATGTGTCCAGCTGGTGTGGCTCAGTGGTTGAGTGTGACCCATGCACCAAGAGGTCGCTGGTTCAATTCCCAGTCAGGACACATGCCCAGGTTGTGGGCCCAATCCCCAATTTGGGGCATGCAGGAGGCGGCCAGTCAATGTTCTCTCTCATCGATGTTTCTATCTCTCTCTCCTTCTCACTTTCTCTCTCTCTAAAAAATCAATAAAGGAAAAAAGAAAGAAATGAAATATGATATCGTGGACAGGATTCTGATTCTGGAACAAAAAAAGGAAATCAGGTTAAAAACTAAGGAACTCTGAATAAACTATGGACTTAGTAATAATACACCAATATTGGTTCATTAATTGCAACAAATGTTCCACTCTAATATAAGATGTTAATAATAGGAAAAACTGTATGCAAGGTGGGGGATATATATAACTCTATACACCATGTGCTCAATTTCTCCGTAAATCTAAAACTATTCTTAAAAAGGCTATAATAAACAAATCTGGTCAATGAAAGACTACTGTATATTACAACAACATTGCAGTCCAAACACATTCATTAAAAGTCAAAACTGAGCCCTGGCTGGTTTGGCTCAGTGGTTAGAGTGTTCACCCATGGACTAAAGGGTTGTGGGTTTGATTCTGGTCAAGGGCATGGCATGTACCTCAGTTTCAGTTTGGTTCCTGGCCCTGGTCGGGGTCATGCGGGAGGCAGCTGATTGATGTATCTCTTTCACATCAATGTTTCTCTTTCTCTCTCTCTCTCTCTGTCCCACTCTATCTGAAGATAAATGGAAAAAATCCTTGAGTGAGGATTAAAATAAATAAAATAAAATATTAGTCAATATTGAGTTAAAATTAATTTTTAAATTTCTGTAATTAATTTTGCCACTTGAATATTAATCATTTTAACTATCTCAGCTGAAGAAAATAACCAGAGATTAGGCCACATACAGTCTAGGAAAAGATTGATATAAAGAAGACAGATCTACTTAATAAAAAGGTGTTTATGAGCACTGAGGTATAAATTAAAAGCTCTGATCAGAGCTGATCAAGCCAGAAGTAGAATTTGGTTTCTGAGATAATTTCCCTAACTTTCCCAAGAAGGGCAATTGTCAAATGTAGACTGCTTTGGGGTGGGAAGAGGGGACTTTGGTATTTTGACCACTTAAAAATAAAAATCAGTACAATGTTCCTTGTTTTTATTCTGTAGAATGACTGGGTAGTTAGAGGGGAGGAAGGAAGAAGCTCTGGACAGCTAACATTAATTGTCCATGGTAAAGGAAATGAAAAGTGGGGATAAGGAGAGTGAGTGGAGAACCCAAGTGATTTAAATATGCCTACAATACCCATATTTCATTTTGGCCAATTATTTCAACTTGTTTTCTATCATTTTTTTTTCTTCAAAATAGGTGGCAAAATAATAATAATAATCAACTTAATGGTAAACTTTTTTTTAATTAAAAATTTTCTTTTCAATGATAGTTTACACTTAATTTGGTGAACTTCTGTCTTAATTTCTGTGCCAAAGTTCTAATGAATAATACAATGGACCAATAGGTTAACCAGAAAAGGGGATGAAAAATGAATTTAGATATTTGTCATTACAGGTTCTTAAATGTGGGAGGGCTGACATTGATACCATGACCTCAATATTAAAAATCATATGTTTTCATTCATAGATCACTCATACTCTGGGGTCAGACTGCCTAGCTAACATCCTGACTATTATTTACTAACTTTGTGACCTTAGACAAGCCACTTTGCTTTTCTGTATCTTATGTTCCCTTTCTTTAAAATGAAATAAATAATAGTATTTACCTCAAAGTGTGTTGTGAAGATTACATGAATAACACCTATCTATTACCTTAAAACAATACTAAGAACACAGTAAGCACTTAATAAACACCAACAATGATTATTAGCAAAATGTGAGAAAACCAGGTTAGTCTATCAAAAGGGAGAAAAATGTCCTAACAGATAAGTTAAGATAGTGGTTAATAAGTTTAAAGGATATTCTCATGACCCTTTTAAAGCAATGAGTTCTAAAAGCCCTCCCAAAGTGGTTCTTACTTTATAAGGAGGGGGAAGTAAGCATAGCTATTAGGTTCCTCAAATTCAAGATACAACTACAGAGAAGTGGTGGTTCTACACCTTGTAAGAGAGTTAGTAATATAAAAAAAAGAATGCCCTACTTTTCTTTCATGACCTAGGTGTAGTCATCAGGGATATATTCCTTCAGAGTAGTGGTTCTCAACCTTCCTAATGCCGCGACCCTTTAATACAGTTCCTCATGTTGTGGTGACCCCCAACCATAAAATTATTTTCATTGCTACTTCGTAACTGTAATTTTGCTACTGTTATGTCTTAGGTGACCCCTGTGAAAGGGTCGTTTGACCCCGAAAGGGGTCGCGACCTACAGGTTGAGAACCGCTGCTTTACAGGGACTTCGCAACTAAATTTGCCTGTAGTTGGACACAAAAGGCCTACCAACCTAGATAAATACTTTATAAAAATGAAAGGGGTTAGAGGGGAAGACAGACAAAATCATGCTCTTTATTTTTTTCTCCTGGTTTGTTCTCAGTTTAGAAAGAAAGAAGGGGTGAGGGGGAGGATAAACACAGAAAGAAGGGAAAATAAATAAGAAACGAGGTGACTTGGTAAACAATAGGAGGTAAAAGAAACTCAGAGCAATGTCTTAGAATGTAGTGACCACTTCTGTTTGCAATGGACCAAGCAGAAGTAGTTCTCAATCATTTAACTGAAAACCAAAATATTTTGTTTAATACAATCTACATCAAAACATTTTTCATCACCAAAGACTATATATCTTTAGAGTACCTCAGACCAGTTTTTGCTGTCCTGCCTTTACCTCTTGGGCATCCGTTTTATAAAAAATAAAATTTAAAAGCTGGGAAAAATCAGGCAAAAGGAAGCAAATGAGAAGCCAAGTACATGGATATTAATTCCCAATCTGGATCAATGATAAATTGCTTGCACTGAATTTGGAAGAGTTGGGAATTAATTCCACAGTGCCTTTTGAGTTTCTTTGTCTTCATTCCTAATAGTCCTAACATACTTCTAACCTGTTAGGGGAAGAACTTGGGAAGGCAGAGATGTTTAGAGTTCAAGCTTTAATGCTATGCTTTTCATCCTGAAATAGAAACAAGACAACTTTCTGAGCAAAATAAATGCTCTCACCAAGAAGTGGTAAAAGGAAGTAGAGGTATGGCAAAACCACAGCAGAAAAGCAGGACAAATCTCAAAAAGCAGCATTCATCTCACATTCCACTCTATTTGGATTTCATATAAAAGAAATCTGAGCAAAGTTCTAACCCATGGAGTCTTCTCATTTATAGGACACAATGCCACTGACAACAGACAGGTTTTCTGAACACCAACATGCAAAAGGAAAGGTTTCAATTCTACTAAGCAGTTCACAAAGGTTACATTACTTACAAACCACTCTCCTAGGTTTTGGTTTGCCTAACATGGAAAGCATGCACAAATGCATATATCACCCCCTTCTATTTTAGAAGACAGAACTCCTATTACCCAATTTGTCTGGAGATACACGTAGATTAAAAACAAACACCAACAATAATAAAACACACACAAACACACACACACACACACACACACACACCCATGCCTATTTACCTTGAATGGGATAAGAATAATGTGCTGGGCTTGGCTGGCTTGTGGTTAACCCTGTAGTGCAGGTAAGAACACTGTGTTGACTTGGAGATGGAGTCTGAATTAAACCACTTTCAGGTTTCATACCTGGCCACAATGCACCTGAATCAGATAAATTGGACCAATTACAAACAATACACTGGGACTGAGGAGCATGGTTATGCTTTTAAATATCAGCCAGTAGTTTAAAATCTAAATCATAAAAAAAAAAAAAAATTTTGCTTGTGAGAGAAGATTACTGATTCTCCCACTTATAATGAACCACAAGCAAATACAATTTCAAAGAATTACGGAGTGGGGCCATAGAAACAAAAATTCTGTCAAAATCCCAATAGTGATATATATATGTATCAATAGTGATATATATATGTTAATTTCAGTGGTTTGGGGAAATTGACCAGGATTCAAAACACAGCTACTGACACCCAACCAGAGTATTTGTTGTAAAGAGTGCCTGATGTTCAGGTACCGCAATAATTTATTTATCTGCATTGTCAAGGTGGGAGACATTCTACATAAGTTTAAAATTCACTTACCCATTAAACAATCACCAAATTTTTCTAAAATGTATTAAATACTTCTCTGCCTTCTTAAGCTGGTTATTTTGTTACCTTTGTTTCTTCTGGTTAAGACACACCTGCTTATTTTTATAAATTAAAAACATCATAGAAATATGTAATTTAGAAAAAACAAAGCCACATGTAATCCCATTATCCAGACTTAACCACTGTTAAGTTTGCAGAAGTCACTCATGTTTCTTTTATGTACTCACTAATCATTTTTCTTCTTTTAAATAAAAATTAAAAAGATATTACACATACTATTCATAATTTGCTTTTCCACATACCTCTAAGAAACATCTTTCCATGTCAGAACATATAAATCTATCTCATACTGATAGACATCATAGCTATTCACTCTTATTTTTATTACAATGCTCCTGAGTGACAAACTTTCTAAAATATATTTACATCTCTTCCTGCCTTATTGGCAGAGAGGAAATAGTGAGCATACCTTTAGATTTTCTCAGAATTATTTCTACAAAAATCAGTATTGTGCTGTGCTACATGTATTACAGAAACAGAGGCTACTGTGATACGTGAAGATATTTGCTCAGTACTAAAAAGAACTCAGTTATGGTTCTATGATTTTTAGATTCTTGTATCACTTTGTCTTTTCTCTGTGATCTGTCACTTCTTGACAATCTCCTGTCTCTGGCTGTATCTATCTCTCTTTTCATTTCTAGTCAACTAGGAAACCATAAACAAAGCTTTGCTTCTACATGAGAGCCTAAGGATGTCCTTCATGAGTGAATAGTTTTTTGTGATAATTTTGGCTATACAAAAGTCTATTTATAAAAAAAACCTTACTGTCTGCTTATTCATTTTGCTCTGAATAGCTACAGTTACTGGATCAGTGTAGTTGAAGCTGACAATCTGGTTTAAGAAGGTTCATCAATCAAAAACATTCCAGGTAAGAAGTCAATATCATGTCAGCCACAGCTGACTCAATACTAACTCATTTAATTTACTCCTATTCTGATAAGGAATTTACAGAAATATAATGCTTTAATAATAAGAACCTCTGCTTCACCAGGGCACTGAGATATCTTAGTGCAACTCAGATCTGTAAAATTTGTTGAAAAGTAAATATCAGAATAGAAAAGAGAGATGTAAAAATTTTAAAAGGTTGACAATGGGACATGGTAACTGCCTTGGCCCAAACTCAAAGCATTAAAGAAGAAAAGCCATATTCTTTTTTTACCTATTAAACACATGAAATGACTTTGAGGATACTGAGGGATATCAATATCTCTAGTATGAATTAGGAGGATTGGCCCCCCAGTTCGTGATCATTTAAAAAATCTTGTCCAGGTTAGCCACTGCTAAAGTTCTTCCTATATTTAATTTTCAACAAAAAAAATTTGAGAATGTTTTTTTAAAACATTTATGATGTAAAATGTGAATATTAGTGCCATGATTCCAAATGGTATCACAATTCCTAGTTAACAAACCACTATTTCAATATCATAATAACTTTCAGATTTATTGTAATCAATGTGTTTTTTTCTAAATAGATTCTGAACAAGTGTCAGATTTGTGAACATGTTTATTATTACACTGTACTAAAATACTACCTTATTAGTAAAAATAGTATTAACTAAGAATGTTTTGCTAGTCTCATTATTTAGTATTTTTTAAAGTTTTAAAATGTAAAATGTCTATAAACTGATCCTTTTTATAAGGTCAAAAATCAGGGCAAAATGTCCAACACAAATAGGGAAATAGTTTTGAATATTTTTTTACCCAGAAACATGAAGTAGATATTTAATATATAATTATTTTATGAACACTAGAGGAATAAAGGACAATATGGACACTGCCTCCCGCATCACTGTAGCCCTGTATTTAAGAATATAAACATCTTTCTTTAAAAGTATCCTTCCAAGAATTCCAAGTAATAGGTAGTATGATTTAACTGAAGAACACTACTGTCCATAGCAAATGAAACTAAACCCTGACTTCCTGACTACTAGTCCACTGCTCTATGCCTACAACTACAAAGCTTCTCAAGTCATTTGAAGCACAAAAAGCCTGATGTGGAGCAACAGCTGGTCTAATAACGAAAAAGGAAGTCTGTCTCTGAGTGCTATCCTGCTGTCCCATGCTGGGGGAGGGGTCTTTTTTTTTCTTTTGGTCTGTGCCCCTAGCAGAAACCGAACCCGGGACTCTCTGGTCCGCAGGCTGATGCTCCAACTGCTGAGCCAAACTGGCCAGGGCTGGGGGCATCTTATTGTAAACTTTACCCAAGTCTCTAAGCACAAATATGTGTCACCATGGGTTAGTCAATAACCAAACCAATCTGAGCAGTTCAGTTTATAGTAACACATATCATAGTAGTGGATCTTTAGAAATTAATTAATTTGGTTAGGAACTGAAGTACATGTTAATGCTAGAAACAAACAAACAAAAAAACACATGAAAGACTATCTTGGTTTGTTGATTTAATAGCTCACTGGGATGAGCTACTATAAATACTAAGTAATTTAATCTGAGTACTTATCCTAATTATAAAATAAGTAGATGTATATTATAGAAAATTAGGAAAATATAGAGTGTAAGGAAAAATTCAGTCTCATCACACAGAAAAAATATAGACAGTTTGTGCTTTGCATGGTTCTGTGCTAAGATCAAATCTGTATAATCCTTGTACTATGATGTTCACAATTCCCCCCCAAAGTTAGTCTTTAATATACATATTTTAAAAATATATAAGCTGGGGATATTATATAGTATTTTCAGTTTTACATAGTTTTTTTCCCCAATTAATAATAATCTGCCCTGGCCAGTTTTGCTCAGTGGTTAGAGCATCAGCCTGTGGACCAATGGGTCATGGGTTCGATTCTGGTCAAGGGCATATACCTGGGTTGTGGTTTATCCCTGGCCCCGGTCAGGTCATGCGGGAGGCAACCGGTGGATGTGTCCCTCTCACCGGCGATGTATCTGTCTCTCTCTCCCTCTCTCTTTCTCTTTCCCTCCCTCCCACTCTATCTGAAGATAAACAGAAAAACATCCTCGGGTGAGAATTTTTTTAAAAAAGTAATAATAATAATAATCTGATTTCTTAAGAATGTGACTTACTGCCCTGGCTGGTATGGCTCAGTGGTTAGAGTGTCCACCTGAAAACTGAAGGGTCGCAGGTTCGATTCCAGTCAAGGTCATGTACCTGGGCTGCAGGTTCAAACCTTGAACTGGGGTCATTCTGGAGGCAACTAATTGATGTGTCTCTCTCACAATGATGTTTTTCTCTCTCTCCCTTCCTTCCATTCTCTCATAAAAAAAAAAGTATCAGCCCTGGCCGGTTTAGCTCAGTGGCTAGAGCATCGGCCTGCGGTCCGGAGAGACCCGGGTTCGGTTCCCGCTAAGGGCATGTACCTCGGTTGCAGTTTGTCCCCGGCCCTGGTTGGTCGTGCGGGTGGCAGCCACTTGATGTGTCCCTTTCACGTCGATGTTTCTCTCTCTCTCTCTCTTCCTCTCTCTCCCTCCCACTCTATCTGTGCAAAAAATGGCAAAATGTCCTCGGGTGAGGATAAAAAAAAAAAAGTAAAAAAAAAGTATCAATGGAAAAATATCCTTGGGTGAGGATTAACAACAACAATGTCACTTACACCCAGAGGCAATGGCTCAGCTGCTTGATCATGTCCTATATACAAAAGGTTGCCAGTTTGATTCCCAGTTAGGGCACATACCTGGGTTTTGGGTTTGATCCCCAGTCAAGAAGCTACAGAAAGCAAGCAACCAAACGATCAGTGTTTCTCTCTCATAGTTTCTCTCTCCCCCGCCCCCTCTAAGCATGTCCTCCTATGAGGATTAAAACAACACCAAAAAAGAATGTTACTTATAATGACTACATAGTTTTCCATTCTGTATATATGCTGCAATTGAACACAATTGAAACCTTTCCATCGAATATGTACGTTGTATCCAATCTTTTGCCATTATATCTAATTAACTCCATAGGATAAATTCCTTGAAGTGAAAGAAATGGCATGAACATCCTTAAGGATCTAAATATATAGTCAAATCTCCATTTAACATTAAAGTTCTTTCTTTTTTTATCCTCACCCGAGGACATTTTTCCTTTTTTTTTTTGTTCAGATAGAGCGGGAGGGAGAGAAAGGAAGAGAGAGAGAGAGAAACATCGATGTGAAGGGACACATCGAGAGGCTGCCACCCGCACGACCAACCAGGGCCGGGGACAAACTGCAACCGAGGTACGTGCCCTTAGCGGGAACCGAACCCGGGTCTCTCTGTACCGCAGGCTGACGCTCCAACCGCTGAGCCAAACCGGCCAGGGCTAAATTTCTTTTTTTTTTTTTTTTTTTTTATTCTCACCTGAGGATATTTTTCCATTCTTTGTACAGATAGAGTGGGAGGGAGAGAGAGGAAGGGAGAGAGAGAGAGAAACATCGATGTGAAGGGACACATCGAGTGGCTGCCACCCGCACGACCAACCAGGGCTGGGGACAAACTGCAACCGAAGTATGTGCCCTTAGCAGGAACCGAACCCGGGTCTCTTCGGACCGCAGGCCGACGCTCTAACCGCTGAGCCAAACCGGCCAGGGCAAGGCTAAAGTTCTTTTAAAAAGAAGTTAAACAGTGGCAGCTAAGGCAATCTTTTATAAGCCCCTAAAATAAATGATTTCCCTTTTTCTCACAGATTCGGGTCTCTCTGGTAGTTCAATTTCTCATCCTCTTTCTGCCATCTCACCACATTTCTGTATGGCTCTGAAAAAAATATGACTACTATTCCTTTACTTTTAAAGATTACTCATAGAATTTCTCGATTTCCTCTGTCTTTTCTCCTTTCTTCAAGAAGAGGAAACTTTCAAATTTCAAACTCAACTCAGACTATCTTTTTCATATAGACCTAAACCAGCAATTTTCAACCTTTTTCATCTCATGGCACACATAAACTAATTACTAAAATTCTGCGGCACACTGACAAAAAAATAGGTATAATTTTGATTGATTTACAACAATAACCTACTCTTTTTGCTCCAAAATGATTTTTTTAAAAATCAGGTGCTTATACCTATATATAGGATTAACCAATCAAAAGCAATCTTATTACATGATGTGACCAATAACATGCAACTCTATTAAATGACCCATATATTTATGGTTCAAGACAGGGCATTCACACTGAACAGCTATTGTTGTGTTGGCTGTTGTCATTTCTTCATTTGACAGTCTAAGGGAAAAGAAGTCAGTGCCCCTGACTAAACAGTCAGGTATTGCATGTTTTAAAAATTCTTGTGACAAACCTGTTGAAAATCGCTGACCTAAAACCATGAGCACTTCTGGAGTTAAACAGACCTGGATTCAATTCTAATCCTAGGCATTTACTAATTGTTTGACCTCAGGCTAGTCACTTCACTTAGTCCTTCTAAACCATTTTCCTTATCTTTAAAAAAATATATAATGTTACTACTTACTTCATAGGACTGCTCAGAGGATTAAATAAGACAAAATGTAAAGTGTGAAGAACTAATTCTTAACATACTACTTGGTTCAGTGAGCATTCAATACATATTAGATAATATTATTACAATGAGATTTTCTGAAGTCCCTTTATATCTGAAATAAAATAACAGGTTGACTAATCTAGTTTTAGTGCTATTAGGCAACATTAAGATGACAACATTTCCAAAACCTTCACAAGAAGAAATGAAGTATTCTATATTTGAGCGAACACATCAAAAAAGTATTCCAGCCCTCGCTGGTTTGGTTCAGCGGTTAAGAGCGTTGGCCTGTGGCCCTGGCTGGTTTGGCTCAGCGGTTAGAGCATCGGCCTGCGGTCTGGAGAGACCCGGGTTCGGTTCCCGCTAAGGGCATGTACCTCGGTTGCAGTTTGTCCCCGGCCCTGGTTGGTTGTGCGGGTGGCAGCCACTCGATGTGTCGCTTTCACATCAATGTTTCTCTCTCTCTCTCTCTCTCTCCCTCCCACTCTATCTGTACAAAAAAATGGAAAAATGTCCTCGGGTGAGGATAAAAAAAAAAAAAAAGAGCGCTGGCCTGTGGACCACAGTGTCTTGGGTTTGGTTCCCACTAAGGGCACGTACCTCGGATGCAGTTTGTCCCTGCCCCGGTTGGGGCCTTGTGGGTGGCAACCACTCGATGTGTCTCTCTCACATTGATGTTTCTCTCTCTTCCCTCCTCTCCCCCTCCCGCTGTCTGAAGATCAATGCAAAAATGTCCTCAGGTGAGGATAAAAATAAATAAATATTCCAAACATCTCTCGATAATGTCCTTTATAAATTATGAGAACATGCTATATGTTTCATTCACATTACTTCCACCTAATTCTCTCTCCAGTAAGTCTCATATATAACTTAAAGTCAAATGAAACTAATGATTTTTCTCTCTGAATTACAGATAGATGAATTTATAAAACAAGTCTCCCTGGCCCCCTAATATTAAACAAAAACAGATTAATAAAAGACCCTGTTATAAATAATATTACTTCACAATATAAACAATTTTCTTCAAGTTTTTAACAAGACTTGATCTATTTTACAGAGCTTTCTTTTTTTCTTTAATACAAGGGAAATGCAATGATCACAAAAGATACTCTAATATCTAGGACCTAGATCCACATGGAACTATGTTAGGCATTCCATAATCTGAGCTAGGAGATATAATAAAAGTTTTATTTAACACTGAACAATAAGAATGATTTATTGTTCAGCAATATCATAAAGGACTTTGGCCTTGCTAATAATACATTTAAATTAAAACAGAGAGTTAAAAGACAATATGAAAATACTTATTTTATACTTGCTAGCCTATTACTTAGCCAGCTAATAAAAATTCAGGTTTAATATACATAAAAAGAAATAAACACAAACATAATCACAGAAATTTCTTCTTCCAAAAGGACTTCTGTCTTGGCTCATTAAATATATCATAAATCTAAGATTTTAGTATACTGGCTGAAACTGGCAGGCATGTAGGCATCGACTACAAATGGGGAAACAGGCATTTCTGTTTCTCTTCTCCTGTGAAGTTACCCACAGACACTATCATGAAACAAAACCCCCAATTTTTGTTTCTAGTAGTTATTAGGAGGCAAGGAATGCTTAAAAGAAAGAAGGCTATCTCTATCATAAAATATTAGCCAAATGGGCCAGGAAAAGTAGCAATGTAGAAACCAAAAGCAGGCAACACTAATAGATCCATAACCTGTATTGATATGCTTGGAAGATTTTTCTAATTCCCAGCTAGTTTCAGTAAAGGCTAGAGTTAGAATTTTATTAACATACTGCACATTTAAAAATAATACCTATATTCTCTCAATTTTTTGAAACCAGTTAGGAAAGCAGGGAAGAAGTAATAAAGCAAACTAAATATATCTATCAATTTACATACACACACACACAAAAATGAGTGCAGATATTAAGTGTCCAAAGAATCTCAAACTGTCTTCTGGTAAATCATTATAATTTATAGTTCATGTCTAAGATACCTAAAACCAAAGAATAAAAACTTTCTATGTACATAAGGTTGTACAAAATCGGGGATTTCCCCCACTGTAAGGCATATTCTATCTGGATATTTATATTACCTGGCTTTAGCAAGAAACTAGCCATCTCAAAATATATTTATTATGCTTCCTTAACCAAGGTACCATGATTTGTATAAAGTAAAATCAATAGTAATTTCTCAAAGATTTTCCAAAAATACTTAAAGAATCCAAGTTTTATAGTCCAAATTTAGTATTTGTAAATTTTGGTAGCCAACCTTGGTAGATAAACAAATGAGTACTGAAAAAGTATGATGTTATATGACATGCATCAAAATATAATGTTGGGAAGTTGCACACCCAACTTCTATTACACCTGTAACTGAGTAGGTGCTCTGTAAAGAACAACTTATCATTCCATGGGATAAAAATCAATACTCTTAAAAACTGCTTATAATAGGATGCCTTACCAAAAGGAGGTAGTCCATACGTTTGGGTTGCCTGAGGGTAGACAGCATATGGTTGAGACTGCTGTAGTGTCTGGTATTGAGTCTGCCCAGGATAAGCAGTATCCGAAACAGGAACTGAGAGGATATGTGCATAAGGTCTAGGAAAGTTCAAGAAAACAAAAACTTGCATGTGTGACTTATTTTAGTAATGAAAAACAGGGGAAACAGCTACCACCACTAAATGCAAAGAATCAGTAATGCGGTCACTAACCTTCCACAAAATGTCTCTCACTATGGTAAAAAAACTAGCACTAATATTTCCTTTCTAGGTTCTATTACAACCTACCTAAGAAACACTTTTATGAAACACTTATTATTTTCAAATATCCTCCCAAGATCCAATTACTATGCTATAAACATTTTTGGTATGCTATATGTAAGGCCCTATGTGAAACACTAGGATGGATTAAACTTTTTTATACCTGTATGTCTACATAGAGAATAAAACAGAAAATTGGGCAGAACAGCCTTTGCAACTGACTCCTGTTCTCCACCCAACCCTCTGGGCCAAACTAAAGTTCTAAGATAAAAGTGGGGTTTGTAAAAGATGGTGAGGCTGGTAGAAAAAAGGCAAGTACCTATGCTACAAAACAGAGAGTAAAAGAGGGCCCCAATATCGCCAGATCAAGCCCATAGAACATGGGCCAGGTAACTAATAAAATCTGAGGAGTCCCAGATAGGACTCAGAATTTCCCCACTTTTATTTAAGTCAGAGTATACTGCTACTTGTTGGTGCCAACCACATCAGGTTTAACTAGGAATTTTAATTCAGCAGCGAAACTTCTAGGAATTTAGACTAGCTAGAAGACCTGGTCATTTAATTCAATAAAATGACCCCACATTTTATTTAATTTAATTTAAATAATTTATTTATTTACTTATTTATTTATCCTCACCTGAGGACATTTTTCCATTTTATTTATTTATTTATTTATTTATCCTCACCTGAGGACATTTTTCCATTTTTTGTTCAGATAGAGTGGAAGGGAGAGAGAGAGGAAGAGAGAGAGAGAAAGAGAGAGAAACATCGACGTGAAAGGGACACATCGAGTGGCTGCCACCCACACGACCAACCAGGGCCGGGGACAAACTGCAACCGAGGTACATGCCCTTAGCAGGAACCGAACCCGGGTCTCTCTGGACTGCAGGCCGACGCTCTAACTGCTGAGCCAAACCGGCCAGGGCATGACCCCACATTTTATGCACTATATTTTTGGATACCAGTTTTATTAAATGGTGAGTTATGCTGCACGTATAATACAAGAAAAAGTGTTACATGTGCCATATAAGTAATAATTAAATACTGGGGACGGGGTGTTTCAGAAGGCAAGATGGTCTTTTTCAGGTTTGGGAGAGACGAAAATGAAGGCTATAAAGAAGTGGTATGTGAGCTGAGCATATAGGATGTGCAGGAATGGGAGAGAAAGAGTGTTCTAGGAAAATAGAAAAATTCTAGAAAAGGTAGAGAGGAAGGAAAGCAAGGGCTTCAACCTGCAAGAAGCATAGATTATATTAAAGGAGGTATATAAAGGGAAGGGAAGTAGTGAGAGAGAAAGATAGTAGCCAAGACTTTGAATACCAGGCTGAAAGAAACAAATCTGAAACAAGTGGGAGTCACTGAAATTGTTGAGCAGAGTGACAAGATCAGAACTGCTCTTTAATACAGATTAGTTTGACATTGCTTTGTAAAATAGATTAGAAGGGAGAAAAAATGGGACTAGAAGTCCAGTTAAAAAAGTCATACAGGGCCCTGGCCGATTTGGCTCAGCGGTTAGAGTGTCCGCCTGTGGTCCGGAGAGACCCGGGTTCGGTTCCCGCTAAGGGCGTGTACCTTGGTTGCAGTTTGTCCCCGGCCCTGGTTGGTCGTGCGGGTGGTAGCCACTCGATGTGTCCCTTTCACATCGATGTTTCCCTCTCTCTCCCTCCCACTCTGTCTGTACAAAAAAATGGAAAAATGTCCTCGGGTGAGGATAAAAAAAAAAAAAAAAGTCATACAGGAAGTCTGAATTAAGATAGAAAGCATAGCTAATAAAGGTACCCTGAATAAAGCAGGTATGCAAACCTTTTTTGAATGAGTAAGTGAATTTGGAATATGCAACATATTCCCACCTCAGTGGATTCTAAGAGACTGAATATGAAAATTTGTATTCTTCTTAGCCATATCTGAGACCAGAAAATAGCTCAGGTTATAGTTGTTAATCAAATTATATTGGGAATTATTTAAAGTCATAGTGATTAATCTCCAGATATATTGAAGATTATACCCTTTTTCCCACAGTGTCTTTACAGCTCAAAGTATTTTGTTTTTTTGTTTTTTTAATCCTCATCCGAGGACATTTTTCAATTTTTTTTGTACAGACAGAGTAGGAGGGAGAGAGAGGAAGAGAGAGAGAGGGAAACATCGATGTGAAAGGGACACATCGAGTGGCTGCCACCCGCACGACCAACCAGGGTCAGGGACAAACTGCAACCGAGGTACATGCCCTTAGCGGGAACCGAACCCGGGTCTCTACGGACCGCAGGCAGACGCTCTAACCGCTGAGCCAAACCGGCCAGGGCTCAAAGTATTTTGTCATCTCCATAGTGACCTCAGAGAATAGTTGTCATTTCACAGAAGAAAACCACATGAAAATGACTGGCCCAAGGATACTATTAATGTTAATACTAGATCAGAATTTGAAAAAAACTCACAGTTAACTTTTTTTTTTATCCTCACCCAAGAACATTTTTTACATTTATCTTCAGATAGAAAGGGGGGGGGGGGAGAAACATGGATGTGAGAGAGACACATCGACTGGTTGCCACCCACACAACCCCAACGGAATCCGTGGACAAACTGCAACCAAGGTACATGCCTTAGTGGGAACTGAACTCGGGACTCTCTGGTCCATGGGCCAACGCTCTAACCGCTGAGCCAAACTGGCCAGGGCAGAGTTAACTTTTTAATTAGTGTATTTTTTTTTTATCCTCACCTGAGGACATTTTTCCATTTTTTGTTCAGATAGAGTGGGAGGGAGAGAGAGAGAGAGAAAGAAACATCGACATGAAAGGGACACATCGAATGACTGCCACCCACACAACCCCAACCAGGGCCGGGGACAAACTGCAACCGAGGTATGTGCCCTTAGCAGGAACCGAACCTGGGTCTCTCTGGACCGTAGGCCAACGCTCTAATCGCTGAGCCAAACCGGCTAAAGCATAATTAGTGTATTTTTTAACTAATGCAAAGTCAAGGTACAAATGGGCAAAAAAGGGAAAAAAAAAACACGCCAGTTCTCTTTTTACAACAGCCACATAGGGATCACTCATTTGTTACCAATTTCTATGTATCCTGCATTTTGTAAGCACATAAGAATATATCCTAGTTTAATAAGCACACTTGTATGTATTTATGTACGTATAGGTTCACTATCAATGCACAACTGGTAGCCTGGCACACACACTGTTCTGCACCTACTCAACCAGAAGATGATTAACCTGGTGGATCTTAAATGCTGATCTTAACACCATGAAGGCTCAAATTGTTGCCTCTTAGTGACTTCAACCCACTAAAACTGTCTAACTTCAAGTCCACTTCTACTTTGAGGACTTCCTAAGACAAGAAACTGAACCTAGATTAGGCTGAGAAGTCCCAGTATGAGGCTGGCTTGAGCTGTTTTTATCAATCTGTCTATCAAAGTAAAGGAAAGAGAAAATGATCAGAGGTCAATCAGCAATATGCTTTAATCACTAACAGTATTTTTCATTTTCAGTGCCCATTCAGAGTGAGCTTCTGGTAATAATGATCTATTCCAGGCAACCATTTACTTTTAAAAAGGACATTACAGTCCTGGCCAATGTGGCTCAGCAGATAGAGCGTCGGCACACAGACTGAAGAGTCTCCAGGTTTGATCCTGGTCAAGGGCATGTACCTCAGTTGCCAGTTCAACCCCAGCCCCGGTTGGGGTCCTGAAGGAGGCAACCAATTAGTGTGTCTCTTTCACATCGATCTCTTCCTTTCTCTCCCCTCTTCCCTCCCTTCTACTCTGTCTAGAAAATCAATGGGAAAATATCCTCAAGTGAGGATAAACTAAAAAAAAAAAAAAAAAAGGATATTACAGCTCTGGCTAGTGTGGCTCAGTTGGTTGGAGCATCATCTCATACATCAAAAGATGGCAGGTTCAATTCCTGGTCAGGGCACATATGCAGGTTGTAGGTTCGATTCCTGATTGGGGTGTGTACAGGAGGCAACCAATCAATGTTGCTCTCTCAAATCGATCTTTCTCTCTCTTCTTCCTCCCTTCCTTTCTTTAAAATATATAAAGATCATATTCTTGGGTGAGGAAAAAAAAATACATAAAAGGATATTACATAGACACTATATTTGGAGGAAATTAAAAAAATGAACAAGAGAGGTGAAAATAAGTTAAATGTCAACTTACTGAGTTAAATATCAAGTTAAATTTTGTAATGAACCTAGAGAAAAAGCATATATATTTTGAAACAATTATTCAACTTACTTTGCAGAATACATTTGTGAGGTATAATCATTGGATGAGCGAGGGATGTAATCGGTGCATGTCATAACTGAAAGAAAGATATCACCAGGTAAAAAGTTAGAACATTTCAAAAATAAAATGGGAAAATTACATATTTCACTGTATAGTCTTTCTAACTAAATCACAGAATACAGCTGGACATCAGAAATTTAGAAAGACTATGTAGTAGAAAAAACCTCACTCATCTATTAAGAGATTTAGAGACTTAGTAAAAGAAGCTAGAATGTGAGAGGTACAGAGCTAAAGGTTACTACCAACTGATCTCTGCCTTTACCCTTCACTGACTTAAAGCCACAGATGGAGCATCCTAAGCTCTCAGCGGTGCCTACAGGTAAATTTAAAAAGCAAAATCCATATATAGGAAACCATATTATATTTCTTCACTTTATTCATTCTCTGAGTGCTTACTCTCTATTTAGGGTCATGTGAATGAATGACTTGCAGGAAGACAGATTTAGAGGGAAATAGCCCATTTTATTAGAAAACTGTTGCTACTGCTATGTATAATCAGCAGTAGGAAAGATACAAATATGCTTCTACATTACTATTTTGTTCAGCTTTGTGGTAAAGGTTTTAAGTATGGCAAAGCAGAGACAGACCTGAGGAACTGATGTGATGCTCTAATAACCTAGCAAGTAAAGAGACTTCATCTAGAGTAGCTGCTGTGAAGGCTTGACCCTTCTGAATTCATCTTAGAGAAACATAAAGTCAACTCAAGTTTGACAGAAAGCAAAATCCTATTCATTAGGCACTACTTCAGACATGTGGTAGACTGAGTTTTATCACAGAGCTTGTACAGACTCCTGAACTGTTCCAAGAACTTCCTTCAACATCTATAAAGGTGGTTGCTCTACTATAAATAGGGACTCAGAGTGAACCAACTAAATTTATGTCTAGCTGGGTTCCCTAAGTGTCTAACCCAAAAAGGAACTCTGGTCAAGAGCAGATGAAGAGAATATTCATGCATGCCCAACAATAAGACAAATCAACACCTGTGATTTATCATAGAAGATCTTGTCCATTGCCATTGTTCAAGGTCTTTAACAATAATGACTGGAAATGTATAGGTCACATTCATCCATAACATTTTGACAGAAATGAAGGAAATAGCAACTATCCATCACAAAAAAATTAAGTTCATTTGAATTCTACATGATAGTTCCTTTTTTGCTGACAAGTACTTTAAAAAACCCAAACCTTTCTCCTCCTCTGATTTAAGTTAATTCTAGAAGAGATCGACAAAATATCCTAGGAGATTTAGGCCAATTTTTACTTTTCTAGAGAATGAATGAGCCTTGATCTTTGTAGTACTTGGCAACCATGAAAGGATTATAGAGTCAAGGCACAATCTGCTATTATAACAGAGTAACAGCAGAGGAGATGAGGCAAAAACTTGAAATATATTCTGAAGGTAAAGCAAACAGGACATTCTGATGAATTAGTATGTAAGGAATGAGGAAAACATGGGAAAATGATATAATTTCTAGGTTTGCAGCTTGAGCAACTGGAGGGATAATGAAACCACTTTCTAAGATGGGAAAGTTTGGGAAAAGAACAAATTTAAAGGGAATAAAAAGCTTTCCCACATTTTAAGTATGGATTTCCTTTTAGAGCTAAGTAGAGATGTCAGGCAGCTGAATACACAAATGAAATCAGGAGAAGTTAGACTGGAAATATAATAATGGATGAGAGGATGCAGAAAAAGAAATGACGGTAGACTAGAAACAATCCTGAAGGCCCACCAACATTCAGAGTTCAGACAGAGAAAGAAGGGCCAGAAAGAAGAAAGGTGGGAGCAAAAGTAGTGCAGGGCAGAATATGAGAAGAGAGAAATGTCCACTAGAACTACCGGCAGTTACTTTCAGTAACTAACCTTGACAAGAGCAATCTCATTGAAAGAGTGGTAAATTCCAGAGGTGAGAAATCAAATGAGGGCAACTCTTTTCAGAGGTTTCAATGAGTCATAGAACAAAGAGGACTACAACTAGTGGGGATAGGAAGCCAAAGGAGGGTTTTGTTTGAAGTAAGATGGTAGAGACCACCAGATCATGTCTCTTTACTGAAAGGAAGAATTAAAAAGAAGATGATGGCCCTGGCCGGTTTGGCTCAGCGGTTAGAGCATCGGCCTGCAGTCCGGAGAGACCCGGGTTCGGTTCCCGCTAAGGGCACGTACTTCGGTTACAGTTTTTCCCCAGCCCTGGTTGGTCGTGCAGGTGGCAGCCACTCGATGTGTCCCTTCACATCGATGTTTCTGTCTCTCTCTCCCTCTTTCTCCCTCCCACTCTATCTGAACAAAAAATGGAAAAATATCCTCAGGTGAGGATAAAAAATAAATAAATAAATAAAAAGAAGATGATGATGCAGGAGTGGTGTTAGAATAACCACAGTACCAAGGTCCTAGGGGAAGGTGAAAAGGGATAGGATACGAAGCACAAATAAAACGCCTTACTTTTGACAGAAGCAAGAATACTATTTCCATCTGACAAAAATGATGCAAGAAAACATGAGCACAAACACAGGTAGGTTTGAAGATTTGGTGGTGGTGGGATGATAAAGGAGTTTTCTGTCTCACAGCTTCTAATTGAGAAGGAGTCATCAGTTAAGAATGAGAAAAGGTGAGTGAGTATGGGTCCTTTGAGGGGAAAAGAAGTGGTGTGAATTATTAAAAGGTAAAACTCATTAGGGAAATGTAGTAACATTTCCAAACATGGTAGGTCCCTGCTTGAGGCCCTGTGAGTAGTCAGCTAGGTATATAATTTATTTGATAATGTTTGTCTATTTGAATGCACTTAGAGGAAAGGTAGAAAGTTGGATTAAATTAGAACTAGGGTTTAGCAAGGAATGTACAAGAGTCAAGGTTATTGAAAAATAGGAGTAATTATAATAAAGAATCATGGGCCCTGGCCGGTTTGGTTCAGCGGTTAGAGCGTCGGCCTGCGGTCCTGAGAGACCCGGGTTCGGTTCCCGCTAAGGGCGCGTGCCTCGGTTGTAGTTTGTCCCCGGCCCTGGTCGGTTGTGCGGGTGGCAGCCACTCGATGTGTCCCTTCACGTCGATGTTTCTCTCTCTCTCTCTGTTCCTCTCTCTCCCTCCCACTCTACCTGAACAAAAAGTGGAAAAATGTCCTCGGGCGAGGATTAAAAAAAAAAAAAAAAAATCATGGAATCTATGCTGAGTAAGAAGGGACATGAAGACATGAAGATAAGAGGGATATAATGGGCACCAGATAGGTCATCTATATGGATGCTGAAATCACTGAGAATAGTAAGAGTCTGATGCAGAAGAAAACAAAGAACTAGCCTTTAAAGAGCAAAATCACTTGGAGTTCAGTCTGAGGTAAAAAGAAAGGCAAGGGGATGACATAAATGCAGACTTCAAAGAAACTAGAGTTTTTTCTTGTATTTTTTTTATCTTGAGATATAGAGTGGGAGGGAGGGAAGGAGGAAGAGAGAGAGAGAGAAATTTCGGTGTGATAGAGACACATCGAGTGGTTGCCACCCACACAACCCTAACCTGGCTGGGGACAAACTGCAACTGAGGTATGTGCCCTTAGCAGGAACTGAACCCAGGACTCTCTGGTCTGCAGGCTGAATGCTCTAACCGCTGAGCCAAACTGGCCAGGGAAAGTCATGGTATTTTTTAATACATGGGAAGTATATACAATTAAGTATAATCATCCTAAGAGAAGAAATATACGCAAAACAAGTGTCTTTGCTTAAAATGTCTTACATAAATTTATTCTTTTAAAGTGTTTGGTAAAATAAGGAAGAACATAGACATTTACTTTCAGGGATGATTATCTGTTCTATAAAGGCAATCTGTAGAAGTGGTTATGCTAGAGAAAGCTTATCTCTTCACAGGAAAAACAAAACAAAAACAGAACACTACCCATTTTTGTGTAATGCATGAATATAACATTCTACAGGAGAGTTAGGGTTAGTAAGTGGAAGGTATATCTTATTGAGTTGAATCTCCCTCAGGGTCCAGTATCAGTGTTAGGCTCTCAGATGATTACTTTTTCTTTTCTGGCTTGGATTGATAGGTAGTATCATTTAGTTATAAGAAAGATATAAAAATATCAAGCCCTCTGGGGTGGCAGTAGGAGGTTGGCCCACAAACTTTTTTGATTTTGAGTAAGGCACTCTTATCTTTAAAACATCCAACATCAAAGCAAAAATAAAATCATCAAGTTTGACTCCTTGGTTGAGTGAATTCCATGTGATTTTGTTCCTTAGCTGGTTTATCAATAAGGTTTATAGAAAAGCACAAGTGTGTGTGTGTGTGTGTTCATATATATACATATAAACACACACACAAGGAAAAGAAAGGCTTCTGGGCATTCTGGGACAAACAAGGTAATCAATGAAAACCAATTATAAAAGAACAGCATCACCTGGTTTATAAGAATACCATTTCTGTCATACAGAAAATCTGGTACTTACTTTCCTCTGACATGGTAAGGTTTGAAGCAAGGCTTGAAGTTTCAGGTTTCTGATCATTGACTTCGGGGTTGCTTACTTGACTGGGAGAACCAAAATGAATACATTAGCCCCTGATTTGATGTACTACATTGCTAAAAGTGATTAAATCAAACCAACTTCTTCTGAGACTATACAAGAAAGAGGCAAAGTAAGTCTTCTTCATGATATCCTTATTCTTGGTTTTTAGCAGCTACCTGAAGGGCTAACCCCAGAGTTAATACCCACAGCATTCTACTGTTCTTTCTCACATCTTGAGACCCCTTCAGTTTTTATATCATTCAGAAACTCCAGCTAAGTCACAAGCAAGTTAGATTTTTCTCTAAAGATATTGTGGTAAAAGAGAAGTTCCACAACAGCTAAAAATGCTTTAAGACAATGGTTCTCATAATTTGAGAAGTTTTTTCCAAGTTATACATGCTTGCTTCCAAGAAGGGGTTCTGAACCTTAAATGGCTCATTTCACTGTATTTCTCTTCTCCCCACCCCCCATAAAAAACCATGACAATTTTTAATTTGTTGTTATATCCAAAACTGAGCAACATCTTTTTCTTTTTTCCCCCCTTGTTTAACTTATAAAATTAAGAGAAACTGAGAAAGGTAAATCATATAAACTGGGAGGACCAGTCATTATGTTAAACACTTTAATGATGGGAAGATTCTCACTGAAGTTCTGAAATGGAGATTATATTAATTTTCATCACTCACAATGTCCTTCCTCTTCCTTCTACCTTACTTTCTACTCTCCAGTTATTCCCTCAACTACTGGTACAACCTAGTGTTTAGGAGTACAGATTCTAGGACCAGACTGCTTGAGTTCATATTCCATTCTGCCAAATCTAGCTTTATGACTTTAGGCAAGTGACTGAACTTCTTTGCGCCCTAGTTCTTCAACTGTCAATGAGGGGTAATAATAGAACCTACCTCATAAAGTGGTTATAGAGATTAATGAGTTATATATAAAAAGTACTTAGAGCAGCCCATCTGGTGTAGCTTAGTGAACTGAGCCTCATCCCATGGACTGAGAGGTTCTGGTCGATTTCCCAGCCTGAGCACATGCCTGAGTTGCACGCTCAATCCCTAGTAGGGGGAGTGCAGGAGGCAGCCAATCGATGTTTCTCTCTCACATTGATGTTTCTATCTCTCTCTCCCTTCCTCTCTCTAAAAAATCAATAAAAATGTATTTAAAAAAACAAGAGTACTTAGAGCAGAAACTAAAAAACAGAGTAAGTACAATGTAACTATAGCTAGTATTACTATTTTACAACTTCTTCCCAGTCCAGGCATGCTTCCCACATTCATGTTCCCTAGAAAGAAATCTGCTTTGCTGCTCTACAGTCTAGGGAGAAATGGAGGATACCGTACCAGAGGATCCATCTATCTGGAAAGACACCACTAAGAGAGTAATTTCTACACAGGGGGAAAAAAAATTTTTTTTAAACCCAAAGATATTTTTCTATTTATTTTCAGATAGAGTGGCAAGGAGAGAGAGAGAGAGAGAGGAACAGCGACATGAAAGGGACACATTGACTGGTTGCCTCCCTCACGACCCAGACCAGGGCCAGGGATGAACCGCAACTGAGGTACATGCCCTTGACCAGAATCGAACCTAAGACTCATTGGTCCACGGGCTGACGTTCTAACCACTGAACTAAACCAGCCAGGGCTACACAGAAAAAATTTTTTAAAGAAATGTTACTTGTAGCCCTGGCCAGTTTGGCTCAGCGGTTAGAGCGTTGGCCTGCGGTCCGGAGAGACCCAGGTTCGGTTCCCGCTAAGGACACGTACCTTGGCTGCAGTTTGTCCCCGGCCCTAGTTGGGTTGTGTGGGTGGCAACCACTCGATGTGTCCCTTTCACGTCAATGTTTCTTTCTCTCTCTCTCTCTCCTCTCTCTCTCTCTCTCTCTCTCTCTCTCCCCCTCCCACTCTATCTGAACAAAATATCGAAAAATGTCCTCGGGTGAGGATAAAAAAAAGAAATGTTACTTGTATCTTGTATTTAAAAATACATAGCACCAGTCCTGGCTGGTATGGGTCAATGGTTAGTGTTGGCCCACACACTGAAAGGTCGTGGGTTCGATTCCCAGTCAAGGGCACATATCTGGGTTGCAGGCTTGACCCCTGGCCCCACTCAGTTAGCATACTGGAGGCAACCAACAGATGTGTCTCTCTCACATCAATGTCCCCTCACCCCACCACCTTCCACTTTCTCTAAAAAAATCAATGGAAAAAATATCCTTGGGTGAGGATTAACAACAACAACAAAAAATACACAGCACCCAAATTCTTAAAGCTCTCATATCTTTTCTGAACAAACCTCTAATATTCAACTATAATATCAACAGCCACTCCCCACCTGATATATTCTAAATGGTCAAACAATTTTTCCTCACATGAGAGAAAGGGAAGAAAGATAATTTTAGAGACTTGGAAATAAAACACACCAGGAAAGGTAGTTGGACCACTGAGAGTGTTTAAGTGCCTGTCTGAGATGTAATCATGAGTGAAAACTGAGACCAGTTGGCATAGTTTTATATTTTTCTCTCACAATGTTCAGGTGATTGGAAATAAGTATGGAATAGACAGACAGATAAGTTTAGCCAGGGTTGTGATTTTTCTAGGGAAGTACAACAGAGAGGAAAATGGAAGGAAGTTAAGACTATTCATAAGGGACTGATTAAAGTAATAGATCTTATAATTTAAGCAGCATATGAAAGATACTTAAGTCTTTTTTGAGATAAGGGTCAATGGTAGATAGGGAAAATATGATAGATCATTTCATTGAACATGCATAGTAAGACATAAGGATAGTGTGGCAGTAGAGTAAATGAGCTGAAATGTAATGTGTGGTAGTAAAAGAGAAGAATTCTGGAAATTAAGATGTTAAAGGTGATGCAGTTATGACTGGCAAATGACAGGAGATAAGAACTGTGAAAAACTAAAATCCGTGGTGTTGTGGAAGCCAGAGAATGAGGTGCATAGAAGTTGCCTTTCCAATAAGGGGAGTGAAGCTAATGACTGAAGCATCCCATATCCCTGTGGTAATTAATGCCAAATGCCTTGCATTTCCCTTACTTCTGCTTGTTCTTCCTATTTCATATTCTGTACATGTGACTAAAGAATATTCACCATTGTGTCTCCTCCATGTTATCTGATAGATAACATGAGTTTGGTATACATTGATGAATAAATAATGAATGGATAAAAAAATAAATTAGCACTTATGTGTTTCAAGAACAAACTTTGGGAGGAAATTTTCATTTTAAACCAAATAATTTCAAAATTTAAAGATTGATGTTAAAAAACAAAAAGAGGGTAGTCAACCTAAATCATGTCTATCATCAGCATGTGAAAAATATATATAAGCAGATCATTAAAAAGAAATTCAACTTTACATACCTTATAGTTTGCTCTCCCGATTCCTGCATCTTAGCTTTTTTAACCTGCAAAAATATATATACAAAGGAATGATGTAGTGATCATTTTCGAAATCATCTAGCTACTCAAGTGTCATGTTAACATTAACTAATAAATTTCAGGATAACTGTCTTGTCTTGCTTAGATTTATTTAATTAACCCTTACTATATTTTTGAATTAACAGTGAACTTTGTTTTCACATGGAGATTTTTTTTTTTTTTTTTTTATCCTCACCCGAGGATATTTTTACATTTTTTGTACAGATAGAGTGGGAGGGAGAGAGAGGAAGGAGAGAGAGAGAGAAACATCGACGTGAAGGGACACATCGAGTGGCTGCCACCCGCACGACCAACCAGGGCCGGGGACAAACTGCAACCGAAGTACGTGCCCTTAGCGGGAACCGAACCCGGGTCTCTCCGGACCGCAGGCCGACGCTCTAACCGCTGAGCCAAACTGGCCAGGGCCACATGGAGATTTTTTTAAAATGAAGAAAGTGTTTATCAGATTTAAGGTAAAATGTTTACTCAAGATAAAATGTTTACAAGGATGAAATATCTAAACTTGGATATAAACTCGTTTTAAATTTGAACAGATACATAATTATATTATCAAACAGTAGTCATGAAATTCTTTGTTTTTAAATATTTTTTCTTTATTGATTTTGAGAGAGAGAGAGGAAGGGATAGGGAGAGAGATATAAATATCGATGAGAGAGAACATTAACTGGCTGCCTCCTGCATGCCCCTCCCTGTGGACTGGACCTACAACCTGGACATGTGCCCTGATTGGGAATCGAACTGGCAACCTCTTGGTGCATGGGTCAATGCTCAACCAGTGAGCCACACTGGCCAGGCTAATCATGGAACTCTTACTATCATCTCAAAATTTATTTCACAGAAATGTCTTTATGCTTAAATTACCTACATACCAAAAATAAAGATAAATTCTTATTAAGTTACCAGTAATTTAGAAAATATTCTTCACACCATCTGTTTTCCCCCCAGATTTTCATCTTTTCTAATTTATTCTGAAGTAAAAGCATTTATACTGAAACAGTTTAATCCACAAATGAAAAATCAATGTTTAATATTGATAATGGATTTCCCTACTTTTGTATTACAAAAGGATCTGATTTTAGAGTTCTCTGATTAGGATAACTAGTTACAGTAGAAACATTCTTAGTATGTTTAGCCATACAAATTATGAATACTTAAAAGTATTTCAAGCTAACAAAAGAAGGCAGACGTGCTGCTATATAATTTTAAATAAACATAACAGGCAGGAATATAGCTATTTAATATGATTATATGTAACACTTTAGATACAGCTCACCTTAATTTGGGCAATTATGTACCCCTGTAAGTCAGGGATAGGAAGCATGTGCCACTGTAGCACCGAAAGCAGTTAAACTAACTCAAAGAAAACAGACATGTTTCACTGGATTACAAAAGTAAGGGTTCAAACAATATAATACAGACTGACAGAATGTGAACTAGTACAGCTACTTTATTATTTTTTAGTTCCTCAAAAGGTTAAACAGAGAGCCCTGGCCAGTTTGCTCAGTGGTTAGAGAATCAACCCGCGGACCAAAAAAAGTTAGAGTTCCCATACAATCTAGCAATTCCACTCCTAGCTAAATAACCAAGAAAAATGAAAACATATGTCCACACAAAAACTTGTGCATGAGTGTTCATAAAAGCATTATTCAAAACAGCCAAAAACTGTAAACAATCCCAGTATCCATGAATAGATAAATGGATAAATAAAATAATGATAAATAAATAGAACGATGAGTATTGAGTTTGATATGTACATTCTAAATTTTTTCCTATGCATATGAGGCAGAAACCATTTCTGCCATAAAGGAGTTTTTTAAGTGTTTCCAGTTTGCCAGAGATAGTCTTGGATTATATATCTCTTATCCCAAACTGAGTCTGGTTAGTGCCCCCTTTGACTCTTTTAAAGAGTTCCAGGTTGGACAATAATATGAGCTGCTTCTACGTTGTTTAAAAAGATGAAGACTGCCCTGGCCGGTTTGGCTCAGCGGTTAGAGCGTCGGCCTGCGGTCCGGAGAGACCCGGGTTCAGTTCCCGCTAAGGGCACGTACTTCAGTTGCAGTTTGTCCCCGGCCCTGGTTGGTCGTGCGGGTGGCAGCCACTCGATGTGTCCCTTCACATGGATGTTTCTCTCTCTCTCTCTCTTCCTCTCTCTCCCTGCCACTCTATCTGTACAAAAAATGGAAAAATATCCTCGGGTGAGGATAAAAAAATAAAAAAAAGATGAAGACTGGCAGAAGACCGAGTCAGGAATATAAATGGTGATGACAGAGAAGATCATTTCTGATTGCAGAGAATTGAGGACTGACTGGCAATAAGGGAAAGTGAAAGATAGAACCTGTGGCTAGGATTTATGTTGCATTGTTAACAATGACCTGAACAAATCTTAAATCTTAAGACAGAGCAAGTAAGAAGTAGAGAAATAAGAGGGATAATCTAATAAAGATGAGACAAGAGACAATGGGATTAAAATAACTCCAAAAATTGCCCATGAGTAACATTTCCCTCTATATACAGGTCAACAGTAGGGTTAAAAATCTTAGCTTTATCATCATCAGCTTGGGATAGGATCATTCTTTCCACTCAAATTTTATATCTCTACTACAGTCTGTGAAAATTTATTTTTCTCCTCAAAGTCTGACATTTACTCTCCTAATTATTTTTATAAGTGTTCTGTGTTTTCTTGGATTCCATATTTGTTTATTTGGTGTCCATTAATCACGAAGCCAAAGTTGTTTAGATCTCCCTTGCGATCCAGAGCCCATATTCTGAACTACCTCCTTTATCTAACTCATACACACGAAGTCAATATTTCCCCTGCTCTAAATCAACTCAGGGCCAGATGGATACCAGACACCTAGTGACAGCCCCAAGACCCCAAACCCCCTGGAATTATTCAAGCTAACTAATCCTAAACTGTTTACACTGCCTTGCCTTGCCTTGCCAGCCTTGCTTTGTTCTCCTTGCCTACGGAAACCCCAATACAGGCAGTGGCCTATGTATTCCCCTAGCTCCTTTCCGCCTCCAGATCAAAATTGGTGCTTCTTCCTCACCCCATCCATCCCCCCCACCAGGGGGCCTGTGTGGCATACCATGCCTCTCATTTCTAAGGGAACTGTGAGTAACATTAAACGTTTCTCTCAAATGGCACTGACCTCTCAGTGTTGTCGTTCAGTCACCTTTATAAATTAAACCCAGGCACAAATCAGTAAGAAAACGATGCCCCAAGACAATCACCATTTATAGACAGCAGAAAATTTGTTTTTAAAGTACTTTAATTTCTCACCTTCCTCTGAAGTAACAATCAAGTTTTATACATTATGTTACAGAAATTGAGTAAGAATGGCAAGGAAATGAAGCACAGCAGAGAAGACGACCCACCAGCAGGTCAACCTCACAATTCTCACAACTTTAAATAAGTAAGAAGTAACTAACAACACCCATTTCAACAACTTATATAAGTTTTGAAATTCTGACTAGACCTTTTACTACATTCAAACCTCATGCAACTACATAATTTTCCTTGGTACATTTAGTATCTCTAATTCAGTTCTTTGTTCTTATAGTGTATATCCTAGATACAATGCTGAGGATGATTTTTAACCCTACCATTTTCCTGATTTTTAATGTCCCATCAGGGATAGGGAATGACATTCCAAATATTTCAAAAGGTTGTCTTAACAATTGCTTATGTCTTCCTAGTTTTATACTTACCTTAAATGAGAGGGCTAAAAATATAATGGCAAAGTAATCATCAGTATACATTTCTCAATATAAAGAAAAACATTAAAAACATATTATAGGACTTTAATAGTTAAATGGAAGCTGGTGTCTATCCTTCTGCAATGTAAAGAATACATCTAGTACTGTACATGAAAAACATACCGTTACCTGTTTTCAAAATTCAAAATTTTCTATGTTGGATTTTCGTAAAGAAAAGTAAAATGTACCACCCTATATTCTCTTTTAATATGAAATGCAAGAGGCTCACTCCAGATAGCAAACTGAATTAATATTTATCTAACTTCAGAAAAAAAAACTGTGATAAAAAGGAAAGATTCTTTAACATAAAAGTATCTTAAGAGAATGATTATTGCTTTCCTTTTTTAAATGCTAAGAATCAAAAAACAGACCAAAAAAAAAGAAGCAGCAGCCATGACAAGGCAGTAAATCTGTATCACTTGTGGACATTTCAAATGATTTTATTTATTTATTTATATTAAATACTTAAAAGAAATTAAGAATTCAACCTAGTCTCTAGGGTCTTAATCTTTTAAAGAATTAGCTAGTGATCAGAATATACTTTCTTCAACTACTACAATTTCTTTAAAAATTAGGTAAGTAGGAAAATTTAGGTAAGATAAAACTAAATTTTCTGTCACAAGTGGTGTATACTGTTTGGTAAATAGATGCTCTTTTTTTCTGGTCTGTCCCACAACTAATTGAAACCCATAGCACATTCTGCAGCCATCTCACCTACCACTAAGGGCAATTGTTCTGCCCTTCCCAAACAGCTCCCCAGGCCACAGATCAGACTCAGCAATTATTCTAAAGGAAACATCCATTGATTTTTTTTTTTAATGGCATTTCCAAATACGATGCTAACTATGTAATGCTGAATTTTCTAAGCAGACTCCTTAGCATTGTTAACAAACTATGCATTTAAGAACATATAGAATTGTTTTCTTAGAAGGAAAGTATAAAGGGGTCTTTTCCTTATTTTTATTTCTAATTTGGAATCTGTAGTATAACCAAATAATATTTAAAATCACTTAAGATTAGCTTTTCTACAATCAACTTTAAATTGTTAAAGAAAATACTTACTGGTTGCTCTGGTAAATCTTGTTCTTCTTCCATGAGGACCAATATTTCTTTATCACACTTATGTGACTGGATCGCAAGTGCCTCTCAGCACTCTTCACAGTCTGTTTAAAAAAGGGGGAATTCAGCGTTTTATGTACTCTTAAAGAATTATCATTCAGGCCATCAGAGAATAATTTTTAAAATATTTTGCTACCCCAAGCTTTCCACGTGAGTTCCAATCTCAAAATCTCAAACTTGCACATGGCTTTTCAAAATTGACATGCTACACCAAGTCAAGATAGGTATACACAATGATTTTTATAATATCTTGCAAAAGCCAACACGTGGAACTTGCTGTACTTAAAACATGGTTACTATCGTGCCTAATGCATTAAACATTTTACAATGTGCTGATAACTAGGACAATTTTTTTTAGGATTAGTTACATTTTTTAATGATAAAAACTAGCCTAGCAAGTCAGTAAGTTATGATAATATCTAACCTGCTCCCATGTGGAACATTTACATAACTGTTAAAAGACACACAGAATCACTTTATTTTTTAAAAATTTTATTTATTTATTTTGTTTTGTTTTTATTAATTTAATTTTGTTACAGATGTTTCTCCTTTTTTCCCCCATTGACACCCTCCTCCCCATCCCCCCCACCCCGTCTCCAGGTTGGTTGTCCATGTCCATTGATTGCGTACCTGCATATAAATTCTGTGGTTTATCTCTTCCCTCCCCCCACCATTTCCTCTTCTGAGGGTTGTCAGTCTGTACCCTACTTCCACGTCTCTGGGTCTACCCTATTCCTCAGACCGTTATGTTCATTATATTCCACAAATAAGTGAGATCATGTGATATTTGTCTTTTTCTGCTTGGCTTGTTTTGCTTAGGATAATACTTTCCAGGTCAGAATCACTTTATTTTTTAATCCTCACCCGAGGACATCTCTCCATTTTTTGTTTAGATAGAGTGAGAGGGAGAGAGAGGAAGAGAGAGAGAGAGAAACATCAATGCGAAAGGGACACATCAAGTGGCTGCCTCCCGCATGACCAACCAGGGCCGGGGACAAACCGCAACCGAGGTACGTGCCCCTAGCAGGAACCAAACCCAGGTCTCTCTAGACCGCAGGCCGACGCTCTAACCACTGAGCAAAACCTGCCAGGGTGTCAGACTCACTTTACTTATTTTTTTAATTAATTAATTTATTTTTGTTACAGATGTTTCTCCTTTTCCCCCCACCGATTCCCCCTCCTTCTCCCTCCCTGCCCTGTCCCCAGCTTTGTTGTCCATGTCCATTGTTGATGCATACATGCATATAAGATCTGTGGTTTATCTCTCTCCCACCACCCCTTCTTCTGAGGATTGTCAGTCTGTACCCCACTTCCACGTCTCTGGGACTACCCCATTCCTCAGACTGTTATGTTCATTATATTTCAGAAATAAGTGAGATCATATGATACTTGTCTTTCTCTGGCTTGTTTCGCTTAGGATAATACTTTCCAGGTCCCTCCATGTAGTCTCAAAGGATAAGAGATCTTTCTTTCTTACAGCTGCATAGTACTCCATTGTGTATAGGTACCACAGCTTTTTTTATCCATTCATCTACTGATGGACACTTGGGCTGTTTCCAGATCTTAGCTATTGTAAAAAGAGCTGCTACAAACATGGGGGTACATATATTCTTTCTGATTGGTGTTTCAGGTTTCTTAGGGTATATTCCTAGAAGTGGGATCACTGGGTTAAATCAAAGTTCAATTTTTAATTTTTTGAGGTAACACCATATTGTTTTCCATAGTGGCTGCACCAGTCTGCATTCCCACCAGCAGTATACTAGAGTCCCCTTTTCTCCACACCCTCGCCAACACTTGTTGTTTGAAGACTCACTTTAAATATAACAAATTGAAATATCAATTAAATACATTCACAACCAACTATCTGTATATATAATTAATTTAAAGAAAAACTCAATTCTCTGGATCTACTTTAATAATACAAATAAATAAGTAAAAGTTTGCATTTTAGAATTAAGGAAAAACAATTATGTAAAGCTGGGAACCAATTTAATTTATTTTTTAAATCATCATCTGAGGATATGTTTTACTGATTTGAAAGAGAGAGGGAGGAAGATGTGAGAGAGAAACATCAATTGGTTGCCTCCTTTATGAGCCCAGACCAGGGATGGAACCCGAAACCTACATATGCTCTCACCAGGAATTGAACTGGCTACCTTTTTGGTGTATGGGACAACGCTCCAACCAACTGAACCACCCAGCAGGGGCTGGAACCCAATTTTAGTCTGAAATAATGAGCTCCACTAAATATATTGCTTAGTCAATTATTTAAGGAAAATCTTTACCTTCTTAGATCCTGTTCTTCCTGTCCTGATTTTCAAACTAACAAAGAAAAAAATAGGACTCTAAGCCACACATTTACTGGTAAAAACACCTTATTGTGCCCTTCTGGCAAGAGAGATGGATAGACTTTAGAAAACTTAAATACATTATAAAAAAGAAAAACTCTATTACTATTTGACAAAAATGAAACGAGCACTTCTCCAAAACAGATGTGATTGCTTATGTTTTTAATTAAGGTCATACCGGTTTTCATTTCTAGCAATCCCCTATAACCAACTTAATATATAAAGCTAAAGCAAGTATAGAATCTTATTGCAGAAGTAATGAAATTAGATCAATAACATGAAAAGGGAAATGAAAAACTTCAGTTATGCCAATATACCAACACTGCACGTCCATTGCTCTGTCTTGGTGCAATACAACACACTTTTAGAGCTACACTCCAGCATGGGAAAACACATGTAAGGGAGACAGTTAGATTAAAAAATGTCCAACCCTGACCTAGCTTTATTCCCTGCCCTGATCTAAAATGTCAAAAGAAAAATAAGTTTAAAGGTCAGAAGCACTGGATGCTCAATGCACTCACGTGTAGCTCATTCACGGAGCCTCAAAAGCTGAGTTCTCATACTACCTGACGTAGGTAACTAGTGCTGCAGAATTACAGCGTCCAATAACTAAAGCTTACAGGTGCTATCTTCCCTGCGTTTGTTTTGCTCTAGTCAGAATAGCATAATCAATGTGACGTGAAACTGACTCACAATTATGAAAGATGAAACATTTTTATGTTTCACCAATTTATATCTATCTTAGTTTTAAATTGAAAAGTCTTTACTTTATGAGATTGAAATACTGCCTAAACGAACATAATGTACATCTATGATTTCAACACATAATAAGGAAGAGCAAAATAGGGCCAAATCACCAGGAAAATGTGATGTCTTAAAAATGTAACATTATAAAATCTATCTCTGGGTAAGAGGAATGTAAGGGAAAAAAATTTTTTTAAAGGATATTCAAAAACATGTACTTTGTTTTTAAATACAAAAACTAATTTATTTTAAAAATATGAACAACATTAAAGAACAGGTTTTTATTGATCAAAATGGGTTATGCGTTTTAAAAGTTAAGAAATACTACTCTTAATAGTGGGGAAATAAATTTTCAAGCCATATAAAACAATGTTAAATTCTTGGATTTTGTTTTTTAGAAATATGATATTATTGTGATTTTATTACGGAAATGGACTGATTTTCTATTTTTCTCGAGATAAATTCTATGGTAAGTTGTAAGAAAACCTTCTTTAAGAGACTAATTGGAAGATATTCCTTTCTACCTCTCCTATTTCTTCTGTAAAAAGAAGCATCCTTTGTTGTTTCCATCCTTAAAATTACCTTTATTTTCTCGGGAATAAAAGTGACAGATAATTTTTATACTTAGAAAAAAAACTTTAAAAATAAAGTAATTGGTCAATAGTCACCAATAATTTAGATCATTTTAAAACAACAAAAAAGCAATCTACAAGCAAAGCACATGATTTCTTACGAAATCTTCTGGGATTCTTCTAGTTATGTGTGATATGTATTAAGTATGCAAACATACATTCTGGTACATGTGTATATAAAATATACTAATAATGACATAAATCACATAATTCCATTGCAACATGCATTTGAGATACTACCTTCCATCAACACAGTATTCTTCCTTCCTTCCAAATATTTGTAATTTAAAAGATCTGAAATATAAGAACATACTAAATACAAGAATGCAAGTATTTACCATGTTCCTAGCATTTTATCAATGTACTAAAACTTTTAATATTAAGATCTTACACCATTTTATACAGTGTCACATACTTACAATCAGAAGTCGAGTTTACGATGAACCAGATGAAAGTGTTATATTAACACAGACACTGTGATTGATACTTGATAATAACAAAAAGTACGAAATTAGATACAAATCTTAGTATTCTCATTTCCACGTACTAGTTTCAGAGTTTAATATAATGACATGACACAGGAGTGGAAAGTGGATTCTTAATGTAATGTAAATGAATATAATTACAACTTAGCCAAACAGCTGATGAAATTACAAAACACTCTGAAATCGTTTTTTGTTGTAAGCACCTTTATAAGGCATCTGGATAGTTATGTCTTTTCACAATTTTCTAGTTTCAATTTTTATAATTGGTTTCTAGATACAGCTGTTTCATCTCCTTTTTTTTGGAGTTTGTTAGTATCTATGTGCCTTCATATACAGAAATCTGGGAGAATTTACAATTGAGAACAGAAATCGTATTTCCCTACCTGCAAATGCTGACAGTGAAAAAATAGGAACTTTGGTCTGATTCAAAAGGTCATGCAATTTTAAATATTGTTACTTCACATGCTCATAAATAAAAGCAGGATCATTTTGTAATATGGTAGCCATAATGTTTAATTCTTAGAAATTAGAAGGGAAATAATTAGTGACAAATATTTTACTTCAAAATTCTAATGAGAGTCCAACATCATAATTTCTGTTTTGTACTAAGTTCAACATACTATTTACCCTGTATTTGTAAAGGGCCACAATCAAGAACTTAGGTTAATACAATGTGTTATTATAACTCTTAAACATAGAAAGGGAAATTATATAAATATTTTAAAGCACGGTATGAAGGTTATTTTTTCTCAGTGAAAACACAGTATATATCACTTTTAATTATAACATCAAAAGAAGTGTCTAAATAGAGCAAAACAGTCTGATTACAGGTCCTAGAAGGGGAACTTGCATGTGGCTAGGTGTTCATAGAGATATTCAGGAGTTAACTGAATATCTCTGATACAGTTCTAAGTAGAACAGGTAGCTCGTAAATTTGATCATCAACTACACGGTATTTTAGAAGTCTATTTACAACTTCCAGAACCTTATATATATTTTCAAAATACACCAAAGAAAAGGTTACAAAAGTTTTCCTGGAGAAAACAATAGCATCCCTCCCAAAATTAAATATATCTCAGCAGTAATAGTTATAAACAATAGCAGCCTAAAGAAGTATAAAAAAAGTGGTCTATAACCACCTAAGAGTTTTATTAATATGTGGATTGACTCAGGATTAAAAAAAAATTAGTACTTAGCAAATGTTTGCCATGGTATCCTCAAATATAATTTTGTATATGCCTTCAAGAATGAAAACAAAGCAAAATACCCTCTTCTACTGGCTTTAAGATGACTGCTTTCAAGTATTGTTATTCAACAATAACTGATCTATTCTAAAGGGGATCTATTAAGGAATTCAGAAGCAAGTGTCCTAACACCCAAAGTACCAAACATAAAGCCTAAAGGTATCTCTTCAAAATAAATTCTAATTTATAAACTAGGAAGCTTATAAGGCAAAATCAGAAAGATGTCAGGAAAAATGGTTTCAAAACATTTCTGTGGTCTCTTTCAGAACAGTGCTTATTTGCAGTAAGTGTTGGTGGGGATGATACTAATTAGTAATTTGGACTTCATAAACTATAGAACATATACATTAGGTTTCAAATAAGTAAACAAAAGTTTATTCCAATACCTACAAATGTCTTACTAAAAATAAGGTAGAAATAACAATGAGTATCTTGGAGGAGGGGAATAATAGAGGCAATTGAGGAATATCTGCATTACACCAATCTTTAAAACCAACTATAGTGAGGATAAGAGAGCTAATAATTTACCAAGCATTTATACTATACCAAGAATTTATTTATTTATTTCTTGTTATTAGGAAGGAGAGAGGGAGGTAGGGAGGGAGAGAGAAAGAAACATCGACATGAAAGAGACACTTGGAGTGGTCACCACCCACACAACCCCAACCAGGGCTGGGGACAAACTGCAATCAAGGTACGTGCCATTAGCGGGAACAGAACCTGAACTCTCCGGTCCGCGGGCTGATGCTCTAACCGCTGAGCCAAACTGGCCAGGGCCCAAGTATTTTTATATTTGCTGTCTTACCAAATTTTATCACCACAACTATCCTAAGACACAGGTGGCATCATCCTCATTCTGTGGACAGGGCAACTGGGATTCAGACATTTAAACAATTTGCCTGAGAATAATAGCAATCATGTCTCAGGTTTAAGTAGAAATACATCACGTAAAGAGACTAGAGGATAGTCGTGATGGCTGACATTGTGAATGTACTTAATGCCACTGAATAGTATACTTTAAAAGGGTTAAAATAGTTTTTGTTAAGCATATTTAAAACAAACAAACAACAACAACAACAAAAAAAAAACCATGAGACTAGAAATACCAAAACAATGATCAAATCTGAAAGGTGCTTTATAAGTGGAGAAAAATCAATTAAAAAAAATATTGTCAGAAAAACTGAATAGCAATGAGAAAAACATATCCTCATCATACACTATAATTAATTCTAAATATATGAAGAACTAGTAGCATTTAAAAAATGGAAAAAATAGAACAGCATATTTATCTCATCTGTAGAAAGAGATACATTTTTTGAGAAATGGAAGCATAAACAACTAATCAACAGATCCGGTTATGTAAAATATACTTTCATGCAATGAAAAAACAACAAGCCTAAAATTAAAAGGGTATAATAAATGTAAGCAATACCTGCAATAATTACAACTGATAAAGCTTAATGTCTACAATATAAACCCAACCATTTCAGCATTTACCAATCATCTGTTATGTGGCAAACAATGACTAACATACACATCCATCAAAGGATACAGTTTAAGATCAAACAGCATTTGGGAAAAAAGGGTCTCACTACTAACTAAATAAATTTTAATATTTTTAAGATACCACTTTACACCTATTAAACTACCAAAAATAAATCCAAACAAAAAACCTAGAGTTATCTGGACTCTTAAAAAGACAAGAAATATTCAGGCACAGCTTTAAAATCAGACTGTTCTCCAGTTAAAGAGTATAAAAGAGGTAATAAAATTGCCTGAATAATTTTTCTTGTTCTTTTTTCCCTAAAATTAAAGAGGGATAAGAAGCTAACAAATAGAGTTAAAATATTAAAAAGAAAAAGTCTGTTG